TGTTGAACAGCTATATTTAGAGGTGCCACCAGAATTTAGTTCAGTTGACCATCTCTTACTGGAATTTGCTTTAAAAATTATGTATTAAGCATCACCAAACTGTAAACTGAATAACCACATGCATAGTATCTTCAGGATATTCTGGGCCGCACAATTGCAAACCATATGTAAAAAGCAGACTCTCTCATGATTCTGCCATGGCACTTTGCATTATATGAATGGATGCTTTCACAAAATGAGTGCAATCACCCCCCCTTAACTCACTTACACCAGTCAGAGCTATAGCTTGAGAATAGAACACATTTTTCATACAAAAGGTCTAAGGAGCCATCCCTGCCATCTCCAGCTAAATAGATCTCTGGTAGCAAGGCCTTGAAGCTACCTGACTCAACATAAGTCACATTCTTACTTCATATGAGTGACCATATGTATTTAAAAATAAGAATCTTGAGTTCTACTTTTCTGTGTTATAAGCTTTTCTTGAAGATGCATTTGTTATGGTACCAAAAATAGTTTTAATGAATACCTTGAGTTCAGCAGCTTCCTCATTTTTGTAGTAGTTTCTAAAGAAAACCACAGCATTTAAAATAATAATAATCAAAGGGTGAACTTATCACATCCATACTTGCCTCCCAAAGACAGGTACAAATAAATAAGGCAGCCCTAATGATGCCAGATATCTAAGCTGCCACAAGGTAGCCATTATTGTTTGAAAAATACAACTACATGAGTCATCTCCTAATTATATAGCAGACCCATTTGTAATCTGTGTTATCTTTTGGTCTGTTATAGTTTCAAGAATTTTGTTTTTGGCTTCAGAAAGTAGGCAGTTTAGTTGCCATTATAAGAAGCTATTAGTATGAGGATTACTGTAATAGTGTAGCAAGACTGATACTTTTAAGGCACAATCATGATCATTCCCATTAATGAGTGCTAATTCCCACATCAACGTCAAAGTGAGCGAGTGACTTTACTATTCTTAAGTGCATGAGAAGTAAAAGCAACCATGTAGTTCGCTTGCCATTGATTCTACTGAAGTCAGCAGGCAAAATTTTGCTATTGACTTCGGGCTCTAATGCCAACCGTTCAGATCTCTCCAGTGTCACATTTTCACAACAGAGCCTTTAGATTACATGGAGTACTTGGAATACCTTGGTTCCTAGCTTAGTGAATTCAAATATGCCACTTTGTACTTGATTCATCTTGTATCACTATACTCTCACACATATTACTTTGAATTTGTAACTGGTAACAGTATTGAATAGATTTATGAATTGGATTTGATGCACAAATTGGCAATGTGATATGTGTGTGTGGTCTTTTGAGATGCTTAGGTCACATCTTGGCTAAAACTCTGAATTTTAAAATATTACTGACTCTATTGCATGATTCTCAACATGCTGCATGCTAATGAAGGATCCACAGAACCATGATACTGGTTATGTGAATTCAATACATATTATCATATTCATTTAAACATCCTGCCTTTCCTTCAAAGCCCAAGTTGATGAGTTGAAACATTTGAGCCTGGGATTGGCTCCAAGAGCCTGTTTGGTGGGCAGGGGAATGATATACCTTATGTGAGCAGGGAAAACTGTGTGTGTGTTGCATGCTTGATTCACTGGTATGAGCTAGCACAGTGTTAATTGGATCCCACCATGATTTATTAAATATTACCCCCCAGACAACCTTCCTATGAAGTTCTAATATAATGCTTGCAATTAGTGACTCATTCTTATGGATAGTTTGGACCAAGTAATATCAAATGTAGTCACTGTTTCCTTCTTAACCTTAGTTATTTCCTTCAAAGCTAATTTCAGCAAGAACTACAAATTATTGAATGATTAGTTCATAAAAATATTGCACAGGGATAGTTAAGTAGCAGCAGGTTACCATCCTGGTATAAAATGTATATGTGCTACATGTATATGCGAAATGGAAACTGTCAGTTACAAGCTTCAGTTTAAGATAGTACAGTGGAACCTTGGTTCCCAAACTTAGGTCTGTTCAATTCCTGAAACAGTTCAGGAATCAAGGTGCGGTTTCTGATTGGCCGCAGCAGCTTCCTGCAGCCAATCAGAAGCCGCACCGGGTGTTTGGCTTCCAAATAACATTTGAAAACCAGAACAACTACTTCCGGTTTTCATTCGTTCAGGAGCCGGAATATTAGCTCCCAGGGTGTTCGGGAGCCAAGGTTCCACTGTATAGCATTGGCCCATCTCATTTTATCCCCTGAACACATGGGCAATGGGACTTTTAAAATTCATGCCCCAAAGAAAACTCCAGTAAAGCAACTTACAGTAAGAGGGACAGAGATGAGGCAACTTTTCTGGAAAGTAAATATAAAAAGGACTCTCTGCATGTATAGATCTCAAATCTCCCTGAACAGTTCTGCACAAAAGGCAGAGATGGACAACCCTTATTTCTGTTGAGGGCCATTTTGTCTCAGGGGTAATATATTGGAGACTGCATGCTGGTAGTGGATGGGACTGCAGCCACCAATGGGGAAACTGGAGCCAAGAGTGGATGGAGCCAACTCCCTTTCCCTCCCTTTTGGCCACTATTTTCTCTCTCTCTCCTTCTGTTACCTCATTTCCCACTGGATTGTTCCCCTTTCCCCAACTTGTATGAAATTAGATTAAGGACCACATAATGCCTAACCTTGGTGTAAGGGCAACGGGGAACAATCTGCATGGTTGAAAATACTTATTTGCATTGATTTGAATCTGGCTTATACACGTAATTGTGATCTGGATTGTACTCAATGCAAAACTAAACTCATTTCAGAGAGAGAGAATGAGAGAATATTTCCTAATGGCTCTTTGGAACCTTATCAGTGTTATATACACTGTACATATATAGTAGATCAAATTTTACACTTTCTCTAGATTCATCATTAAAATACAATTCTTAAAAATACATGTAAAGCATATTACCCTTTTCAGACATTTTACAGATGAAATCAGTGCATGTGGGAGGGGTTATATCTCAGCGGAAGGCTCTGCCTTCCAATGTATGAGTGTTTCTTATACTATCTGAAAAGACCCCAGTGCATGCAAAGAGGACTCTCTTATAATATTAGGGCATGCTGCTTTTCCAGAGTTGCCGAACAGATGAAGAATCCTCTGCATGTACAACTGTATGTATGGAGGTCTTTGCAAATGGTACAATGAATGCATGAACAATGGAGGCAGAGCCTGCTGGCCTCATACATAAAATATCTGAAAAGGGCTCATTGTCTTACCCTGTGGGCTAGTTTTACATGACACAACACTGAATGCCATTTTAAGAGTTTGCTAAAACTTTCCAAGATTCACTTCAAAAATTGGGATGTTCCATTTAACCTACAAGAAAGCTTGCTTTTTTGTAAGGTCATTTTTAACAGCTGTTAATTAAAATACAAAAGAGAAAATGAATTCTATTTCTTGGTTTCCTGTTGGTAATATGAAAATCAAATTTAAAAGTGAAGCCTTGTGCAACCTTTATTGTGCCTGTAACAAAATATAATACTTGGGATTTGAGAACAAAGCCTGGCAGATTAAAAGACACTTCACTATAAAACTGAATAATAAAAGACATAATTAAACAGGTTTAACATTGGTTTTGTAATTCATTCATAATTAAAACAATTCTGAATGTTAACAGATTTTTACTAACAATGGAGAATCTGTATATAGAAAGAAAGCAAAGGGAAAAGGGGAAAAGGTTTTGTTGGCTTAAGACCATGATCCTCAAACAACAATTTCTGGGTAGTTCTAATAAGGTCAATGGAATTACTCCAGAATTGAGGCCTAGGTCTCACAAAAACAGGTGAACCTGTGTATAGTCTCTACCACTTTAGGCTCTGAGGTGAAGGCTCATCAAGTTATGATAATTCTCCATGAAAAATATTCACACAGAAAGAAAATTAGCATGTCATGTTGAAGGCTATGCTACCACCATTCATGCTCACATCGAGTTCGCTACATGCTGTGATTCCTCCCTCCCCATGTGCAGCAGGATGTGGCGGCTGTGTGCGCTGTGTTTCTGACTTGGTTTCCCTAAGTCATGCATCTCTACTGGTTACTGGGTAGGGAGTGGCAAGGCAGTGAGGAGCAGGTGTGGTGTAAGAGCAGCAGCGAAGGCAATTCAACATACCCAGCACTGTGCCTGCACCACCCTGAGCTCTCTGCTGCCTTGCCCCCCCCTCCGCTGGCTGCTACTGCCTGTATCACAGAACACTGAATTTTGTGAGCCCCAAACTGCAATTTGAGAATTACAGAATTTCCACCTCATTTGCTGTTCATGAGAGCAAGAGCTAAGTGGCTTAAGTACTATAGGCTTCAATAGCAGGTGGCTTCATTATGCTTATATTTCCTTTTTAAAAACATGTTGACCTAATATGGCTATACTATTATCATTATGATAATGGGATGGAACCAAAATTAAGAATGAAGATGATTCTATGTCAAAAGGGCACAAATATGAATTTGCAACAGTACTTAAGGTGCTTTCTTTTCTAAGGAGATACAGTAGCATCTTTTTGTATTCACTTCCTTGTTGCTACACACTGATCCCTCTTTGCCTGACATTTATAGTCTAGCAAGAGGAAATTAGTTCTGATCCAGAACTTGGTAGGTTGTCATATAAAAACATCTGGAAAGAAAATGTCTATTATTATGGAGATTTGAAAATTGTATTAAATACTTAAGTGCAGCACTGTGTCATTCGTTTATTTCTGTTTCTTTTGTTTCCAGTGTCATTCAAAACACAATCAGATTATACTATAAAAGCATCTTCATCCACCTCAGAGATTTCTGCTTGGATTATGTACTGATGCCTTGTAAAATTGAGACTTAATTCATGATCCCATGTGACTATACTCTGCTGACAACTACCACTTGTCTCTTGAGTCAGTTCTCTTGCTTGCTGTTTGTTCTCCGAGAGACCTGTCTGATGAATGTTTCGTATACGTAGTCTCATGTACTCCTGGAAAGTGGCAAGTGCAGAAATAGGAGCCATCAAGTCGTATACTTCAATTTGCTAGTGCCAGAAGATGAAGCAACAGCAGCACCAGTAGTAGCAGCAGCAGTAACAGCAGTAGCAGCAGCTGTGGCCTGACTGCCAACATAGAGTGGGTCCAAACAGGCCACTTTGGCCGCAAAGAAGGAGTGGATACAATGCAGGACTGCAAACAGGTTGGAAAATTCCAACTCCTGAAAGTGAAAGCAAAGAAGTCAAAGGTAAGATTAGGCCACCTTTTCATCTTCCACAGCACACCCAGCACTCTGTTGTAGAGACAATCCAACAGAGGTTTAACCAAGTCAAGGATAGTCATCCATCACTGTGGAAAGCTGCAGTATTTGTTGGCTAATGAAGAAACACCTTCTTTGGATAACATGCACTCAAATATTTGAGTGGAATGCTACAGCAATTTTATATTGGACGTTTGTGACAATGAATGCTAGAAACTAAGCCATGACTTAGCATGGAAAAGAAAATTTGTCGAATAAATAGAAAGAAGAAAGTTAAATTCACTGTTTCTTTATTTCTACAATCCATGGGCTAACTCATCCCCCTGCCCCTCTGGTAGGTAGAGAAGGATAAAAGGAAGTGGAAACCAATCAAAGGGCTTGAACTGGCCACAACATTATTGAAAGAACATGAAAAATGGGCATGTGGGGGGGGGATTAAGGTATTATGAGGAAAATCAGGCATAAGAAGGTTCCTGAGCTGAGCTACTAAAACACTGCTCCTTGTATCCCACCTTTATCCTGAATCATAGCCCATTCTCAAGCTGCTCCATTCTTGTGACCATTCTGTTTTACCCTATTGCAATCAACATGAACTTTTTGCTCTCCTAACACAGGTGACATTTTCCAGTTCTACACTGGTCCTTGTGCCATCTGGAGCAATCAACCTACCTTGGATCCTTTCCTCTTTACACAGGTAAGCACAAGGTCTTGATATTTCTTACCACATTCCTCTGATAAAGCTTGCAGCCTCCTTCCACTAACTAAGCAAATCCCATTTTCCCTAAAGAGGTGGGACCTTCCTTTTGCAGTGCTGAGCTTCCTGATAACCATGCCAAGCCACAGTCTTGCCCACAGCTGTTAGCCCTTCTTCTGGTTCTGTCTGTCCCACCGGGGATCAAAGCCCCTGACCAAACCCTCCTGGGCAGCATTTGCAGCCATGTTACTTCACCCCTTGGGAAGAATTGCCTAATGGTGCCCATTCCATTTGTGACCTTGATGGTCCAAAAGCTTGTAGAGGACATTCTGAATAAGGAGGATTACTAGAACCTGGGGATGCTGCTTATCTCTTCCCATAGAGATGGAAAGCCACATTCAGTGGATGGCATCTAAGTCATACACAGAGTTGGAACCGCTGCAATGGAACTGACTAACCTAAGCTTATTGATTTAAATCAGTTTAAGTTTAATATGACTTAGTTGGATACAAACCAGTGTTTTGAGATTTCTACCATCCTAGTGCAAAATGCTCTGTTAAGCCATATTTTATGACACGGTAGGCTACTATTTTCAGAATAAAAATATCCTGCTGCATGTATACTATATCCACTAACTACAGTTTAGCATGTGCCAGGTTCATGATGATTTCCTGCAAATTACATTAACTTCATGTTACAAGTTAGGAAAATTAAAGTGGTTAGACACTTTTTATGAAGTTCCCTGTTGAGTTATGTAAGAACAAGTGAGTTCATCCATCTTCCTGGATATGCAAACACTAGACTGAAACAAAAGAGAAAGGGAGGTTTCTTCCTGCTCTGAGCAGAGCCAATAGAAACTAGAATATTGCTGTACCTACATTTCCCAACCTGCCTTGAGGTCTAAAAAGGGAGAAAGGCATTAGCTTTTCTTAAAGGGGCAGAATTATTCCTTCTACCTAATACTAATACCCAAATTTGCTATCACTAAATAACTGGCCGTATAGTCTGGTACCTTTTCACAAATTATGACACCGAATATTATTACTACAACTATGAGCAACGTATGATTTGGGTTGCATCTGACTGAAGTCATATTGAATACTGGACCCATTAAAATCAATGGATAGCACTATTATCCCCACATAGCACTGGAGACACAGATGCCAGCCTATGTAAAGGCCATCTAACCATGGCTGGGCAAGATTTGAGCCAGAAACTCATATGTCACACTCTCAGTCATTGCACCACACTGGATTTCAGCATTAATAGCTACTAGAATCTGTCAGGAAATTGTGATCATGTCACAATTCTATTACTTTCTGCATATTTTCCAGCATTGGCAAGAGATCACTGTGGGATGGGCTGAGGATATCATCAATATGCTGATGACGTAAAACAGATCAAGGTGAACCATTTTTCAAAACTTGCTTTTGACTATGACTATTATTGATAATGGTAATGTATATTTTATGGGGCGGGGTTGTAAACCCCTTAGAGCAAGGGTAGTCAACCTTTTTATACCTACCACCCACTAATGCATCTTTCTTGATGGTAAAATTTCCTTACCACCCACCAGTGCTCAATGGGAGGAGGATTCAGCTTCTGCTGTAGAGCCCCCTACCGCTCACCTAGAATCCTGAAATGCCCATTAGTGGGTGGTAGGGACCAGGTTGACAACCCCTGCCTTAGAGGTTCTATTTATAGTTAATTGGTATACAATTTTTGTTAAATAAAATAACATGGGGGGGAATGTTACTCTATGTTTGGAATTAACAGAGTGATGGATGAGTGACATAAATGGATTGGTTTAACCTTTGCCTAGTATTTTATAACTAAAAGTAATGGGAAACTCACAAAGACTTAACAAAACATGATGATATTCCCTCTCCACAATGCTGGCATCATTTAAGTTGTTACATCTTCTGTGAACCCAGGAACTAAACAGAAATATCCTATTCACGGCCTAGGACCTTCGTACCTACGGGACTGCCACTCCCGGTATGCCCCACGGAGGACCTTAAGGTCCATAAATAGCAACACCCTAGAGGTCCCGGGCCCTAAGGAAGTTAGACTAGCCTCAACCAGAGCCAGGGCCTTTTCAACACTGGCTCCGACCTGGTGGAACACTCTGTCTCATGAGACCAGGGCACTGCAGGATCTGATCTCTTTCTGCCGGACCTGTAAGACAGAGTTGTTCCGCCTGGCCTTTGGCTTGGAGTCAATTTGACTCCCTCCCCCTCTTTCTCTTTTCCTCTCTCTTCCCGTGATGAGGCTGCATTTTAATGTTTTAATGTTTTAAAGTTGTATTTTAATGTCATTTTTAAGTTGTATTTCAATCAACTTGTTTTTATTATTGGTTGTTAGCTGCCCTGAGCCCAGCCTTGGCTGGGGAGGGCGGGGTATAAATAAAATTTATTATTAGCTAAATGTGGAAACAGCAAAGAGGATGAACTTAAAGGATGTGTTCTCTGGGATGCTTTCTGCATGAAATATAAAGCACAGTGTCCCCAAAACAAATACTATTTTAAAAGGCTGATTTCGAGCTTTCAAAAACAGCATTATAGAAAGCTGTCCTTTTTCAAAAAAATCTAAGCAATGAAGCATGATGCTGCTGTATTTCTATAATGCACTTGGTAATTCGTAATTAAGGCTGCATTGTAAACAATGCCAAAATTTGGCTAGCTTTCCACCATAAATAGTAGACTAATGCGTCTGACATTCTCAAGGAGCATTTCACATTTCTTCCTGATTTTTACTAATGTGTGCTTTGAATATATTGTATTGTGGCACTAAGTTAAAGTCACTTACTGGTGCAATTGATCTGCTGGGGCAGTGGCAGGAGAAGCTGTGCCCATTCCACTTTTAGCTTATTAAAGGGGGTGGCCAGGTGCAGGCTTCCCTATTTGCTGACCATCACAGGATTTTTCACCCACCCCAGTATGTTAGTGGTCTGCCCAGTGGAGAAGCAGATGTGTGGCATATGGTCTTTGCTATGCTTTGCTTGGTCGTCATGTTCAGGTGCAGGGAGGAATTTTCTTCTGCAAGCAATTTGGCATGCTTCCACCTACCTCACTGTTACAACTTTAGGGGATAAGGCATTGGGCTGGAGGATACACTGCTAAATGGGTCTGGGAGGGGTGACTGTCCAGGAATCCACACGGGGACTGATGGGCCAATACACTCTCCAAATGGCAGCCTGTGTGCGGTTGTGGCACAGTACAGCATCAAACCCCACCATGTTCCTGTCAGATAGTAGGTGTGTTGCCTGATGCTGGATACATGCCCAATGCCTAAGCCAAACCTACCCTTTCCTGTAATCAATAAAGTTGTGGCCTAATTCAACCCCAATACCAGTCTCCTGTGCTCATTCTTTCACCCTTCCCTGTACCAGCTGAGGACATCATGTGCCTATGGTGGCAATCCTCTGTTGTGAAGCAGTAAATCTCACATTTCCAAAAACCTGCATGTGAACCAAACACATGGAATTTAATCTGGAATAAACTCCTCTCTGAATTCTTTTAAGAAATGTATCACACAAAAACAAGTTTATTATTGGCTGGTAATTCCCAATGAGCCAAGATTTTTTCCTTAGAACTGTACCTGAGCAAGACTTCCTCTATCACTGAAGATTATAAAACTAGATTTAGTGTTATTTTATGTTCAGTTTGTAACTTAAGTTTTATGTCCAAGCGGGCAAACATGACTGACTGGTCAAATGTGCAGGCGGCTGCTTTAATAGCATGGGCTTCTCACTTGTCAGGATCTATATATATTTTCCCCCTGTCAGAACTTAACTCACAATGGAGAAAGATTGCTAGACATACCCAGGTTAATGTTAAAGCTACTGGCCAATAAAATATTCTGTCAGTGACTGCACATCAACCCACATTTGAATTCTCTGTTCTTGATTAAACATACAGGTATAAGTGCAGGTGAACAGGAATTTGCTCTTTTATGAAGTAAAGTCTGACAGAAAATGTAAAATGCTCTGGCATTCCTGATGCAATCCTGAGACACATGCTCAAACGCTTTTACAGAGAACAGGCTTTCACAGCAGTAATTGTAATAATTTATCCTTTACTCACATGATATGAGGAGGCACTAAAAAAAGAACATATAGTCGTTGTCCCTTGCCCCATTTTCTTCCCTGTAGATAAGCTGTCCTGGCATCAGATGTCTCTCACTTTCAGGGTTTGCAAGTTATAACAGAAGCATAAAACAGGAAGCTGCTTCTTCATAACATGCAAAAGTTCTAGGACTCAGACCAGTGCCACACAATTCAAATGGTTGGTGCTGACCTTCAAAAACCTAAATGGCTTCGGCCTTGTATACCTGAAGGAGTGCTGTCACCCCCATCGTTCAGCCTGGACACTGAGGTCCAGCACCCAGGGCCTTCTGGTGGTTCCCTCACTGTGAGAAGTGAGGTTACAGGGAACCAGGCAGAGGGCCTTCTCAGCAGTGCTGCCCTCCCTGTGGAACGCCGTCCCATCAGATGTCAAGAAGAAAAATAACTATACAACTTTTAGAAGACCTCTGAAGGCAGACCTGTATTGAGAAGTTTTAAATGTCTGACGTCTTTATATGTGTTGCAAGCTGCCCAGAGTGGCTGGAACAGCCCAGCCAGATTGGTGGTGTATAAATAATAAAATTATTATTATAAAAGTAAATAGTCTTCATTCCTTCTGTTGTATATAACTCCACAATGTATAACCACAACACATAGACAAATGCACTAGCATTCCCCCACCCACACCACAACTGTTGTTACAGCAACGCTTTCTGACAAAGATTAGGAATCAGAGGGAAGGAAGGTGTACAAATTCTGTCTCAGCACAGTCTGCTGTTACCAGGTGGCTGAGAAGCAGGAATGGCATCAGCTACCTGATATAATAAATGAAGTATGTGGCATAATTTCACCTGGGTAGTTTAGTATTCATAGCATATGCTAAGCTCTGCCAAACCACAAAGTTGAAATGCATACCTAATAAATATCCATAGCACCCTTTATCACAATGTACTGTTATGTGTTTGGGGGAGGGGCAGACTCTCCATAATCTCTAGACCCAGTAAAGAGCTGGAATTTGAGCAAGCTCATGAATTCATGAAGTAAGAAAAGTTTGGTTAATTAAAAGCCAAGTGCTGTTGCATTCAGTTTAGGATCACAAGCCAAGGCAGCTTCACATAGCTAGCCAGAGATAAGCCAAGCCGGTAACATGTTGATGGCCCATGATGGCATCCATCTATCTCAAGAGACAATGGAGCGCACCCCATGGGGCTGCTATGTTAGGAGCACTCAAGTGACCTCCCCCGAGTACAAGCAGTGTGTATGGTTACAGCAATAGGCTTTTTGTATGTGTATTAAGAGATAGATAATACCTTAAATAACTGGACTAGCTACTGAGGGGCAGACTGTCCTCTCAATGTCCAATTCCCTACTGAATGAAGACTACAATGCATCAACCTAGTTATCGGCTTGGCTTTGCATGCAGCTCTGCCTGATTTTTAGTTTACTTTTTTCTAGTTCTCAGACAAAATAGCAACAGAACTGAGTGTTCATCTTGTTATTTAAGCATCAGTACATGAGCCTCAAATTTTGTTGTCTTCCCTGCCCCTGATTACTTGATCTAATATCCTTCAGACAAGGGAAACATATTGGAGTTCTTGCTTTTACCTTTGCTTCAATCTGTTTAGTATCTGGATTTTGGAACAAGAATTTGATTTTGCTCTTGCCATCATCTGAAGACCCTTTAAGCTGGGAAAACTTGTACCGCCATAGTACAGCCTAAAGGGGGGAGGAGAGAAGAAGAAGAAGAAAAAAAACATACACAGGAACATCAGCACACAAAATATAAGCAGAGAAAAAGTCCTTCTAGGGAACTTTATAACGTACCAATGATAATAAAATTAAACAAGAGCAGTGTTCTCTGCTCCGAAGTCTCTTTGATCATAAAACTGCATCACATTTTGACAGTGTCTGGTTCAGAGCAGTCAGGCTGCATTTGTGAAATGTTCGTTGAAATCCTTTTAGCTCAGCCTGACCCTGGTTAACAGCAAAAGATAGAAGTAAAGTGAAGACCCCAATTTACACTATGTCAAATATGTGGTAAATAAGCCAGACTTCATCTCCTGTCCTGAGCACCTATTTATTGCAGATTCACTCATTTTCCTAGTGCAGTGTTCTGATAACTTCCATTTCAATAAAATTGGCCAAATGGGCTGATTAATGTTATGTAATGGAGAAGGGTTTCCAAATGGCTTCCTACCTGAGGGGAAAAACATAGGACTATCATCTTGTGCTTTAGAACTTCCTTCTACCCATCATGATCAAAATATATATATATGCCCATTTCTAGGTGAGACAAATACACCAATCAGATTGCCACACATGGGACTTTGGCTTCATTCAGCTCTTGCGAAAGCAAAGAAACCATCTGTAATTCCAAAACTGTAACCTGGAGCAATGGATCCAACTGCCTTTAGAGAAATTGTTCCCCAAAGAATGATGAAATATTACAAACTACCTATCAAGCAAATGCTTTGAAGCATCATCTACAAATCCCAACACCAAAAATTACAGCCTATTATTATTATTACTGCTACTTATTTAAGGTCCCAGGGCTGGTTACAACAATCTGAAATACAATATTAAAAACCATTTAAAAACTTACAATGGCAAAGAATACAGACATAAAAAATAGGGTAGGCTCTAAAAATACACATCTCAAGTGTCAAAGGTCAGGGGAAAGATGTAGCCATTCAGCATTCACTGAATACGGGATGTGAATAAATGGTCGTCTTTAAGTTTTCGAGATGTAAACATGGGCTGCTATATGTAAGCCTTATGAAGATATTCAAATGTGAATATCTAAGCACATTCAATTCAAGGTCTCTCTGGAGTCTGGTTGTGCAGAACTGTATGCATTTAGGCTTTCTTAATGCTCTTTAAGTCAGGATGGGGCCTACCACCATGATCCTGCTCCACACTCCATTTTGTACATAATTTGAATATTTGCATGGGGCTACTGTTAACTGGCCATCAGCCAAAATGTACTCTTATTTGCTTGAATTGTTTGGAATTAGTAAGACCAAGATACTGTCCCAAACTCTGCCCATTTTGAGGGTCGTGATGGAGTCACACAACATAGTGGAGCTATGGGTCAACAGTGTTTGTTTTTCTGGCAAAGTGGCAGGTCTGTGGGAGTACTTATTCATGTGAATGTCTCAGCATCATGTACACTTGGTACAATAGTGTAGCATCCAAGCTTTTTACAGCAGTCTAGCATTCCATTCTGGGTGTCAGGATTCCCTCACACAGGTTCACTCAGTTCTTAAAACAACAGTTTAAAACTAAATGTTAGAACATATTATAATGTAATATACAATGAGTGCATTGGGATCTCTGGGCTGGGGAGCTCAAGTTCATAAATGCACATTTATAGCCAAAAATTATAACGTTTCCAATAGCCAGTAAAAGTTTGGCTTTTCAAAAGTAACAGGTATTGCTGCTCAGCATCAGAGAAATATAATGGTTTTATAATGGTGGACAATTTTATAATTGTTTGTATTGTAGTTCTTTTTCAGTTTAATTGAAGCCTCCCTGAAAATACTGTTGTATTTACACACAGGGTTTACATTTAGCAAAAAAATTAGAAGATTTCCCCACCACCACCACACATTAATGTGGAAAATACTAATAGAGATAATGCTCTGTAATCCTTATTTGTAATCCTCCAGGTCACTATTAACCCCAAAGTGAAGAAGCAGATACTGAGGGTGAGATATTTAACTTGGGTATAAAATTGCTATGCTGAGACAGGCCATCTGGTTCATCATTCTGTCTCTAGCTATGGACAAATGCCTAAGGGAAGCTTACATGAAGGGCAAGATGGTGACAACCGTGTTAATCTGAAGAAATAAACATCCACTGATTGATCTTTGAAAACTAATCTAGCATTCTGGGCCATAACTGCAATCAATTTCAGTGGGTTAAATTAAGCATTTTAACCAGTCATCTCCAGCCTTTCATTTGCTTTACCCCTGCCTCTAGACTACCGATAAACTTCATTTCAGCAATGACACATTGTGCAACTTCCCATTCTCAGATTTTAACAAAAGAACAAAAACGGTTCCAACTAAATGCCTGGGATATAGAGCAAAATCTTGAAAAGATTGTAATGTTGGCACTAGGTGTGGCTCCTTAGAGAGGGATTCCAAAGTCAAAGAGCCACAACAGCTTCTTTGCAGCTGTGTATTATATCTCTGTTCAAGAAATTTCTTGGCTATGGACCTCTACAGAAGATTTTTAGACACAATAAGATTGCTATAAGAAGACTAAGCTTATTAATCAGGGCTGGGTGGGAAATCTCTGTCCTGTGGGCCTGATTAGGCTCAGCATGAGTCCCAATTTAGACCGCAATGCTGCTTTCTCTAAACCATGACCACTTGCCCCACACCTGATAGTCTCATTTGTTGATGCACTTTCATTACCCTTCAAAGGCACTTGATGCAAGATCCTAATTGTCCATTTGCAGATGCTGTTTGGGCACAGGACACCTGCACAACATTGTAGCAAGGATCATGGACTTAGAAGGACTATAGTGATGTGGGAGGGGAGCTAAAGCAAGGGGAGAGGGTTTGCCTGGTGCCTGCCTTCACATCTTCACATCCAGCAGTGACCTTTTTGTTTTCCTAGACCTGCTTTAGCTTCTCAGTTGGCCTTCATTTCTATCAAATGATTTCTTGCTGCTTTTATCTAGCTATCATTGTTATTTCTGCTATTGCCTGCTGGTTTTTTAAAACAAGTTTTTTTGGGCTTTTTTGTATTCTGTTTACATAAGCTGCCCTGGAAGCTTTGTCGAAAGGAGGGTTACAAATGCACTTGTTCAGAAGGTCAAAAGTGAGCAGGAAAAAAAACCAAAGCACAAAACCGCTACAAACCATGCAATGGCGGCCATCCAGGCACCAGCAAACAAAATGTACAGTAGTTGCAAGAAAAAGTTAATAAGCACCCTCCCTCTCTAACTTTTCTGTGGTCTTTTGATCATCACAAAACTTCTCATTTTCCAGTCCAAATTCCAGGATAATGCAGTATTTCAAGAACTGCTTCTCAGCAAAATGAAAATAATGGGAACTATCAATGTGCACTTGCTAGGAAACATTATTAATTTGACATTTCATACTACAACTGGCTGAACATATTTTACCCTATGTCAGGAAACCTGAACTTCCTACCTAATTTGTTGATTCTCACAGGCCTGGTCTGAAGTGGTTTAGCATTAACTGCCTGAGCTCTGGACTTGTGTGCTCCTCATTTCCTCTTCTCGTATGGCTGCAAGGAGGAAATTGGAAACTTTGGTTTCCATTCTGATTTACCCACAGTGTATTGTTACATCCAAACTTTAAAGAGGTTCAGCTGAACCGTAATGTAGAGTTGGGGTGGCCAACCTGTAGCTCTGCAGTTGTTGTTGCACTATAACTCCCACCAGATCCAGACACCGTGGACAAGGCTGATGGGAGTTGTAGTTCAACAGCATCTGGGGGGCTACAGGCTTAGGAAAACAAACCAACTTCCTAAACCATGGGTTTGTTGGGATTTGGTTAGTTAAACTCTGGTTAGTTAAAAATAGAAGTGAAAACTACTGCTCTCCTTGTGCCTGCACTAGAGGAAAACAGAGGGCAGGGTGGCTAATGAAGCCCAGGCCCATTCCTGCAACACTCAATTATAGTTTTGCATTACATCCAAATGAGGCCGACATAGCTCTTGTTAGAAACATCTGTTCCTCTTGATTTTATTAGAGGATAAATTTAATTGGGAAAGAAAACCCTCTAAAAGCATCACATTCTTATTGCTCTTGACATTGTATCATGCAAACACACTCTTCCAAGATGGGCTTAATACATCCTTCCTTGAATTCACTTTTGTTACAAAGCTTTGCTACTTAGCAGGGCTTGGAATTGGCACTCTGGGAAATAGGCAGTGTATCAGCCATCCCATCATGCCAGCTTGTTTCGACCAAAATGAAAGCTACCCTCAAGTGTGCCAGGTGCTGGGTTTGGAGTGGTGAAGAATCCTGATTACTTCTTAGGCACTTGCTTTTTTCCTTGTTTGGCACAAGTGATTTAATTTTAATTGGAAGCTGCAGGGTTAGCTTCATTGCCAGCTAATAATGACCCGATTTCAGAAAACATGGAAGCTGCTAAAGCCATCTGGCTTTGTGGGTTGAGGAATTTCAAAACCAAGAATATCCCTGTTGGATAACACCAAGGATCCATCGAGTCCAGCATCCTGCTTCTAGAAGTGATCAGCCGGATGCTATCGGGAATTCTACAAATATGTCAAGAAGGCATCTGTCCTTTTGTTTGCCCCACAACAAATAATATTCTGAGACAAGCTGCCTCTGAATTTGAAGGTACAGTTTAGCTGCCATGGTTAATAGTCATTCATAGGCATATCCTCTGTGAATTAATTTTTATTACCCTCTGAAGCCCCCTGTCTTACATCTAGTGGCAGCAACTTCCATTCAGTTAACTATGTGATGTGAAAAGGACTTTCTTTTGTTTGTCTTTTGTGGTAGAGAATCAAGTTTGCCTGCAGAAGGTCATGGGTTCAATCTCTGGCAACTCCAGGTAGGGCTGGAGAAGATTGCCTGCCTGAAACCCTGGACTGCCACTGCCAATCAGTGTCAAGATTACTAAGCAAAATGGACCAATCATCTGACTTGATATAAGGTAGCATTTTATGTTTATGGGGAAGGGCTACAACTCAGTGGTACAGCATCTGGTTTGCATGAAGGTGGTCCAAGGTTTAATTGGCTGCATCTCCAGTTAGGAATGAAAATATCCTCCATCAGAAACCCTGGAGATTTGCTGCTTTATCAGTACAGTGGTCTGATTTGAAATAAGGCAGCTTCTAGTGTTTCTATTAATGACCACAACTTCCAATGTTTCAGTCACCTTTTTCATACCAAGCATAATTATGCGTAGTTATGCTCAGGCTAAAGGGGTGGGGAGTGTTTCATAAGTATTTCCTAGTTTGGTGATAGTTTGGTAATGAAACCCTAACAATACATGCTATACTGCAAAGCCATGATACTGGATTCCAATAAAGACTGTAGGGATTTGATTGCTCTTTTGGACAGAAAATTACAATATGGGAACTGAAACAACGACTGAACTACCATCAGTATAATGATAATGACACATTTCCACTTTCTGAACACAAAGTGGTAGGTGACAGTCTTGAACTGGCATATGGTACCAGGAAAGAATTGGTGGGGGGTGAACAACTTGATACTTCATCCAGATAAGATGGAAATGCTGTTAAAGGCTCCATTAATTTGAAGATGAGTATCCAATCTCTTCTGGATGAAGATGCTTTTTCTTCCAAGGTATGTACAGATGGATATGCTCCTGGATTCAGCCTGCACTTTTTAACCGGCTTTGGCTTGTTGGCCTGCTTGAGCCACAAAAAGTGATCCTGGCCTCTGTATTCAATCCATAACAAATCTAAAGGATGCTTACTAAAGAATAATTAATTTGTGCTTCATGTAATTTTAATATTTGTATGCTTTGTGTTTACACTTCTTGCTAGCTACTTTAGATGTTGTTTGCTATAGAAAAGTGAAGTAATAATAAACAAGAATTACAAAGGTTTTGAAACCCAAATGCCATCACTCATCACCCCAACCTTCCGGTTTTTGATGAATGGCAGGAGAGATAAAAGGGTAAGGATCTCAAGTTTGAATTATTCAACTTTACTGGCATCATAAAAGGAAAAGCAGCAGTAGGATTTTGTCTTCACTCATGAATTTCAAAGATAACGAAAAGGCTTTTTGAGTTTCTCAAAAAAATAAAAATACCAGGATAGATTATGATATGCTGTTATGAGTGTTGCTGCCACAAGTAATAAATTGTAAAGATCAATAATATTGGGTAGCAGTAGCTTTCTACTGAAAAATACCATTGCTGTGAGGTAGGAACCTTCATAGTACAGTGGTGCCCCACAAGACGAATGCCTCGCAAGACGGAAAACCCGCTAGACGAAAGGGTTTTCCGTTTTTGAGTTGCTTCGCAGGACGAATTTCCCTATGGGCTTGCTTCGCAAGACGGAAATGTCTTGCGAGTCTTGAGATTTTTTTTTCGCTTCCCCCCCTTTTTTCTAAGCCGCTAAGCCGCTAAGCCTTTAATAGCCGCTAAACCGCTAATAGCGCTAATCCGCTAATCCACTAATAGGGTTGCTTCGCAAGACGAAAAAACCGCTAGACGAAGACTCTCGCGGAACGGATTAATTTTGTCTTGCGAGGCACCACTGTACAAGCTCCCATGTGATCTGGAACCCTGCGCAATCGGTTCCTCCTCTTGTATTATTGTTAGCAGTGAACAGAATGTCAGAATAAAGCTGTTGAATTCCTATGCTTGTGTCACCAACCTCAAGGAAGCTTCCTAACTGGACCAAAACCTTGGGCTTAGTCCCTTTATCTGCTTTCTGTGGACAAGCCTTCTCCTACAATTCATGTGACTGGTGACAGCCCTCACTTCACCATGTCCTCAAAAAATGGATTTACTCAGTTGAGTCAGAGGCTCTCTCAAAGTTTGGTGAGAAAAGCTCAGAGATCTCAAAACCCTTCTGGCATTTTCTTGTGGGCCAGATCAGGGACTTTTCAACACCGCTGAGCAGTGATTTGTGTACTGATATGGATGATACATGCAGAAACTCTCACAATTTTCCTGCACATTGCTTAGCTGATCAATAAAGGCCCTGATTGATCAGAAGTGCAATTTTTGACATGAAAATTGAAGCTGTCAGAAATTTGGCCCAGCTCTTAATAATCAAAACACAGTAATGTGCACAAAGAGAATATGGATGGGGGTATGTGATAGGTTCCAAACCAAATTTATTCTTCTGGTCAAGTAAATACCTTGGGAAAATAATCTGCAGTGTTCTTTGAGGAGGCCTGGGGTATATTTTGGCAGTTGGGGGGGGCGAAATCAATGGAAAGGCACCCACTGACTTCAGTGAAGTATAGATCAGGCTTGTGGTAATCATGATAATGTAAAAGCTGATAGTATGTCAGTGGCCTGTCAAAGCAAATTACTTGCTTCAGGTGAATGAGCAAAGTAGGATTTTATAAGGCTAGAGAAAATATTACAAGGACTGAGGCTGATTCTAATGGTTTCTGTCTGGAAGGCAACTGACATTTCTCTTATTCTGACACTGTTGCCAGCTAGATATGTTGATTAAGACATCTGTGTGTGGTTTCTTCTGTTCTGAAAATATAAATCCGAAGCCATAACTATGTTAATAGTTTTGTTAGTGCAGTTTCCTATCTGATGGATTCTATCAGAGGAAACGGTGTTGAAAGAGATTTTAGAGGAAAGTAGCACCATGGAAGAAAACAAACAAACTGTGCTTTGTTTTTCATGACTCTCATAGAGAAAGTACAATCTTGACATTTGACCAATGTGGATTGTGATTTTTCTATTAACATCTAGATAATAAAACAATCACCCTGATCCAGAGAAAACAATCTGCAAGTAGAAACCTATTTCACTCCACAACATTTGTTGTGAGCGGGAGTAGGAAACAGAAGCTGGCACAGGCACCTTTTTTTTGAATTCATTATAGGTTATCAGCACTGTCAGAGCTCTTACTATGGAGGGGGAAACATCAGGAACACAACCAAAACCCCATTCTCTGCTTCTGGCTCCCTCAATCAGGGCCACGGAATGAAGGGCTATGATTCAAAAGCATATTGTCTGCATGCTAAAAGCTTCAGTCCCTTTTCTCATTTGTTTAAGAAATTTGTAGCAATGGGCAAGTTTGCACGGATTACATTTATAATTAGGCTTGTCAAAATGAGTTTCTCCCCTTCCTCCTTGAGACTGGAAAATTGGCTGAGTTTATTCTGAACCAGTTAAAAGCAAGAATGAACTCTGTCATTCTCCCAATGGCATCAATGTGAGTGCATTGCTTAATGCTGCTCTCATAAGCACCTAAATCCCCTTGCCTGGTGGCAGCACTTTCTGCTCTTGTGGTAACAGTATGAAGGGTTTATATTTCCCCAAGCTTCTGGTATCAGGATTGCTGCTGTGGGAAGGAGTGTGAGGCAAGGAAAGATGTCTCCACACATTCTCTGCCACCAGAGCAGCAGTACCTGCTACCAGGTAAGAGAGATTAGGTAAAGAAGAAGTTCATCTCTGAACTGAAATAGAAAAAAAACTAAACTAAACTGGAAAAGAATTCCAGAGATGCAACAATTCTCTTCAAATGGAATGCCATACTGAATGCCAAACTTCATGTGAACTTTGGCCATATCTCTAGAAGTTTGTCCCTTTTTAGAGCTTTTGAATTATGTGCTTTATGATGTTCATGGAGAAGGGGGAGAGAAAAGGAAAGGAGATGGAACAAGTAGAAGAGCAGGGGCTGTAGAAAAGGATCAAGTCATGTATTCCATCTCAAGAACATTCTACAGAAATAAGTCCTGCAGAAACTATTTTAAAAAGTATATTGAGAATGTGATAGGATAAAATTATTATTTATTAAATTTCTAAACTACCCTTCAGCTGAGGATCACAGGGTGCTTTACAATATAAAAACAAAAGAATGTGTACCTACCATAGTAACAAATAAAAACAATACCCCCAAGTTTTAAATGCCATAGATTGTTAAATTAGCCTAAAATCTGTGTGAAGAGGGATGTTTTTGCCTGGCACTTAAAGATATGTAACGAATGGGGCAGGCAAGCCTCCCTGGGGAGAGCATTCCACAAGCAGGGATCCACTGCAGATAAGGCCCGTTCTCGTGTTGCCACCCTCAGGACCTCTCATGGAGAGCCTCAGATTATGATCACAGGGTCCAGGTTGGTTCATATGGGGGGAGGCAAATACAGCATAGCGGCAGACTTCAAACAATGGCTCAACTCTCAATTGAAAAGATAATTCTTGGTAATGAATCATTAACAGCATGTAAACATCTTCTCATGGCCTTACCTTTGTTGCAGCATCAAAGCATACGAAACCCATGCCAAAGTCTATGGTAAGCCCCATAAGATGACTCTCCAGAACACAGGCATATGTCTTGCACTAAGAAAGATTGAAAAACGCAGCATGTTAGATAGCGCTTCAGTTGAGTACATGTATTTTGAAAAATTATAGCTAAGGGGAAATACCTGTTTAGTTACTAATTAGCCCTGGCAAGAACAAAATACATCTTTGCAAATAACACAAACCCTTAACCATTCAATCAACTGGCTATTTGCATTCCATGAAAGAGAGCTTCTACCTCTACCTACATGGAGAACACATAGGGGCTGAGTGTGCAGTGGCGGAATAGCAGGCAGCAGCGGCAGAAACAGGCAGGGGGTTGTAGGGATGGCGGCGGCAGCAGTGCAATGCAACACTTCCCATTTTTCCTCAAGTGATGAAGCAGGATGTGCCACCCCTGACTATCTGGCTACAATTTAGCATAGTAGGTAAGTAAATACAGTGGTACTTTATGAACAACTTGAATTAAGAACACTGCAAACCTGGAAGTAAGTGTTTTGATTTGTAAACTTTGCCTCGGAATATGAACATGTTTCACTTCCTTGCTGTGTGTGTTCCATTTGTAAATCGAGTCCCCCACTGCTATGGGAAAGCACGCCTTGGTTTAAGAACGCTTTGGTTTAAGAGTGGACTTCCGGAACAGATGAAGTTCGTAAACCAAGGTATCACTGTACAGTGGTGCCTCGCAAGACGAAATTAATCCGTTCCGCGAGTGTCTTCGTCTAGCGGTTTTTCGTCTTGCGAAGCAACCCTATTAGCGGCTTAACGGATTAGCGCTATTAGCGGTTTAGTGGCTATTAAAGGCTTAAAGGCTTAGCGGATTAGCTGCTAAAAGGCTATTAAAGGCTTAGCGGCGTAGATAAAGGGGGGGGAGCGAAAAAAAAATCTCAAGACTCGCAAGACATTTTCGTCTTGTGAAGCAAGCCCATAGGGAAATTCGTCCTGCGAAGCAACTCAAAAACGAAAAACCCTTTCGTCTAGCGGGTTTTCCGTCTTGCGAGGCATTCGTCTTGCGGGGCACCACTGTATTGGAATTCAACCGTCTTTGCCTATTCCTCAATGTAAATGAAGTAACTGAGAGTGAAATGCATCACCTCCTAATTTCTGATCACACATGGAATACATCTGCTTGCGTATGACTGGGGACACATGCACCTTTGGTAAATGAAGAGAGGCACTTTTGTCTGCAGCTTTTATGTCCCATTACTTTAATGCAAGATAAACATATTTCATTGGAAGTGGGTATGCAAACAAAATATATATATAATGACTAGGTATTTGCCGTTGATGCAATGGCTCATGAAAGAAGACAATGAATAAGAAGACTCTTAGGTTCCTAGAATTGTCCTAGTGGGGTTCTCGTGGACTTGGATCTAACCACTTGATGGACCTACATTTATCTATTTTTATGATTTGTATTATAGTTGACAACCCCCCCCCCCCAATTCATTTTCAAATAATTTATGTCAGGAAATGTGTTGATAAGGGCAAATGACCAAACTTCCATTGCCAGCAAGTTGCTAATACAGCACTTCTAACATAGAAGGAAATCGGAAGAACTCCCTTTATTTTTAGTTTCTTATCTCTCCAACCCCCCCCCCCAATACAGTGTGACATTTTGGTTTGCATTGATAAAATGAAACTGTTCAACACTGAGTTTCAGTTAACAACAAATTACATTCTTCTACTGAGCTCCTTGTTTGATAGTTGGCTTCTGGTTCCTAATGCCAAGCTAGTACTTCTCAGCGCAAATAAGGCATTTTTCTGATCAGAACATCATTGTCAAGATGTGAAGTGCACAGCAGAGCTTGAAAAGGCCAAGCTACTCATCACAGAAGTGCTTATGAAAGGTGCTACCTTTTCACATTAAAGTCAGAGACAAATCTCTTGAAATCCTTCTGAGACTGATGAAAACCCTAGTTTAGAGCTAGAAGAACAATGACTTAAGGACTTTTTATACAAAATAAATGTTTAAACAGAAACTGCCAAGCAGAAATAATCTGATCGCTAATTAAGTTGTCCATTGCAAAGTGATTCCTATCAATTTAAATTCAGATTTCTGTTTTCTGCCAACAGTAGCCCCCCCCCCAATTTCTCAAATCATATAATTCATAACTAACATGATTTCAATAAACAAACAAATAACATCAAAATCTAAAGTGGCTCACCTGTAAATGCAGTCACAGATATGGAAAAGCACCTGCACAACCTACTGGTGGAACTTTCTAGAAAGCTCTGGAAGATTGGGTATGCTGGATCCCTTCCTTTACACCCCTGCATAGTATCAATTACTGCATGGCCTTTGGGAGAAATGTCCATGGTGGCAACAATTTGTTTCCTGAGCACTTTCTGTAAGACTTCTGCAAAAAACTTTCACATTTTAATGATGTCTGCCTCTTTGAGGCATGTGAGGCAGTGACTGCGAAGATCAAGAACTTTACTCACACAGTTGCTACACTTTTTGAAGATAGCCCTACTCAGCATCAGGGCAAAATTCAAGGAGGAAAAATAAAGAGTGGAGAGGGGGAGCATAGAGCGAGAGATGTATCTTCGTGCCACTGCTTTTTGCACAAGTGAAGAAGGGAGCCTGAAGGGCTGACTCTAGATTCTTAGCCCATACAGAGATCACAAATGAGTTCACAGGGATGAGAGGGGCAAATCCAATGCTGTCAGTCTTCCAAAGCTTCCTAGAAGGTCCCTGTGAACAGCCCAGGCACATTCCCATATTTGGAACAGAACAGAACACACCAAGAATAACCAGTTAGTTGGGACACTGAGATGGGTATTCATTGCACTACTTATATGCTATACTTCCACATCTTTAAAAGTGATCATTTTGTAAACATATGCAGTTTGCAAAGTATGTGTCAGGTGTCTAATTCCCTTATCAAACCAAAAGGGTTACTAGAGCTCTTTGGAACAGCAGTGTTTTGAAACAAGTGCTATTCAATATGCACCACCTTCGTGTGGTCTTTTGAGATAAGGGACAGCTTTTTCAAGCAATTCTAGGCAGCCCATGTTTAGATGTTGGCAAAGGCATAAAAATAAGACAAACTAAAGTGTGGTATCTTCAGATGCTAAAGGAATTGTCCCATCCCAAATAGATGGCTGAAAAAAGGGGGAAAGGTAGGATTGAATGGAAGAAGAGCCACAGAAATTTGGCCCATAGCCAGCTGAGGAGACAAGCTTTCTTGATTCTGCATTTGTCTCCAGGGCTGTTGACTTTAGATTATGACTTTATTATCTCCCATGACAACCACAAAAGTTTGGTGGGAAGCAAAGAAAGTCGGGGGGGGGGGGAGAGATGGAATGAGAAGAGCAAGAGTCCATTTTACAAAAGCTCTGCTAGAAAATGGATAGTATGAATCATTTTCTCAGCTGCCATTGCCACAGCAGTCCTCAAAAAGTACCATTTATAATTCAAACCACTGAGACATATTTTCTATACAGCATGATAAAAATTGGATATAGCTCAGATGTTGGAGCCAAGTGTTCCACAGGTGAATATGGCATGGCTCAACAAAGTATAAATACTGGCCTGGATCTGAAGAATTGATCCATGGGATTTCATTATCTCCTGCCACAACAGGCACTTGTTCCTCCCCTCAAAAGGTAAGGCCCAGGCAGGCACAATATGTGACCCATCAGAGCAGCAAAATAACCAGACCGTAGAACAGTGATGGAATAAAATCTTTATTGACAGCAAAAGGCAGGGTAAGGGATTATGAAATCATTCCATGATGGAATGGGTCTCCTGGGTTTGGACCACCCCAAACCCATTTCATGGGAGTCAGCCAGTGCTGAACTTTGTGTAGTGCAAGCCAAGCAAGCAAGGTCTCACTGGGTGACCAGGGTGCAGATTCCAACCAGGCACCTCAACCCAAGCTTGGAGGTACCATGGTCAATTGTCCCCTCAGGCCCTTTATGGGCTCTCCCATCCTATGTGGATCCTGCCCAATGCCATTTCTGCCTTCAACAAACAATGTTGTTCCGCCTAACAAAGGAAGACCATAATTTCACTGGGGGAAAGGTGGGAGGGAAGTGCCAATCAGGTTGAGTGAAAAAAATTATTTCCCGCCCTGTCAACGAGCTACTCAAAATTGCTCAGTGAAGGTTTTAACCAGAGGGTGGGCGGGCGCCAAGTGGAAGGCTTTCCTCTCCCCTTTGTAAGACTGCATTTTGCTGCAGTCTATGGGCCCCAGCGCTGCTGGGCAAAGGCACCCCATGCTTACTGGGTGTGGAACGAGGCTTCCTGAGGTGAAACAGTATGTGAGGGACGGCTGCTAGGAATCATTGCTCCCCCCACCCCCAATATGTAGAAGCACCTTTCATATTCATGTGCAGGGAACTTTGATTCCAAGCCTCTGAATGCAATCCAGAGAAAATGAAGTCTGCCATTGGAATCAAACTTAGCAAACACGGTTACACATTTGTGTATATGTGAATTGCACTCAGCTAAAACAACAACAACAGCAGCATTCCTGCATCCAGTTAATTATTATTAGTCCTATCAAAGTTCGAAAATTTAGAGCAGAGTACATAGATGCTGTCTCTTTTTTTGTAAGATTTCCGGAAAATGTTTATTGTAAGAGAAATAAAATTAAATACTGGGCTTAAAATGATTAGCAAAAACTAGTACATAAAACATCCAGTAAAAGTAATAGGAGAAAATAAATGATTTTTGATTTTGTGAGTGAAACAAATCATTCCACAGAGAAAAATAAAAAACGAAGTAATCAATGGAAAGCCTCATAAGCAGCCATATTTGTGACTCAACTGCTTGTTAAAGCTCACCAACTTCATGTAAGTTTTATTAATATTTAGTATATTATGTAGTAATAAATGTTATGGGCATAAATGTTTAATTTTATTAACTTGCAAAAAAAAACCCACAATTGCTTCCTTTTGTCATATCTTTCAGTTATAAAAATGATTAAAACACAGAGATCATTGGGCTGGAAACAGAGCCTCATAATTCTTTTTAGTCCCTCAGATACCTTACTTAGGGTTTGGATGCTCACTCTTACACACATTCATAAATGTATCCCTATCTCAAACTTCTGGGCAAAGTAACTTCTTTATGTAAAGGACTGCAGTGGCACCTTGTGTTGAAGAAGTGATGTGGGTTACTTTAAAACACAGGTGTGATGAACCTGTGGCCCTCTGGATGACGTTGAACTACAACTCTCATAATCCCTGACCATCGGCCATGCTGGCTGGGGCTGATGGGAGCTGCCGTTTTCAACACGTGGCGAGCCAGAGGTTCCCCACATCTGCTTTAACCTGTGTGGCAGGTAAGCATGAGGAAGTAACTTTAGACTGAAGGAAAGTTCTGTTCTAAACACACTGGCCATCCACCTTAGTGTTCCAATTTAGCAGTTCAATACCTCTGCAAGTGCTAGATTTGCTCCATCAATCACTTCACCTAAGGATCAATCTTCCCCTCCCCACTCCCCCAGCTACAAAGCTATGAGTAACAAGCACAACTCCTAGCAGGAAATATTGAAAGGTGAAAGATTATAACGGGCTTTGAGCAGCTGTCATAAATTGGTAAAGAGATATTAATGTGCACCACAGGTTAGAGTGGTAAAGGGTCAGTCTCTAGCCTCTCACTCTCTGGCTCCTAATCAGAGGTTTTATTTCACCTGTAGCTTTTCAGCTTACTTTAATTAATCCCCTTTGCTGTGAACTTGGAGAGAATAAATTGAAGAATGCTGCCAAGAGAGCACATAATGTCAAAGTTCGTACAGATCTAATATAAACTGTTAAAACATTACACCTGCTATAAAAAGAGTGAATTATTTGCTTTTGATTATTGATTTCACACGCTGAAAAAGATGAAAAAAACCCTATTCGGAATGAAAGTTTCCCATATAGGAGGCAACTCAATATTTAATCTACCATGTGCAAAAAGTACAGAATCTTAAAACTGGGTCTGTGAATAATTCAGTTGCCCTAGTTCAGGAGCAGAAACCGAAGCATTATGTTCCTCAGGTCCCAAAACCTGAAGTATACTATAGCTTAGTAGGAGATGTTTAAAGTGGGAGAGAATTCAATGTAGGAAAAAGCTCATCCAAGCCCATTTCTAAAGTGGAAAAGGTTCAGAGACTCTTGGCTACTAAGTTCATGCCAGAATTCCAGTTTTCAAAAATCAGTGTTGGAACAAAATCATAAATGCAAGTTCGAATTATTACAAAGTTCATAAAGGTACAAATTAGGATAAACTAGTCATGCTGGCCACATGACCTGGAAGCTGTACGCCGGCTCCCTCAGCCAATAAAGTGAGACGAGCGCCGCCACCCCAGAGTCGGCCACGACTGGACCTAATGGTCAGGGGTCCCCTTAACCTTAATAGTTGTACATTATGACTGTTGTTTAAACAAAGCTGTAGTGCATACATATCCTACTGATATCCCACTGATCTGAGTGAGATGAACTATCTGCAAATCCATTATTCAACATGTAGAACACACCACTGCATACATTTCCTAACAAGATGCATTTTCTTTTGTAAAGGTTGCCCCATTATATTACAGAGAAGCATTCCCTGCCCTCAAGACACTAGGTGATTTTCCCAGGTTTCTATGTGAAAAGAAGGAGCTTTGGCTATTCTGTATATGTAAAAACTCAAAATAGTAACCAGGTTCTGTGCCTCTGCCAACTGAATCAATCTGATTGATCTGCCAAACAGTGGCTGCATATCAACTTGAAACACATTGTAATTAATTGAAAATGGGCTAAGAGGTTTACAGGGTTAGAGGGGAGGGGAGTCATTCATCAATCAGTATTGCAAAATCATAATGCTTGCATTAAAAGTGCATTATTTGTGATCCGTGACACTATTTGTGATCCTGGATAAGTTGGGGAGAGGGGAGAAAGCTGGCTTACTACAACAGGAATGGATGTAAACTATACCCATTAATATAAGAGATACCCACCCAAACATCCTATGTATTTCAAAAGGATGAAGTATAATAAAATAACAGATGTTCTATTCTTATAAATATTTACGTAACAACATAGTGACTCCCAAGTTCTTCTGCCACCCTGAAATCATCTGCACTTATAGAATCACAGACTTGTAGGGTTGGAAGGTATTCATCTAGTCCAGGCATGGCAAAACTTGGCCCTCCAGTTGTTTTGGGACTACAGTTCCCATCATCCCTGACCACTGGTCCTGTTAGCTAGGGATGATGGGAGTTGTAGTCCCAAAACAGCTGGAGGGCCAAGTTTGGCCATGCCTGATCTAGCTCAACCCCTGCAATACAAGAATCTTTCCCACAGTTGTACCTGAGTGGACTCACACCAACAACATTCTGGTTGACAGTGAAATGTATGTTACCAAGTTCTGGTCTCTCCTTTACCATACCATAAAATTCCAATTTCTCGTTGTCTTCTTGAATAAATTCTACCATGAGATCAGAACCGCTATGCTGATAGTGACTAGCCCAAGGCCATGCAACAAGCTTCATGGATGATCTGGGCCCAAGTTTCTCAGATTCAAGCTTCTAGCCCCACTATTGGGATGCACCGTACTGCCACACCATTGTTTATCCTTATCTCATTAGCAGATATTTTTCATTTTCAAAGCAAAAACTAAGAAAATAAGCAAAATAACAGAAGGCTACAACTCAATGCTTCTAGCTGCTTAACCGCCATTTTGGTTTGGCCAAGAACATATCAAACAACCACACCTAATCTCATTAGTACTTTCAGTGTTTGGGTTTCAAAAACTAAAAGTGTATACAGAACCCTATCTTGTTTTGTTTTTAAATGAGATTTTTTTCCTGTATGGAAACAATTTGTAGTATATCATTAACTCTTTTTCCCTTTAATATTCCAAACCACCTCCCTCCCCCCCCCCCAAAAAAGTATTTGGTAATAACTATCACTATCACCAGTGCTTTTTTTAAAAAAAAAGAAAAAGAAAAAATGTTTAGGGGTTCTCTCATTTTCCTACTCATATTGAAATACTGCCCCTCAATGAGACCAAACTTAGATTCACAAAATGTTTAGGGGTATGCGTACCCCTGCGTCCCCCCAGAAAAAAGCACTGACTATCACATAAAATGTATTGCATAATAATAACCCCAAATGAATTTGACACCACATGTTTCTTACCTGTATTCGTTCCACTTCTAAAAAAGTTGCTGATTGGAAGGCCTTTTCCCATAATATGAGGTCACATTCTAATTCCACAGAAAAGTAGAGATCCTCTCCCGTTTCAGACTGGACACCAAAGCAGTGTTTTCGACGATCCAGTAGATCACTGTCCTGATGAAAACCTGGAGTTATATAATCTTGCATACATCAATTAATATTTCTTACAGTACAGACCCACATGTTAGATGCAGAACAAAGTGCCATGTAATTTTTATTCAGCCCACATTAGTCTCAGCATTTAAATGGATTTGAAATAAAAGAATGTTTTAGAGTTTTCACGCCAAGTAGCAGAGGACAGTTTGGCTACAAGGATTCACAGGTGCCAGTGTCCAATCTCTGAATAGTTCCCAAAGTCACCAGTCATAAAATGCCTCAGAAGTGTGTCATATATTTTGTGTATTCATGCACAGAAATATACATCAACAATTTATTTACTGCTGAAAAACACTACAATTTGTTTTTGGCAAGGCTTCGGATAAAGAAAATAAACCAAATGCATTCAAACAGTTCTCAAATTATTGGACTTTTCTGCTATTCCTTTAGCAGTGAATGTATGTTATCTGTCATAAGGGCTGCAGGCTCTTGAATCTAGGCCCGTTGGAGGTTTTGAGGCATCCTACTTGAGGAATCGAGGCCCTCCAAACAGTCTTAGGCTATTTTCCACAAGTGGTGGTATAATTAGTTTTGTTGCTGTTGTTGTTGTAGTTGCAATTTGCTGGTTCTATAAACTAAATGAAGGAAACTGCACTGACTGGCATGCACATATAACTAAAAGTGTTTTCCCTCCATCGTCTATGTGGAATTAACATTTACAAGTGATGCATCCAGATTTAAAGGTACTTGGGGAAATGTTGTCATTCTCTTCCACAATTGAAAAGGAGGGTATTCTCATTACTCTGATTCTTGAGCAACAACCTACGCAATTAGGGGCCTCGCCTTCAAATACAAACACACTTCAACATCTTGCTTCTTTGCATAACCCGCCACCAGGATTCTTTGCCCTTTGGACCCAATTGTACACTGAATGATTTCTTCTGAGCTGAACAACTCCATTGGGATATGTTTGCATTTCCCTGCATCTAATTTAAATCACATTTAATCCACCTGGGGATTTCACTGAGTCCTTGGAGTCTGCTTGGAGCTTTGTTCCTAAATGTAATTAGCCTTCAAGCTCACTGCATGGCCTTAAGTTGCCAGTCATGGTCTCATATCAAGGGGACTGTTAAGATAATGTGTAGGTTTCTGTTCCATGGAGAAAGAGTGGGATACAAAGTGTCCTATAGCTGCTGATAGTGCATAGTTAATTTTTAAAGGTTTTTTTAAAATATAAAAAAGAGATTACTCAATTTCATCCTATTTCCCCTTTACAGTGGTACCTCGGGTTAAGTACTTAATTCGTTCCAGAGGTCCGTTCTTAACCTGAAACTGTTCTTAACCTGAAGCACCACTTTAGCTAATGGGGCCTCCTGCTGCTGCTGGGTTAAGCAAAGTTCTTAACCCGAGGTACTATTTCTGAGTTAGCGGAGTCTGTAACCTGAAGCACATGTAACCCAAGGTACCACTGTTTACTGTTCTCTAGCCAATCATGGCATGTGATGCATTTATGGGCAAGCCACATCTCTCTGCCTTACATCTGACATCAGAAGTTTGAAGAACGGTGTGGGTCTGTTTGCAAAAGGTCTCTCAAACAGCCCTTTGTTGTGCTTTGAAGTCCCAACAGCCAGGGCTTCAAAGTACAGAATCACCTGATGTCATAGGGATGTCAGGTGATTAACTGCCCACCTGTCAGCTGCAGTCCTCTAGGGTGGGGAAATAAAGACCAGCCCCACAGGCCAGAAAAGGTTCCCCACCTGTGCTGTAGTGCAATAAAGTTTTACCAATTCACCTGTGTGGGTCAACTCAGAATAGAGACTGTGGGGGTGGGTGTACAGCAAAGACAAGAATGTATTTAAACATGAACAAAATGCCTTTTTAAAGAAACCCATCAACAATAATCAAACAGCTGAGATTGGGGGAGAGGGCACATGGTTCAGAGTCTGTGATTTTCAAGTGGGCCTGAGATTTAGGGATGCCAACATATTATGACAAGATTTCTAAATGTTTAACAGTGTCCTGATATGTACACATTTAGCAGGTGAATTTTCCCTCCCATCTCCATGGCAGATAAAGCTAACTGCATCTCTCCCCCTTAAATAAGGATATAGAGCTTTCTGTAATAAATGGGGAACAACTTTATTAAGGATGTTTGTGCCTTGCACATGTGATAAAGAAACACAGGACAATTCAGTTTAGATTTTGCTAGTGAATGGTAAGAATGGTTAGATTTTTATTTTAATTACCGGTACATAATGGATGCTTGTGAAATCATCTCATTGATTTAAGCTGATATTCTACTGAGTAAATAGGCGCAGAGCTGAAACATCAGAATTTTCTGAGGTTATTAGAGGCAAAAGCAAGAAATGAAACTGACGAAAGTAATGTCAATTTCACCTCATTCATTGGGCTTTACTGAAGGGAAAGACTTCTCCTTTTCCCTCTTGCAGGCAGCGTCCAAATGCACACACCATTAAAAGCAGCGGTGAAGAAAACTGGCATCCACACACTGATGCACATTCAAGCACCCATCAAAAATGAAGAAAAGAATCTAGATGTGATGACATGCATCAATAAAAGAAAAAAAGGTTTACTTGAAATTGTAGCAACTGATAGCTGCATGAGGAAAACACATTATATAAATTTTAAATGGAAAATAACGGAAGAGAGCCTGAGCAGAACATGTAACCATGGGAAAAAGATGGAAAATGAAATGGAAAAAGCTATCAATCCCTGCTCCGTTTTCTGATTCCTGTCCATCAAAAGATCTCTGTGCCAACTCATCTGCTCCTAGCTCAACTGTGCTGTGCTACTATTCTTTCTGTCATCCTCCTGGTTTGTATTTTGAGATTCACATATCTTGGATAAATATGCCAGAACTGATTAGTTTGCTTCTTTCATAATGAGCTCAGGTAAGTTTGATATAGTAGCTGCTGATGTGTCTTTCTATATATTAGTATTTGGGCATTTGACTCCTCCTTTGTATTGTAACAGAGGAAGGCTCAGTCCCACTTCTTGTGCTTCCAAGGCAGTACAGCTGCTGGAACTGCATATGACCCTCTAGATGTTGGCTTTTAACTACTCTCACCCCTGACCATGGACCATGCTGGCTGGGGCTAATAGGAGTTTCCTTTCTTCTTTATTTTATTCCTTTCTTATTCTTGCCTTTTTATTATTTCTCTTCTGTAGATTAGTTTGGCTTTTATTGTATTCTGTGTTGAAAACTTGTAATAAAAATTGATTAAAAAAAGAAGTTCCAGTTTATTTCATAGTTGGACATAGTGACCGATTCAGGTTGAGGGGAAAAGAACAGATATAATTCCAGATAAAACTTGATAATCATTATGACTTTAAAAAAAGAAAAGAAAAATAAATTACATGTAAAATGGATCACCAGCCACACAACACGCACATTCAGGCAATTATCCAATCACTCATCTTCAAGCATCATCAATAACCAATTGTAACTGATTCCTAAAATCTACTGAGGGTGCTGTCTTGTCTAATACATGGTCAAATTAGACACAATGGAATTTCCATCCACAAACCTGTAAGCACTTTCAGATTCAGCTGATTTACATAACTTATTCCAGTTTCTAATGTCTGGAGACAGAACCCTAAAAAGAACTTTATGTTGAGCTAGGTACTCAAAAAAGTTTGCTCTACTTTTTGTTGTTGTTGTTGAAAGTAGGGAGTAAGGGGAATGCAAATGTAATAAAGCCTGTAGCACAACTGTCAAGTACTTGGCTCATATCCCAGAAGAGTTTAAACCAGCATCTCTTCTAATGGGAAAGTGCAACACTTGCTGGCCTAATTAATACTGATTTTCATATTAAGTGAGAGCAATACATCTGTCTAAGGGAGACAAGGACTTAAAAATAAATTATTTCAAATTAAAAATACTCAACAAATGCCAAGGCTTGGCATTATATATATTTGGTTTGCTGCTTTGCAGACTATTCCTCTCTCTGCGTACCTTAAAAGGACCTTGTAAGTATGATACTAGATGCAAAGTAGTTCAGCTTCTCAAGCTTCTTGATGATGGAACTGAAAGAGACTGGAGATGACCTGCTCTGAACAATGTTTGTTTTGTGGCCCCACTCCCTTAATTTATGGGCCCTGGCTCTGGTTGGACAGCACAAGGAATAGTCAACATGTTGACACAATGCTCAATAGTAACTTTTGAAAAATATCTGCTCAGGAATGCAAGCCTGTCGACAGACACTGCAGATACTTGTTTTTCTTAACATGCAGTGCTAGGGAAAGCTTCAGAAGAGAATTGCTTCATGTCCCATTCCCTGCCCGTCCCGTCCCCCAAACCATTTGGTGTGAAATTTTCCTTTATAGAAGTCCCATTATCGTGTTCAGTTAAGCAGAGGAGTATCAGCATTAGTAATTGTTGATTGTTGCTTAAATGGCTATTGCCAAGGGGAGCCATTGGGGCTAGAGAGGGAGAGAGAGCAAGAGCTAAATGAGGGGAGGAAGGAGAATGAAAATGAGAAATTGGAAAGCACATTTGGAGAGAGAATGCCAGAGGCAGAAACAGGGAGTGAATTTAGGATAAAATGATGCCTCTTCCTTGTGCAATAAATGGACATGATGCAGAAAGACTGGCTTGGTTCTAATCATTGCCTTGAGTCCAGCCATTTGTGTGCTAAGAATTACTTATGCACACAGTATATCCAGGCTCAGGGCCTTATCATGCCTAAATGACACTGACTAGATGCTACAACACTGAATCCCTAGAGACAATATTAAATTAAGACTGAAATGACTAAGTTTCTGAAAAAAAATGGTTCATCACTTAAGGATAAATTACAATTTTCAAACTAAGTGTAACGGGCAAACATATCTTAACACTTCCAGTAGAAACTAGTAGTCTTCATTTCTTGCCATAATGTTGTGATAAAGCTGAATTTATTTTCTGTTCACCAGATGCCAGAGTATAGTAAAGTTGGGCAAATGATGGTTTTAAATTCAGCTCCTGTTGCAAGGCATTAGCCAAATAGCCATTTCTACTTCTATAATCCCAGACACGATATAATGTGAAGTATTGTTGTGCGTACATTAGCTTTTTTAACAACTCCCTTTAAAATTATTTGTTATCATTCATTTACTGCTTGGCATTTAGGGCTCTACATTTAAAACAAATTGGACTATCATAAACCCTATCTTATTATGTTTCATTAAATGTAAAGCACAGATGGCATGTGAAGATAAACATCAGATAAGAATAATTGCATTTTTACACTCAATACTTTAAAAATACAATTTGGCTACCAGTTTGTCACTTCTCAATGGTGTTTATATGATACAAAAATGAGGGGGGAAGTCACTTAAAAAGTGATTGTGTGTACTGATCAAGGTGATTCATTCATTCATATTGCAAATGTGGGAACATTTATGGTTACGATTCCTAGAGTCATTTGTGAAATTGCCCTAAATTTACAATATGGTTTCGTGCAAGCTGTGGTATCATTAACAAACCTCACCTAATATTTGGAAGCAGATTAAATAAAATTGAATAATGAACCCAACACATAATCTATTCAACAATAAAGCATTTAGGGCTGGTTCCAGGTTTGAAGGGACTCTTTTGGCATAATGCCCTCTGGTGGGTCTCTCCCATATGAGTGCTTACTTCACCCACTGTGCACAGTCGAGCACCAGGGTAACTTGGGGCCACCATTCCTTTGTCACAAGTCACACCTTCTACAATGCACAAGAACACCCCTGGAGCACCCCCAATGTAATGGAGGTCTCAACCATTTAAATGTCTCACAATTTCTCAGCAATGCTACATTGTGACTGGCTTGGGACATTGTAGGAAAGTTAAATGGTGGCTCCAAGTTGTCCTCATGCTCACTAGAATGCCTGCGATGAAGGGATGCAGCTCAGGGGCAAAGCAAATGTTTTACATGTAGAAAGTTCCAGGTTCAATCCCTGGCACCTCCAGGTAGAACTGACCATGCCCTCTATCTGAACCTCAAAGAGCAACTGCCAGTCAGCACGAACAGAACTGAACTAGGTGTACTATTGTTCTAACTTAGTATAAGGCAGCTTCCTATACTCCTGAAACGGGGGTGTGGAGGAAGCATCAGTAGCCAGTCATGCTCTGTGTGGGTAGATGGCAAAGCACCAGACACTGTCAAAGGTGGCCTGGTGCTGACATTGGTCATATGAGGTGCTGTAGCTCAGGCCTCCTTGAAAATCAGGCCCTCAGAGTTGGAAACTCTACTCTACTCTAAGGTGTATATGGTGTCTGTGGAATGACTTTGATTGTTCTGTGTTAAAAGAAAGGTTCCTGACAAAGCTACCCTTCTTATTCTTACAAGATCCCGTGGCAAAATCTTAGCCCACATTAAATCCTTTCCCCAAATTATTTCTATCATTTTGAAACTCTTCACACAGATCATTTTTCTCCACCAACTTGACTTCCATGGGATATTTTGCTAGCAGTAGTCAATGACAAGGTTGTGTTTGGTGAATACAGCCATCCCTCCTTCCCCTCAGTACAATGAAGTTGCATTTTTATTCTTCATACCTTGAGAATTTTGTACATTATCTCATATACAGAAAATGTTCTTTCGGCTCGTGTCCAGTCCCACGTAGTAACCTTGGGTGAAAATAAACAAAATTTAATTGAACTGTTTTTTCATCCAGTTATATCGGTTGGAAAGTAATGTCAAACTATGGTGTACAGCAGGGGTGGGAAACCTTAGGCCTGAGGGCCAAATGTGGCCCTCTAGTCTGGTATATATGGTCCTTGGGACTCTCCTTAAGCCACACCCCTCCTCACTTGCACCCTTTTTCTGCAGGCTATGCCCTCAAATCCTTCTTGAGTGTTTTTGCCTGGTTGGAATGTGTCCTTGAGCTCTGATAATGACTCCCACTCACCTCTGTGGAGGTTAGAAAGGGTTAAATCAGAGGCATAGCTGGAGGGGGGCAATGTCCCCAGGTGCATTTTTCTAGGGGGTGTTGTTCATGCTGCCCTGCCAACCCTGCACCACTTCAGAAGGCTGGAATCTAATCTGAATGATTCAACAAGCATAACCTGAAAGCTCTGCAAAACCAATCTCTGTGGGCAAGCTCCTTACAAAAGCAGTTTCAGTGTGATATATTCTCTTTATTGGACACATGCCAAATAGGACACAGCATATTTACATGGCACGGATGCCACACGGAGGAGGACCTCTAACAATGATCTCAGAAGGCAGCCGAGTTTGTTCACATGGGAGTAGACAGTCCTTCAGATATCCAGGTGTCAAACTATAAAGGGTTTCAAAGGTCATCACTAGAATATTGGATTGAGCCTGGACACAAAATGGAAGCCTGTGTAGCTAAGGGATTCATACACTCCTTATATGTGGCCTGTATGAAGAGCCTGACCTCAGCCTTCTGGACCGACTGAAGTGTCTTTTTTTGTTTTAGCATCCTGTTTAAGAGCTCAATCAAACTTTGGGCCTAAAGAGTTATATTTCTATGCACTGAAAAGTTTTCCCTTTCTTCTTCCTTATCAGATCTGCTCCACCATAGGGAAAGAATCAGGCAGTCCTCTGTAGTGTGGTCTAATGCTGGCTCCCTCGGCCTGAAGCAAGATGAGTGCTGCACCCCATAGGCACGTTTGACTGAACTTAACCGTCCAGGGGTCCTTTACCTTTTCCTCATGTAGAATGTATTGCAGTAATCTAAGGAAAAGAACCAGGGTATCTCCCCAACCTCATTCTTTTGTTACATGGTCAGAAACAAAATTGTACACTAGAAGAAAATTCTATCAAGAATTTCCCTCCTCATACTTATTAGATATTTCCTCATGATTATGGCATCAACAGAGAAGGTAGTTTCTGAAAACATGCTGTGTAAAGATCTGAGAGTTTCTAAGTTTACAGAGAAATCTCAGTACTGGGAATGGACAAAATTAGTTGTATGGTCATTTCTTTTCATAGCAATTTTGTCTTAATAAATCAAATTTTCCCATCACTATTGTTGCTTTTCATTACAACAGAGCTGAATGAAATGCCTAGGAGTAACATAAAACCTTTATATCAATTTCATAAAAACCATTTAATGGGCAGCCAATAAATGGTACTAATACTTACTGGAGGTGCTATAAATTTATAAAGTGAAGAACCTCTCAACGCTAGAAACTTTGGTGTATACATTCTGTCCTGAAGAGAATCTTGTTCCCGTTCTTCTGTCCAGCCTGTGTAGACTATCTGGCAGAAAATACAAATAGTTTTGACAAATTCTACACACATACGATGAACATTTGTTATGAAAATATGCAACTTTCAACAGCCTGTTTCTAGAAGTCCCACGAAATTTCTGCTGACACAATCCACGTCTTGAATTGTGCATACGTGTCACTCAAGATTTATTCACACAGAAAGTCATTCAACAATATACATGGCATGCACAACTCATCCCATACATAATTTCAAGCCTTCAATTGTGCAAACAGCCCACTGTTAATTAAAATTCCTAATGAAATGCTTCTTTTTGGTTTTCTTTGCAACTGTGTGAAATAAAAAGGAGAAGATGGAAATAAATTTTCACTGCATTGCATAAAAGAATATAATTGCACTTCCCCACATTAGATTATTATGTGAAAATGATGTTGCAACAAATATACTTAACACTGCATTCAAGCGTGTTTGCAAACTTTATGTGACAGTTTTGTTACAGGAAACTCTATTATATTATACTGAGAGAGATGTACCAGCTGTCCAAACATCATTCATAACATTGCCAAAACATGGTATCATATGATGGTCATAATCACTTGTGAGGATACTCATCTTCTAGTGGACCATGAACCTGAGTCTTAGGGTTGAGCAAAAAAAATATTGTGACCCAAGTGCCTGTTTTTAACCTCTTTTAGAAGCAAAAGAAAAGCATAACTCGGACAATGTTACTGTCTCTTTAAACTGCATTCACTGTAAAATGAATTACTTGACAGTAGACTACATGGAGAATATAGCATGTCTTTGTTTTTAGTGCCCCTGATTAAAACTGTAATTGAAACACTAGGCCTAAGCAATTGTATTTTTATGCATCGAAAGATTTTCCCTTCTCTAGTTTCTACTTAGTTCAAAACTAGCAGCATGGAAGAGTTGCTGTGATTTATTGAAAAAACATCTCATCTACTAACTACTTGTGACTTTGAATGTAGCTTTTTACTGGAAATTGGGGAAAAAATCAAGCTGTGGATAAAATGAAGAAGAATTGGAAGCGCACTTCCTTTGCATCAAAGAGTCGCTGCTTTTGAATCTGGGAGAAGAGGCCATCTTTCAAGGCAAGAAGCACCTAATTGTCACAGGACCACCAGAAATGGCTCAGTAGACTAGATCCAGCTACCAGGCTTGTCACCTTTGTGCCAATATTATAGGAGTTACCGACCCTTGAAGGATGTAGGGCCAACTAAAATGGTCTATACCCTTGATGACTTTTAGACACAACTGATTTCTACAATGCCTTTGTGGAGTTTGCTACTGCCACTGCAAGCTATTCAACTGATAGATAAGGAAGAAAATTTACATGATGGCTCCTACATTTGCAGGTCCAATATCTTGAGATTCTGATCTGCTAGTTCCCATAAATAAAGTTAATCAAGTATGTGTGAGAACTGGGAATATTTAATTTATAAGCAAGGGATTTTGTTCATTTAACAGATTTTCTCTCTGAAAACCTTGATAATATTTCATAATGTCTGATGTCATTTATCAACCCAGATAAAGCCATTTGTTCTATATAGATGCATTGATATTTCACACTGGATTTTTTCCCCCAGTATTAAAGCAGTCCCGGAAATTTAAAGCAATTGCTCTTTGATATATTGCTCCCTTGTCTCTCTACATCATGTGAATGAATTAGATTGATTTCACTGATGGGCCTTTCTTTTATTAAAGATTTATTAACATAAAAAGGATATTTTTGATTCAGACCGTACAGCACCTGTCAAACTGTTAATTCAAAAGACTACAAGATATCAGAAGCAATATTCAAGACCATCTCTTGCTGCATTGCAAGATATGAAATTGATCAGGGAAAGGGGGAGACCCTATAACTTTGTTTCAGCAGAACTGTAAGTAATTTATATTACTGATTTGCTCACTTACCTAAAAGAAATCTTACAAAAAAAGGGGGGGAGAAGCATAGTTGGATAAACACCTCATAGATCACCAAATAAGTAGTCCCTGCATGCAAAAACCTATGTTGTGGGGATCAGAGAGCAGGAAAGTAGATGCAACTCCTTGCCCATATTTTCAAACCTTCCCATGTTCACCCCAATTTTTCTGCTGCTTTAGCCCAATATATATCCCCCCGTGCCATTTGTTTTTTTCAGCTCTACCATTCTGAACCACCCTTTAAGCAGAGGCTTGACAACCATATGTCAGGAGTGCTCTGATGGTGTTTCCTGCTTGGCAGGGGGTTGGACTCGATGGCCCTTGTGGTCTCTTCCAACTCTATGATTCTATGATTCTATGAAATGGCTTTTTGCCTTAAAAGCCTTCCCCATGCTTCTCATTTACTCTTACAAAATGCCACCAAAGCCTGTGTCAAAAACCCATCTTATCGGATTTTACAACCCAAACGTCCAGGGGTGAGAAATCTTTTTCAGCCAAGGGCCATATTAACTGGTTAGAAAGCTGCTAGGGGGGTGCATTCCAGTAGATGGTGTGGGCAGACCCTCATCTAAGCACTTGCTCTCAACATACACACTATAACAGGGTGTTAGAGACACAACACACACACTCATGCGCGCGCGCACACACACACACACACACACACACACGAAGCTATATTCCATGCTTTTTCCATTAAAAAATGTTTAGGGGTACTCTCATTTTCCTACTTAAATTGAAAGACTGCCCCTCAATGAGGCCAAACTTAGATTCACAAAATGTTTAGGGGTATGCGTACCCCTGCATCCCCCCAGAAAAAAAGCACTGGCTATATTCCATGGAAATGGGAATATATTTAACTCTCACACTCTGTTTCCTCAATATACAAAGTTTTTAAAGAAAGAAAGAAAGAAAGAAAGAAAGAAAGAAAGAAAGGCTCTCTAATTTTCATAATCTGCCCTAATGCATATAACATCAATGACAGCTGACCTTCAAGTCTGGCTTTCAAAACTCCCATTTCAAAATGCAACTTCAGACCCTTTTTATTTACCTGTGTCTTTCAAATCATCATCATCATCATCATCATCATAGCAGCCCGCCCATCTGACTGAGTTGCCCCAGCTGCTCTGGGCGGCTTCCAGCATATATAGAAACATAATAAAACCTTAAACCTTAAAAAGCTTTCCTATACAGGGCTGCCTTCAGATGTCTCATAAAAGATATATTGATCTCCTTGACATCTGATTGAAGGGCATTCCACAGGGTGGATGCCACTCTGCCTGGTTTCCTGTAACCTCACTTCTCGCAGTGAGGGAACCACCAGAAGGCCCTTGATACTGGATCTCAGTGTCCGGGCTGAACAAAGGGGGTGGAGACGCTCCTTCAGGTATACAGGGCCAAGGCCATTTAGGGCTTTAAAGATCAGCACCAAGACTTTGAATAGTGTTCAGAAAAGTAAGTTAGTTGCTTTGTGTTACCATATAGTTTTATTTGTGATCTACACTGTTAAATTCCAGTTTGTTAATTTTATATATTGTTAGTTTGGAAACATTAGCGCAACTGAAAATTTAACTGGCCTGGGGGTCAGCTTGGCTGACCTGCATTGTGAGGCATCCCTTCATCCAGATACAACCCTGTTCAATGTCAGCCATCAGTCAGGAGACTGACTCAGAGACATCCCCAGTGCCTAAGCCAAAGCCTACCAGCATCTGTGATCAATAAAGTTGTGGCTGTTTTCAGTTCCAGAACATTGTTGTGCCTGTTTATTCTTATGTTTCACTACCCCTTCCTGGCTCCTGGGGGCTCGCTGCACATGGCCCTGCAGCTGCAACATATACGTGTTAGTGTCTATAGTTGTTGATGCATGTCTAGTTTTATACAATCCAACATATCTATACAGTAAGAAATCATCAATGTGTCTTGTTTACTTGCCATGCCACTCACCTGCTCACCTAGAAACATTATTCTGTAATCCCATTAAGCTGTCAAATTTATCACTAAAAGGACCCTACTGTCCTTTTTTTCAAAGGAATGCTATGGTTTGCTCAAGGATCTAGGGACATTCATTGACAGTCTCCACAGAGCTGTTCTCCACAAATTCTTTGATATGAGTTTCCTACACATTGTGACCAAGAATTTACCATGCATCAGAGAGTCTTGTGTACTGCTTCACATTCCCCCTGAAAATCCACAGCAGACTGTTTGCTACTATAAAAATTATAGCTGTGAAAGACAAATTGAGCTGGGACTGCAAAGAAGTCCAGAAGTCTTAGTGGGCTTGGATTAACTTAATAGTGTTGAGGCAGCGGGGATAAAGTATGCTTTGGGTAAGTCTTTTGGATATTGAATTTCCAGTGGAACTAACTTACAGGCATAACACTAATGTCTGGATAACTAAATGACCTACTCCCACCCCCTAAGAGCTTGCTTCTCGTTTATATTCAGGCACTACAGGGTGGCTAAGAATTGAGAGAGACCAATTTATTGCAAGATAATTCTACTTATCCCCTTTCCTTGGCAGTAAGTCATTTTGTTGTTGCTATTTAGTCTCTCTGGACCACTCTTCAATCTTGATTTCCTACTATACTGCCTGCATTCTGACTTCTGAAGCTGCTCCGCTGTGACTTATCATGGTTTATGGCTCAAGATAGCTACTTTCAGCTCAATTTTCAGCCAAAGATACAGTATTGCTCTTACATGATCCATCTCCAGCCCCAGTACCATTGTGTACTGGTCTTTCTTCCCAGTATTTACAGTCAATCCACCTTTTTTTGTTTCTATCACATGGATTTTGAATGCGCTTCTATAAAATTAATCACAAATTACAAACTGATCCATTTAATCACACTCCAAATAGTTTACTACACAGCAGTCAGGTTTGTCTAAAAGAAAGTTATAGGAACACAAACATCAGAAATAATCAAACTTGATAATATGTAGACATAAGATTAAATTGCTAGCAGAATTATACCATTATAGAAAGGGCCATTAATCTTCTACAAGAGAAATCAATGCCTATAATTGAAAGAGGATAGAATAATCAAGGTATATAATTCCAATTTCAAGTCTTGAAGTGATTGTGATAGATATAACAATCTATTACAGCAATTGTATATAAGAGGACATGTGAAATGGATTCATAACGTATGTAAAATCAGCTGAATTTCAATGTAAAGCTGAAACCGAAAAGAATGTATTGTAGTTCTTAAGATCTCCAGATTATATCTCATTTCATTACTTCATCAAAACTAGATTAGTAATGAAGAATTTTTCATGGTTGGCAGATTCCAAAAACATATTATCTGATGCAACTCATTTAAAGTAACTTAGCAAGCAGAACTTCCAGAAATGAAGTTTATTGTTGCCCAGAAGAAGCATCAACACTGAAATAAATTTCCCAAATAAGAAAGTGGCAGATTAACTTTGTGGGTTTTATGCTATATGGGGCTATGCTCCTTTACATCTGTGTGTATGCTGTAGGTATATGCATTACAATTTACAAGCATTTTCTTATTTATTTCATTCCTTCTAATAACCACCATGGGAAGATTGACTTGTCTAAAGCAACCCAGCTATAAGACTAGCTGAGGTCCTGAACTGGTTTTATTAAATCAAGCTTTGGTCATAAGATTTTGCTTTCTTTATGCTATAAAGAACAAAAGGCCTCACTTGTTATAAAATAAACTCAGAAACTTTGCAAAAATAAAAATGCATAAAAGGAAATAAAACCAATTACATGGATTAAAACTATACAGGAAGGCCAGGGAAGTACGTACTGGAAGCGGTGTCACTCTGCATGTCAAAAGCGAGTAGAAACATTCATGGGGATAAGGCTATCAATAACTGCTAGTGTCAGCGACTGGCAGGATGGGGAAGAGTGGTGGAAGCTGCCTGCCCAAGAGTCCCCCAGGGAAGGCACAGAAGACTACTTAGATCTTGGTTCCTGTTAGTGAGAAACTGGCCACACCTCAGAGGAGGGGACAACCTGAGAGGTACTAAAAGCAGGAAGCTTGAGGGATCACAAAGAGGCAGGTGGTTCGGAACATTTCAGTTTGTGGCTCAGTAGTACTGGAAAGATAGCCGACAAAATGCCCACTAAAGCAGAGAGGAACTCCCAGTTTGGCCTATCCTGTCTTCTATAATTTTGTTCAGCCAACCCACAAGCAACATATACTGATTTCCCAACAACTTAAAAAAAAAAAAAGTTTGATGAATTCTAAGCACCTTCCCTGGCAGCTGAACATGGGATAATATTTTCCTTCCTGCAAAGCGCACAATGGATCCTTCTCAGAAATGCATTTCATGATTCCAGAAGGTTGATGTGAAAGATAGATGAGGCTGCCATACACAGGCTGTAAAATTTAGTATTTAAGGGTTGAAGATAAATGGGAGGGCAGCTGTAGATTTGGAACAGAAGCTGTTGCTAGATCATTTGCAGCTTAAAATATATGTTCTCATTTATCTATGTGGCCTAGCCCCTCTTTACAGTAGCACTGAATAAACTGTTTGTGTGCATATACAGCAGTATGACTTTCAGATTCTTTAAACTTCACACAAAAATCTAACATTCATTTCAAAATAGAATAAGAGTCCTAGTGACCTGATTAAGTTAAAGTGCTTACACTGCAAACTGATTTTCCATCTGTTGATGGCTATGAGATAAGGAAATGGCTCCCAAACAGGTGGACATGAAGCTCAATGACCAACAGGCAATTAGATAAATCCATGGAGCAAAACTATCAATGACAAATTAAATCATATGGCTATATGTCACCTCAAATATCAGAGGCGGTATTATTCTCAGTAGGAGTTGCTAGGAACATCCTTTATATTCTCATTGTGGGTTTCCCAGAAGCGTCTTGTGTGACCTTTGGTCTGATCCAGGAAGGCATATTTTATTTTTAGCTTATTTTCAGACAAATCTGCACAGAATTGCAGCTGAACTTCTTATTATCTTAATTTCATTGTGCTATTGTGCTGTAACAACCTCCTATGTCTGAGCTTACGTACAAATCCATTGAAATAAGTGTGACTTCACCTACATATGCACCTTTAGTACATAAGTTCTAATTATTCCAAGCTGCTACTGGTAAAATTTGGAAAAAAATCCATATGAAATACAGCATTTTCATATTTGAAATGAGTTTTTCAAATCAATATGCTCAAGAGTGAGGCAATGTAGAACTGTAACTGGCTGACTGACCGAACCCAAAGGGTGCTCATCAATGGTTCCTCTTCATCCTGGAGAAGAGTGACTAGTGGGGTGCCACAGGGTTCTGTCTTGGGCCCGGTCTTATTCAACATCTTTATCAATGACTTGGATGATGGACTCAAGGGCATCCTGATCAAATTTGCAGATGATACCAAACTGGGAGGGGCGGCTAACATCCCAGAGGACAGGATCACACTTCAAAACGACCTTGACAGATTAGGGAACTGGGCAGAAACAAACAAGATGAATTTTAACAGGGAGAAATGTAAAGTATTGCACATGGGCAAAAAAAATGAGAGGCACAAATACAAGATGGGTGACACCTGGCTTGAGAGCAGTACATGTGAAAAGGATCTAGGAGTCTTGGTTGACCACAAACTTGACATGAGCCAACAGTGTGACGCGGCAGCTAAAAATGCCAATGCAATTCTGGGCTGCATCAATAGGAGTATAGCATCTAGATCAAGGGAAGTAATAGTGCCACTGTATTCTGCTCTGGTCAGAGCTCACCTGGAGTACTGTGTCCAGTTCTGGGCACCACAGTTCAAGAAGGACACTGACAAACTGGAACGTGTCCAGAGGAGGGCAACCAAAATGGTCAAAGGCCTGGAAACGATGCCTTATGAGGAACGGCTAAGGGAGCTGGGCATGTTTAGCCTGGAGAAGAGGAGGTTAAGGGGTGATATGATAGCCATGTTCAAATATATAAAAGGATGTCACATAGAGGAGGGAGAAAGGTTGTTTTCTGCTGCTCCAGAGAAGCGGACATGGAGCAATGGATCCAAACTACAAGAAAGAAGATTCCACCTAAACATTAGGAAGAACTTCCTGACAGTAAGAGCTGTTCGACAGTGGAATTTGCTGCCAAGGAGTGTGGTGGAGTCTCCTTCTTTGGAGGTCTTTAAGCAGAGGCTTGACAACCATATGTCAGGAGTGCTCTGATGGTGTTTCCTGCTTGGCAGGGGGTTGGACTCGATGGCCCTTGTGGTCTCTTCCAACTCTATGATTCTATGATTCTATGTAGGGCTGTGAAGCAAGAGATATTTAAATTAATTTAGTAAGCAAAGCTTAAATTGTAAAAGAAGAGATGCAACCATAATTGCCATTTTGGAAGTGGAGGCAAGACAGAGCTTTTCCTAGTATAGATACAGACAACTGTTAAAAAGGGGTGGCCCTCCAGATGCTGTTGGACTACAACTCTTGTGGTCCCTGACCACTGGATATGAATTGGGAGTCCTGAAAAACTGGGAGGGATGCAGGTGATCCACCTCTTTTGAAACGTACAGAAACCCTACCAGTAAAGTTGGCAACCCCACATAGATATGCTCTGTCTGAAGATCAAAACTGGCCCTCTAATCCCAGATACCTCTTGACTGGTTGTGGTTACTGGGAAACACTCTTTCTGCGTGCTCAAACCCTCTTCTCCGTATTTTGCATCCCCATCCACTTTGCTTCAAGCTTGCCCACCAAACTGAAACTGACAAAACTTCCCTACACTACAGAATTAAGGAAGAGAATTCTCTTTTTTGCCCCCCCTCTCTTTTTGCATTCTGTCTCTTATGCAGCATCCTTAACTACCTGCATATTTTATGCACTAAAGACATAGTGGAATTTGTATTCTGCACTTCATCTGAGCTGCTTTTTATCCTCACGACTGCCTTCTGGGATAAGTCAGGATGAGAGATCATGACTTGCAACTCAAGGCCAAACTGTGAGCTTGAAGGCTAATTACACTTAAGAACACAGCTCAAAACAGATTTCAAAGAGTCTATCAAATCCTCAGGTGGATTAAATGATTTATATGAGATTGCTGTAAAAACCTACTGAACAATGGGCACAGTCCATATGAAGATAAGCATGTTTATACCCTATTGCACACTACGAAAGAGTGAACTGTATGCTTAAACAGAATACATGGTAATTTGAAAATCTCAATGTTAGCTATGGGACGCATGTTCTTCTAAGATTTTCAGACAATATTTCAAAGACAGGGAAGGAGATATACTTTTCAGGAATCATACAATAGGCATACACATTGCCATTTCCATTGCCTTAGAAATTTCCAAAATCTTAGTCGCAGATGTATGTATGCTGCTCTGCAATGTGAGGAAGGGAGACTGGGGCAGGGGGAGGTAAGATTTGCCAGGATGGAAATTCAAAAACATGTCTATCTATCTAAACCCGAGGACAGAAATTATCTTAAGAAAGGCTTTTGAGAGAGACAAACATTTGGCAGTACTTTATTCATTCATCTTTTATCATTATTTAATTTATATTTCCTATTTTTATTCCTAAGTATACAGTCCTAACATCTGAGGCATATTGAGAGCTTTGGACTAAGCTCACATGAGCAGCTAGTTTGACTAGTACAACTTCTATAAGCTAGATGAAGCTATAGATGGATGTACACCATATTTCATGAACTGATCAATAACAAAGACTTTAAATTGCATTGATTTAAGGCTCTGATAGTTTCTCTTTCCCCGAGCTCCCATAATAAACAGCATGACTGTTATGTTAGGCTATATATTTGGAGGTATGGGGCACTAGGTTGAATGTATTCATTATTACCTGACAGATCTTCAATACTCTAATATAATGAGAAAGTAAACTAATGCCAGATCCCCTGTAAATTATAATATGAAAGTTAACATTATTTCCATTTACTAGTTGATGCTGAAAGCTTTACCATACTGCAATAAAATAAGTATAAAAATCAAATGCCTTCCTGAATTTCAGCTCTTGATGTTAAGATAAAAACAACAGGAGCGGGAAAACTAGGAGACAAGTATTGTATGCTTTTCAAAGAAGGGTTTCAAAGAAGTCTATTTCCATGGCAGTTTTATCCTGGCATCACCACCCCTACGGTTACTGCCTATGTGCCGAAACTTTTCACATTAAAGGAATACAGAAGAGCATGGCATGCAGTTTCATAGATAAATGTCCTATCAATGGTCCAAGATGATCAGTGAGGGTGTGAGTCTGAAATATCCTAGATTTCTTTGTTCTTGCATAGAAGAATAATATCCTATGACAACAAACCTGCCATAACAAGATAACAATATTTGAATCGGGGATGGGGGGGAGTGTTGAGTGAGTAAAGCCCAAAATGCTTTTACAGGTATTATCATCTTCAAGCATAAATATAGTTATACTTAGGTTGTTGGAAGATTCTGCTTATGGAGATGAACAGCAGAACTGACAACATATCAGTGCCAGATCAACAGAATGTCATCTTAGAAATTTGCAGGGAACATCCTATGCATACATGATACATCTTTTTGGAATTTGTTTGAACTACTTTGCTGCCGGTGAATCTAAAGAGTGAATATCAAATGGATACTGTCAAAATACTGTCTTCTTGGGTGAGTGTGCAGCTAGAACATCTACACTCCACAAAATACTTTAGGGATAAAGATACCATGGCATGTTAAGAAATATTGTTTGACCAGAAATAGAGCAGACAATAATAAAACATTTTTTCATGATTTCTATAAACTAAATTTTAACGTCCTTCTGTAAAAGTTAAGTGTTATGCATAGCTGTACTTAAAATGTCTACATCATCAGTTCCAATTAATTTATGGAGTTTATACAGTTTCCTAAGGAATAACATTCATCTAGGCTTACTCAATGTTTTCACATTCTAAACACAAGAATTATTAGTTCTGTAACCATGAATAGAATTGTACTGGGAATGCCTAAACTGTGCCTAGTAAAATTATTTTGAATCAATTCAGCCGGGCTAATTTTCAAGTGGATTTTGTTCCTTCATCCTTACAGTGGATGTATATGAGACCCAACTCTAAATATAATCATGGTCAAGGAAATGCAAAGCTGCTAATATGCATCCACTGTAGCAGATGAAAGCTGCTCACATCTCAAGGATATTTCAATGAGATCTAGACGCAAGTGCATGGCTCACAATAGCACGACTTTGCTATGTATCACTATCACATGGAAGTGGATATTGACAGAACTGCTAGGTTACACTCTAAAATTTCAAACAACAGCAGCAACAAAACCATGCTTTTCTCTCTGGATTTCCACCAATCCCTATTGAGTTTCCTTCGGATTCGGGAAGCTGGCTAATGTCCCATTCCTTCTACCTGGCATTTCCAGCAGCTCTCTTAATTTACCTTAACCGTCTTTGCATGAATACAGCATGCATTGCATGCCAATGTGCACAGCAAGCATTCAAGCTGACCATCTGTAGGAAAGCCCACTTGCCAAATGCGCAGTTAACCAACTGGCTACCAGGACCCTGCACTGTTCCTGCAGACAGAGAACCATGCACTGTGTTTTTTTAAAAAAAACCAGGAAAGGGAATTGCTACACACATTCGGCCTAAAAGCTTCTCAAACACTTGCCACGTAACTTGGGACACAGTGCAGAAGCACACCAAGAAAGGCATACATTCTCAAAACATGAGAAGCCTAAAGAATCCCAGACTGAAGAAATAAGGCTTCTCAGAAGAATCTAAAGCAGTAATGAGAATGAATTACATTACATCTCTTTTACCTCTTTTTCTTTTACAACTCTCTTTGGGGAATTCTCTTCCTTTAAATAAAACCAAGTAAACATGTAATAACAAAGGCATTCTCAGCTCAAATCAATGCAAAAATAATCAAACATTAGTTGCGAAAATAATCAATGCTTAGTTGCACAGACAGCTGACAGGGCAATATGAGGGAATTATCGCAGCGTAATTGACACCCTGGTGTGCACTTCTGCTTAATTTAACAGCAAGAACCCAGCTCCCCTATGCGTTTTTATACACACTTAGCAATAGTTGTTTCAACCTAGTGCCTTCCTCGTCGTGATGAGCCTGATCAAAAATATGTTTGGTGACAACAGATGGTGACGGGGCAAGTATATTCTAAGACATTAAAAAAATTCCATTGATTTCTGTCAAGGGATGCTAAGTTAAAAGTTTTTGAGAAACAACTATGGAGAATTGAAGCAATTATCTCCATATAGAGTCAAATATCTCAAAGCAGTGTGAGTGTACACACAGAGAGACACCCACACATGTGGCCATACATTTTCCTTCTTCTTTAGGTATTAGAAACATATATGGAGACAATTGTTTCAATATGTAACTGATCCCACTAAATGCCTAAAACCCTAACATTAATACATTTATTTCAGCGCTCATTTTTAATTTTACCGCTCTGCAGAGTTATAATATGAATGATGTCTACTTGGCGCTTATTATTTCACAGTGAAAATATTTGTATGTAGTCAGCTTCAACACAGATGTCTATTAGTCAGATAAATACTGTCCTATCATCTTGTCCCTGATAGCTTTGCTCCTCTTTACAAATGGATCCTCAAAACACACACAAGGGGGACAATAAATGTGATCTGCTGCGGTGACAAGGGCCTAGTTAGGAATGGTAACCCCAAGTGCCTGCATTTTAATAAACATGACTGCCTCTAGACCTTTAGTAAATCTCTGTCCTAATTGTTCAAAAGAACGAGCCCAAGAAAGCACATACACCCCACCCACTGCCCATAGGGGGTGGGTGGAATTATTGCTAATGCCAGGTGACCATCTTATGGAGGAGCAAATTTACCCTATCTTGCTCAGAGGAGGGTTTTTAGCCTTCCTCCTTGCGTGAGGAGGAGTGTGGGGAGGGAATCATGTCATTGGTGAGGGTGGCTGCTCTTCTTTATATGGCTCATCTCATCTTCCTCATCCTGTGCTTTTGCAATGACCCACCCACCCTTTAAGCAGTGTATGATTACCCAGCCACCTCTGGGGGGTTAGTAGGAATTTAAGAGTACCTTTCATTGTCCTTGGAGTACACCTTCAGCCTACTCTCTACCATTTGATTTGGGCCATATGAGGATAATTTGGCTTCCAACTGCCTGTCATTTTGTTACAACGTGGCATTTAGGGTACGCACCCATGAGGCACCTGTGAGTAAATGGCTTCTGACCTACTGCTTCGCATTCCATTCAGTTCCAGGGAAGCTCCTCCTCTGATGCCCTCTTGCACCTCTGCCTCCCAAAGCTTGCACAGCTGCTTGTTGCACCAGCCCTGGCTATAAGCTCCCCAGGCAGAAAGAGCCTCTGGGCCTGGCCTGGGGGTGCTTCCCATGCTCCTATGGGGCAGTGTGAGGAGACACCTCTCTTTGGGGTGGGGTGGGGCAGCTCAGAGACCAGGGATGTCAGCAGTGGGTACCTGGAGGACTGCCAAGGAGAGGGGAGAGAAGAGAAGAGGAGAAGAGGCTGAGGGAAGACTCCACAAGGGAGGGTGTTTGAAAAAGGGTGAGAGGCTGCCAGCTATGCAGGCAAGGGGTGACATAACTGGGCTCCTGAGCCCCACAGGGCTGCCAAAGAAAGAATGGAGTTGGTCGAGGGAGCCGTGGACTCAAAAACCTCTGCATTATGAGATTAACAGAAGTCATCTTCTGAAAGAAAAATGATACCATACTGAAAACTCACTACGCAAAAGCAAAAATCCAGCATGCCTGACCAGCTTGAGTGTTGTTTGTATCTGGTTCAGAAAATAACAAGGAACAGGAAGGGGACGGACAACGCAAAAAGGATCTGGAAACCTGGAGGAAATTAAATTGTGCATCTGTTTATTTTTAAGAAAATGTTTACATTAACTTTTTGAATTCACCACCACTTATTACTGTTCCCATCTCTCCCAGGTACTGACATTTTCTGTCACTGATAAACAGCTGCTCGGCAGTGATGAATTCCAAGAAAATGAAGCACACCTGCGTTTCTCTGTCCTAACTTGGCAGACCAAATATAGAAGCCCTTATATGTCACCTTGACATTTTCTAATTGCAGTGCTCTTGGAGCCTCCTTTCGTGGAAAGGAATGGAAATTTCCCTCCCCCTCTATCATTTCCCTCTAGTGCTGTAATGCTTTCAGATGGTGAGCTCCTTCTGCCTCAGGACAGTGTCTGGAGATCTATTACCAAGCTTGAAAATTCATGCTATAGAATGAATCACAAGGTGTTTATAATAATAACTGAGGAGGCGTTTGAGGGGCTAAAAGAAGACTCATATATAACTTAATGAAATAAAACATGTGAATAAACAAGCTAAGTTGAAAGAAATCCAGAACAAGTGAGACAATAGCTTTTTATGGAGACAACAACTTGAAACAGCAATTCTTTCAGAATTGGGTTATCAGGAGTTTCAGGGTTAGACATTTTTAAAAGAGAGAGAGAGAGACAAAAAGAAAAGAACCAAAAGACCTTTCATTGGATCCTTGCAGTATTTTAAATGGCAGCTTTCCTTGAAAACAACAGCCACACATCTAACTCCTCCTCTGTAGCATACGACATCACAACATGACATCATGGTGCCTTGTAGTTTCCTGCCTTCAATCCATGTAATTTTTTAAAAATATGAACACCTTTAAAATACCACCCAATTCTGATTATTATTATTTTTTTGCTGTTATTTTGGATATAAATCCAAATTATATGCAACACTTAGACAATAATTAAAATCCATGACCCTACACTCTTCCATACAAAAACAGAAGCTACCAGGCACCTGTTTTCACCCATGCAACAGCTCATGGAAGAAACAATCTTACATGCTGAATCCAGTACTATGCAATGTCTAGATCACAACAATCTGCTTTAATTTTATGAATGACATAATTTTAAAAAATGTATTAGAGGCATTCTTCAGTAGCTTTTTTGTTCCTCTGGTTCACTCTGGTCTAATTAGGATTTTGATTTGACAATGATAATTTCTTAAAAGAAACCAGGAACTTGAAGGCCATATGCAATTTTCTGTGGCTTTCTTTCCATTCAATTTATTTGTGTCTTTTCCTCTCCCTACATTACCAATGCATACACATTTTCTATGACTGCAAAAGAGCAATCTTGAAGCAATGGTATGTAAGAGTGCATCGATGTGCTTTTTGTATAGTTTTTTACTAAGGCATTTATGTATTTATGCAGCCGTATTTACAATCAACTTGACTTTCCTTTTTTGAGGTGTTTTATCAGTTTGCATAATTAAAACACAACACACACAAAACTTGAAACTATCATGCATGCGATCAAGTTTCCCTTTATTGCAGTGTACAACTTTGGAAATGCCACCAAATAATTTAGGACTCCAAAACCCAGTGTGAAATTCAGAAGCATCTCTGAATGTTGTGTTGTCTATAGTCTTTCTGGCTGTTAATTTTGTGAAATGGGACACACTATTGAAAGAGTCAGCCTGGTGCCTAAAGATATATAATGATGGCACTAGATCAGCCCCCCTGGGGAGAGCATTCCACAAACTGGGAGCCACTGCAGAAAAGGCCCATTCTCATGTTGCCATCCTCCAGACCTCTAGTGGAGGGGAACACATGAAGAAGGGCTTCAGATGATTATTGAAGGCTTATTTCGCCAGAGACAGTACAATTGGATATTAAGGTTTCAAAACATATTTTTTCTTCTCTTACCTGCTGGTTTACGGGGAAATTCCTGTTGATTTTTTTAATCTATGAAAGTGAATACAGAAATTGATTAATAAACATGCATATTCAACTATGAAAATCAGGCACATTACACGTCCATTGGCATTGTGATAGATTTACTTTGTGAAGCGATTCAAAGCCTACCAAAAGATGCTTACAGAGTTGGTTTGTGCAGATTTTTAGGGATTCCATATTTCTGAATGTAGTACATTTCTGAATGTGACAATGGGTGGAATTTAACACTGTGCCATTACAAACGTTCCATCTGTGCAAGCACATCAGCTTGCCAATGGAATGAGCCCAGCTTCCCCTGCACACTGTTCTAAAGGTCTTCCCCAATTATGGGGGTACATGGGAGGAGCAGGGGGGAGAAGTCCCATTGTGCAAGTGCATTGTGCAGGGCTTCTACTACTATGGTTCATTAAGTGAACTGTGCCCAATGTATGCCTAAGTGTTCTGCAAACCACTGCTTTCCTTTGATTTACTTTTACTCTATACATTTCATTTTGTTGCACATTAGGGCTGGTGTTCTTGTAAACCTGAAAACATTTCAGAGCTTGAACTGCTAAAATTTACTAAGCATAAAATATATGTTTGTATTCAAGAGAAAAGTGAACCATAATTACAGATGAAGCCTGAAACACAAAGTGAATGATCTATAACAGGGGTCGGCAACGTGAGGCCCATGCATCCCACGAAGACTGTTCTACTGGTCCACGAGCCGCCCCCGAACCGAGCTGCTTGCTCAGCGAGTCCCCTGCACACTGTGCTTAACTGGCGCAGCAAGGCGCGAGGACTCACCAAGCGGCGCTGGAAATCGAGGCTGCGCATGCACAGATACCAGAAATCAAATCTGCGCATGTCCAGACGCCGAAAATCGCTTCTGCGCAGGTGCAATTTTCTGCATCTGGGCATGTGCAGAAGCAATTTCCCGCACTGCGGACATGCACAGAAGCAATTTCCGGTGCTGCACTATGCCAGTCCGACCCACGGACGATCTCTGTGGGAGTGATCCAGCCCATGGCCTGTATACTTTGCCGACCCCTGATCTATAATCAGGTTTCACATGCATCTATTCTATAATGAATCAAGTTATACATTCAGATAGCAACATTGCACAGGTAGTAGTAGATCATCGTTATTAACCAAGCTCATATGAGTTCCAAGAAATAAGGATAACATTCAGTAGATTTATTTGGACAAGGCTTTACATACAATTTCTAGAGCTAACTCTAACCTAAATCAATTGATTTTGTGTCTCAGCGGAAAGTGAACAAAATGTAAGTAAGGCAAGCTTTATAGGAAGGATACTTCAAACACTTTTGGTATAGTATACAAGGCTCTGAAATAAAAGGATATCACATATAAACATGCCTGTGACATAGGTACTTCTTTATGACAGCATACAAAAATAGGCTCTTTTTCATACCTACATGTGTTCTACCTACATGGAGCCAAAGCACCACAACTCTAGATTGTTAAATAATGTCAGAACTCACAAAATGCGAAACATGGCATATTTAACAACATAACCTGAAGAGCCATTAAAAGCTAGAGGCTCTATCCCAATGTAATCCAACTCAGAGTAGATCCATTGAAACTAATGGACTCAGGTCCATTCATTACAATGTGTCTGATCTGAGTGGAATTTAGCTGGTTACAACCATAAATCTTAGCCACTGGTTGTCTGGGCTAATTCCTGATGGCATTTTGGTCTCAGGTCAGGATACTCATGTACAAAATACACAATGTCATTTGGCTTTGAAAGATGGATATGGCTTCCTTTCCAAATATGTGAAAGTGGAAATTAATAAGACGTCAGGTTCTAACTTATGTTACCTGCATGGAACATGTGTGAACCTTTTATTACACCTGATATAATCAAAATATATTTTGCTGCCTGTACGCAAGCAGTATCTCATGATGGTATTTCATGAGGTATTTCCCAAGAGATCAGAAACCCTCCTATGTGCAGCAAAACCCATATAAAGGTAAAGGTAAAGGTACCCCTGCCCATATGGGCCAGTCGTGACCGACTCTGGGGTTGCGTGCTCATCTCGCTTAAGAAGCCAGGAGCCAGCGCTGTCCGAAGACACTTCCGGGTCACGTGGCCAGCATGACGAAGCTGCTCTGGCGAGCCAGCACCAGTGCAGTGCACGGAAACGCCTTACCTTCCCGCTATAAAGTGGTACCTATGTATCTACTTGCACTTAGGGGTGCTTTCGAACTGCTAGGTGGGCAGGAGCTGGGACCGAACGACGGGAGCTCACCCCGCTGCGGGGATTCAAACCGCCGACCATACGATCGGCAAGTCCTAGGCACTGAGGTTTTACCCACAGCGCCACCCGCGTCCCACAACCCATATACGTTAGCCTAATACTTTTATTTAAGGCAACATAAACAGAGGTTTTGATAATGATGTGTTAGTCTGCCTGGATTAATGGACTAGTACAGAGAAGATGGCTCACAACACTCTACCAATCTGTAAACTACTTGGTAAGCCAACGGCATGCAAATTATTTCATCCTTACAGCTTTTTGGAGGCCCCTGCCACTGTGTGGCCTCAGTTACCCAGTCAAACAAGCAAGCTACTCCTGGAGATCAAGAAGAAGAAGAAGAGAAGAGGAGTTTGGATTTGATATCCCGCCTTTCACTCCCTTTAAGGAGTCTCAAAGCGGCTAACATTCTCCTTTCCCTTCCTCCCTCACAACAAACACTCTGTGAGGTGAGTGGGGCTGAGAGACTTCAAAGAAGTGTGACTGGCCCAAGGTCACCCAGCAGCTGCATGTGGAGGAGCGGAGACGCGAACCCGGTTCCCCAGATTACGAGACTACCGCTCTTAGGCTTTGCATCTTGGAGATAAAAGGTTTCTGCACGTATGGAGAAAGCGAATATGGGAAAGCTTTTTGCAGCAATATCCAGAAGTGACAAAGACTCTGTGACATTCTTCCAGAGGTGTGCCAAGAGTGCTAGCAGCACCATCAGCTGTAAACAAAGGGATGAACTGGAACGAAACACCCACTCTCTCTAGGCATCTCTCACTTGTCAGTAAAATGAAAACACATTTAACAAGATACAGCTTGACCCAAGACTGTCAAGAATGACATAAACTCAAATGATTTTCACTTTGGTTTTTTTTAAAAAAAATAAGAAATATTTTGATGAAGGCAGGATGAATACTGAGGAAATGTAGAGATAATAGTGTGCAAATCTAACACATTTTAACTGTATTATAGCCAGTATAATTTCCTCTGGGAGCTTTCAGTCAGGAGCATCTATATATAGAAACTTCTAGTTCTGGGAACTATAATATCATGTTTACTACCCAAAATTTACCTTTGTTTGAGATGCAGACATAAAATTGTAAAATCCCAACTGACAAGCCACTTTTCGAAACCATATTATCATTTGGCAAGTCACCTACGGAACACTATTTTGCATAAGCAGCATGCTAAGGAAGCAAACTTTAAAGTACTAAACATGTGACTCTGTAATGATCAAGAATAGTTTCCAGTGATGTTTTTATTTAGATTTCCCACTCTCATTGTAAATATAGGTCCAATGTTGCTCTCATAATGCTGCTTTTCACTTGCAAAGGAGCTACCATTCTGACAAAAAGTTTTACTGAACATGCACTAAAGCAATATGGATCATATCTCTTTGACATATGGTAAATAATTTTTACAGTAATTTGTCTGACTATTCATAGATGGCATTCAGTCTGGAAATTCCAGGGCTACTATAAAGGAAAAAGATTTCTGGCTCTGCAGAAAAAAGCAACAAAATTTCATTGATTTATTAGATAGGCACTGTACATTCATTTCCACAGTCCAGTACCAATTCCTCTTCCTGTGCAATTATCTGCAATGCACTTTAACTGTGCGATCCCGAACATGACGAAGCACAAGTTAAATCCCACTGAGTGTAGCATGGCTTACTCTTGAGTGAGTGGGTATAGGATTGCTGCTTAAAGCAATCATTACCAAAACAGCCTACAATGTGCAGGTATTTTTCTTCAAGAAAACATAATGCAAACTGAGTGCGTATAGGCACAGAGATAATTTTTGGTTAAAAAAACAACAACTAGACAGTAACCATAAAGCAGAGTAATGATTCTGCTACCTTGTGATATATGTCAAGTGAGATGGTGGATATTTTCCAGCATAGCAGTGCCAGTCCATGATGTTGTGTCACTGCAATGACCTACGTCAGCTTGCAGCACTGGCAAAGAGCCAGAGAACTGCCACAGGTCGTGACACTGCAATGGCGCTAAGGGCATTTTGTCTCCTCTAAATGTTTTTTGTTTTTGTTTTGTTTTTTCAATTCAGCAACTCAGAAGCTATGCTAGTTAGCTTCTCCATTCAGGTAGTAGATTAATCACATATTACAAATTAACTTTTAAACCAAGTATTTTTGTATTCTTGTAACCATTATTCATGGCTTGAAGTAAGGAAATAACATATGTTTTATTATACTGTTACATGTGCATGTCTATGATATATTTTGTAAACACTTAACCGGATGGAGTTTTCTTTTTTTGAAAAATGCAATAAAATTATTAAAAAGGGGAGATGGACATAAAAGGAGGTTCATGATAGCTCAGTTACTTCATGTGGTATGGAAATATTATTATTTACCTATTAGATTTCTATTCTCTTTCTTCCATTAGTAACTCAAGAAAATTTACCCAGGGTGCCCAGTCAATCTCCTATCCAGACACTGACAAAGCACATGGTATAGCATAATGTTCCTTCAGGCCCTGGGACCAAGGTTAACTGACTTCTTATAACAAACAAATAGTATTAGTGCTACACAAAGAACCATTCTTCAATTTCATGTTAGTTTTCTTCTCTTGCAAAAGAGGTTCAGTTATTCTGAACATCTGCAGACCACTTTAAAATTTATCTTAAATGATGGCGGGTGCAGCTGGCTGCGTGCCCCACTTTTCCATTAAGAATGTCTCCTGGACTCTGGAGTTTGCCTGAGCTTCTTCATCTGAAAAAGCCCCATGAGGGAAGATGCTTCATGATGTCTTCCCCTGAGGTGTAACTGAAGTGCAGAAAGCTGGCTACTAAGCACCAAAAATTGGTTCACTCACTGGTTCTGTTTTTAAGGGACCCTCTAAAAAAACACCACCACCACTTTTCCACACTGAAGTAAAAGGACTTTACTTTAAAATCCAACAACAGTTGTCATGCACACAACTATGGTTATTCCTGCCTAAGTGTAGTACCTTACATTTGTTAGTTTTGGTCAAGTTCTCCAATCTGTTACGGACATGTTGAATTCTGATTTTATCTTCTGATGTACAAGCTAACTATCCCAGGTATTACCGGTAGCTTGTATTACACTTCAGTGACCCACCTGGTCATTGTTGCTGATTAACAGTCTACTGAGAGGGAAAGTTTGGGACAATTCAAAGCTTCAGATGGCTACAGTGGCTGCCCTGAAGTTCTGAGCCCTGCTGAGGTTTGTGTGTGGCAAGTGTAATAAGCAGGTGCAACAAATAATGGTGCTGATATAGGGCAAGGTATGTTGGCCTAACTATCACCTCCTATAGGACCGGTAGAGTTCTTACAACATCTGCGATTAGAAGTACTAGTCATCTAATGAGGACAATCAAAATGCTGCCAAGTTGGCTGGAGTGCACATCTCTAAGGTCTCTGACTTCTTGGTATTTGTGTACAGCACTGAGGATCTGCTGAGATGCTGGAGAGCCCTGTAAATAAGAAGCAAAGGAGATGGGTGCCTCTCTTGTTGGAGTTGTTAGTATACCTGCTACCATGACTGGAATTCCACATTAAGGGCATCTGCCCTGTGATTTGGTGCTGAGTTGCAACACGGGTTTTATTGTGCCAGAATGAAGGTATAAAGTGAAACCAAAGCACCTTTCCAGTTTTATTATCCTATTAGAAAGACCTTAGGCACCAGCAGGATTAAGTCGATAGCATTATTATGGTTGTTTCACATCAGCAACCTCCTCAGTTCAAGATTACTCTCTGGCTAATAACCAGTAGTGAACATATCACCATATTATTTGTTCTTCTTCAAGTACATTTGAAAACTTTTAGTACTCACAAAAGAGGGAAAAAAATAACAACAGGATGGCAGAAGTTAAGTATTTCACAAAAGCAAGAAGCATCAAGAAGCAGAAAAAAGGAATGATAAAAATCTATTGTATTGGTGGTTTTATTCACAAAGATATAGCAAAAGTTTTTAAAGAACACATTTCAGGCCCTATCATGGCAATAAAAACAACAGCAGCTTATTTTTTCTTTAAAATTCCCAAAGATGGGAATATCTTCACTTTTCAGAAAACTACACAAAAAGCTGCTGCTTGTGTTCTGTAATAGATTAAATGAGGGGGTAAAATGAGCAAATCTCCTGTAATTCCTTTTTAATTAAACAGACTAATGCCAATATATGCATGTGGGGTGTGTGTGTGTGTGTGTGTGTGTGTGTGTGTGTGTGTGAAAATGTGTCTCTTAAAAGCTTGAAATAAAACAAATGATGAAACAAATGATGAAATAAAACAAATGATATTTTCAGGGTCATTTTAATGGCAGCCGCTAGAAACAGAAAGGAAAAGATTGTCAAAAAATTGTACAGTGGTACCTCGGGTTACATAAGCTTCAGGTTACAGACTCCCGTAACCCAGAAATATTACTTCGGGTTAAGAACTTTGTTTCAGGATGAGAACAGAAATCATGCAGCAGCGGTGCAGCGGCAGCAGGAGGCCCCATTAGCTAAAGTGGTCTTCAAGTTAAGAACAGTTTCAGGTTAAGAACAGACCTCCAGAACTAATTAAGTTCTTAACCCAAGGTACCACTGTACAATTTTTTGACAATCTTTTCCTTTCTGTTTCTAGCGGCTGCCATTAAAATGACCCTGAAAATATCATGCTACTATTTTTGCCCGATGATAAAGTGAGGAGACCTTTCTTTATCAGGCTATGTGGCAACTGCAAGTGACAAATGCTTAGTTTCTTTCAACAGCAGCTGTAAAGTGCTTTTGTCTCTCTCTGAGGGTCTGTGACTACCTGCCCTGACAGTGTTGATAAATGGAGGTCTTATCCACACTTACCTTTCCTCTGTGTTTTCCAGGTAAGTTTTCTACTGTCTACACTTCCAAGCTCTGTGTCCAAGTGCTCTTTTTTTGTTCTGGAGCTTTCCCTGAGAAAACCGCTGAACTGGAGCAAACTGCAATCCACAAAAAACCAAAATTCCCATTTGTTGCACTTCAATTTCAAAGAACAGGTTTTCATGGGGAAAGCTCCGAGGGATAAAAGAGAGTCTGGACACAGAGCTTGAAAGCATGAACTTGTGCCTAGAAAGCACAGGGCAAAAAGTAGGTATGGATAAGTCCTGAATGAGCTACCTGGAGTTCCCATCACAGCAGCACCTGGAGTGAAGTGGCTATCAGTCACCAAAGTGTTGCTGAAAAGACGTCTTAAAATTAAAAAGTAGTCGTCATAATTATTTTTTTCAGTTGTAATGCTTTCTATGCCAGTCAGCATAATGAGCATGGCAAATATTCCCTAAAATCAAGTCCTAACTCTGATTCTGAGGTTTAGCATGTGTGAGCAGTATTTTTACTTTCCCAAGACACCCATCATTGGGAATTATCCAATTGGTGACCCTTTGCTGACTCAAGGCATCTTGCCTCCCTAGGAGGGAGGCAATTTTCAAAGATTTCACTGCCTGCTAATCTGCCCAGATTTGCTCCAGAGGGTCAAAGTACTTCAACAGCAGATTTTGGAGCTGCAAGGAGTGATCAAAACTTGATTCAATTCCTGTTCAAGCTAAACAGATACCTTCTGTCAGTAGACGGACACCAATTAGATACCACCCCTTATTTTTGACTACTGGGTAAACTTTAGCTATTGCTGGAAATTAGACTGAAATATCTCACAGAGAATTAAGAAGATACTCACCTCCCACACTGTAATGCCGCTGGCTTGCAATAGCTCACTTTCCTTAAGCTAAATGATTGAAGAATCAAAGCAATTCTGTGCTGAGAAATATTTAATTTTTTTTAAACACACACACACACACACACACACACACACACATCAACACGACTCATCTTCTCCAAATCCTGGGATGCATAATTTAGAGCTGCATGAGCAGCAGCATTTAACATAAAGTTAAGTTGATTGTATTGTAATAGCTGTGAGGCCAACACATCCCACTGATGCATTTGCTCCTTTGAAAAGGGAAACGACAACAAAACTGGCATATGTTTTTTTAAAAAAATGTGCTTCAACCCACTGCAACTGTAAATTAAAAATAGAATTTCGAGTAACACTCTCAAAAGTTCCACTGCATAAATTACACCTAGCAGCCAGTGTCCCCAGTCTGCTGAAACATCTGTCATCATTACATACCGTATCTCCACTGTAATGAAAGTGGAACTTTCATGAAGAAACTGCTGCATGTTAACAATGCAAGCAGCTTGGAGAGCTTCATAGATGATCTACTAGACTGATCAAATGGACATCTGTTTACCTCTAATTTTCTGAAACTGCTTTCCTCTCGCTTCTAGGACAGCACTTTTCACACTGCACTGATAATTTATCATAGTTGAATGTTTAATCTTAAAGGCATTTCAGATTTCTTTACAAGTTACAAGTGCTTGAACCATTCTGTGCCTCTATGCTTTGTTGTTTTCAAGTATTTTTTTTTATGGATTTGTTAGGCATATTGAACAACTTACAAACAAGATAGAAAGGTGAAGTCATTCCCTTAAGCAAAGTTCTTTTACAAGGAACCCTAAAACCAGAACAGAAGTAGGCAGTACAGGCAATGCACAGCAAGGTTCTCTTTGAACACTTGTTCAATATGGGAGAAAGGAGCTTCAGAACCTTACCTGGGCAAGATTCCCAGTGTCACTAATCTGACTATATTGCCTGGTTTCATGAATACATATCACTATCAGAGAGAACTATTTAAACTAGCTAGTATTTAACTGGGAATTCAACCAGATCTTAACACACACACTTTTGATCTGAGAGACTGAACTGCTTCAAGCTGTTAAGGCCCATTTTCTTTCAATTAAATCCAGTGTTGCTTGAGATTGAGCCCAATGGTAATAGTGTCCTTAATTATTAAACAACTGTGAAACATTAGAGCTCCCCCTATGACTTGACCCACACAGGTCAAGCTTATAGCTGCTGCAGCACAGGCACCAATTTGAACTGTTGCAGTTAATGGAGTTGAGTTGGTTGCTTCTTCCCTGCTTGCAAGTTTATGAATTTAAATTGTGAGTTACTCCAAGATTAGCTGGGATATGGAGACAGATTATATTTTTGTGTGTACAGTGGAACCTCAGTTGTCGAAAGTAATCTGTTCCGGAAGACCGTTCGACTTTCGAAACAGTCGACAACCGAGGTGCAATTGCCGGTCAACAAAATCAATTGAAAAAATGGAGAAACACGCCTTGGAAGCCGTTCAACTTCTGAGGCATGTTCAAAAATGGAAGCATTCACTTCCAGGTTTTTGACATTCGGTTTCTGAAATGTTCGACAGCCGAGACGTTCGAAAACCGAGGTTTGACTGTATACTGTGTGTGTCTATATATGTGTGTGTGCATTCTTTAAAAACTTTCAGAATAACAGAATTGTAGAGTTGGAAGGGATCATCTAATCTACCCCCTGCAATGCAGGAATCTCAGCTAAAGATCCCTGACACCAGTGTTATGTGTTTGTGGTAGTCTGTTCCCATCACCAGTCTAGCCACAGCATTTTGCATGGACTGAAGTGTCTGGATCAGACCCAAGGGAAGCCCCATGTAGAGTGTGTTGCAGTAATCAAATCTCTAGTTTACCAGTGCATGGGCTGCAGCCTTCAATCAAGCCAATCTTTGGCTGCTTGGATTCGGACATCAATCATACAAGAAATATGCAAAATAACTAAGCAAGTATTAGAAGTCACCCCAGAACTGGCTCCACTAAACAACTTCCAAGATAATAATGCCCACTCACATCATAAAGAGCTGATAACCCACCTACTCTCAGCAGCCAGAAGCATCATAGCCAGACACTGGAGAGACCTGTCAGGAGTAAGCATGGACCAATGGTATCAAATAGTATGGAAAACAGCCTTATTAGAAAAACTAAGCAATAAACTGAAACTGACATGGGGACAAATAGAAGATGCCTTCACCCTGGTATGGTTCCCCTTTATCACATACACAGCTCAACAAGACAACAAGAAGAATCTGCCGACAGCATACGAATCAATCTAGCTAACCTGATCCAAAAACATACATACACATACCCCATTCACACACAAAAACAAATCTCACTACAGCCAACCAAAGACAACCAACTGCACCCTAAGCCACCCCAACCTCTCTCACTACCAAGGAAATACAACAAGTGAATAGTCCCATAAAAGTGACGCCAACACAAAACCCCACACATACACTAAGTAGAAGAATAGAAGCATTGCCACCCGACCCCACCCCACTCACCCTTCCCTTCTTTCCCCCTCTCTTCTTCCTAACCTAACACTGTATGCAACAGTAATGTCTCACAACAAATGAAAGTGATCTGTAGAAAACGCAACTTGAAAAAAGAGACTATGCACGTATTTTTGTAAACTAAGAAATCTTTAATAACAATTGTGGTTTTTTTTAAAAAAATCTAGCCAATCTTTCATTTTGAATGACCTGCAATGTGTGGGGCTTTTCAGTGTTCAAAATAAACTGAGGAAGGGCCAGGCTTCTGTCATGGCTATTCTGTCCCAATATCTCAACAGATGGTGGGAGAAAGTGCAACTCTGAAAAGAGAGATGAGGCCTCCTCTGCTTAAGAGAAGTGACACAAAGGCAGCATATTTTTCTCACTGGGGAGCACAAGGTGTGCTGAAAGTTTCGCAGTTCCTACTGGGAAACAATGCTGCAAATGTTGTTTCAGCCCAGAGTTACTGTAAGCCAAAACAGTAAACAGAATCCCATGCAAGGAAATCTGGAAGAACTGAGTCACCACCAAATCATCCAATGGTCTTCCATGTGGAACAATGAGAAGTCACTAAGAGAGGCACACTCATGACATCTTCTGTGATCATTATGGTACCTACACTGGGGTCCAAACATTGATGAAAAGACCCTCTGTGGGTGCTCCCACTGGCAACGGGGCCCTAAGATGCCCTTTAAATGGCTGTGATCATGAAATGCTATGTAAAAGCAGAACTTTAGACCAGAGCAGTATCCCTCCAATACAAAGAGCAAGTACCTCTTCTTTTTGCCCACCCTCTTATGTTTTCTGTGGTTACTGCCATCCCACTGCCCTCTTTACAACCTCTTCTCCATATCCAAAAGCAGCTGTTTCAAGTCACCCATCCTCTTGCCAACTTGCACGGGGCTTCAGTTTTTCAGGCTATATAAAGCACAGCGACAGGCATCTCCAGGGTTAACCTCTCAGAAACTCAACAGGATCTTCGGAAGCCAATCAGCTGCAAAGTGTAGAAAGGGGAAGGAAAATTCCACCTGGCTCCTTGTGTTGTTTTCTGGCAATCTTTGTGCTGCAAGGATCAAAGAGCTACCACCTTAGAGCAACATTAACTGGTGCCAGAATCTCTTGATATGACTGTGCAGCAAGCTACAAGTATTCTCTGACACAAACTAAACTGTGATTTACAGAGCTTAACCTTGGATTAGCTGGCCCATAAGGCTTTCAAGTAATACTTTTCACACCAGCTGAGGCTCTTCTTATCCCGCTTTATCTTGATTTGTTTTCTCTGTGCTCCACAAAGGCATGGCGAGTCCATCTTTGCATCTCAGTGAGCTTATACTTACTTTCTGAGAGACAGATATCTTGACACGCTTGCCAAGAGCAAATAAGAACGCATTTCAAATACAGATCAGAAAATATGCTGTACTTCAGCTTGTTTAAATGTTTGCAGATATCCTCAATAACTGTTTTGCCATTCTGACACAGCTTGTCAAGTGACACTGCAATCATTGGCAACCCAAGCAAAATTATACACTGCACTGAGGTGGCACAAAAATTGTTAACCTCAGTTTAATGTATGCCAGAAGCCGTCTTGTTTCAGTTAGTTGAATCACAGACATTTCCAGCAGCATTCTTTTGTTGATAAACATTATATTTTCTTGTGACTCTGTGGCTAAATGTCCTTTTCTTCGTCCTCAAATGTCCCTGTATAGCGGAACGCTCAATTCCTGCTTATGCTGTCAAATATTCAATTCTTCCTGTCGACTAACATTTAAAAGAACATTATGATTAGATTACAGATCAATTCCCCATCAGACAAAAAATACATTAAGGGAGCTAGGGGACTCAGTCGCAGAAAAGAAGAGGTAATTTCATTCTGGCAAGACATTAACTATGAGCATTTAGCTTTATGACATTTCGCAATAATTGGCCATATAAGAACTACTTGATACTCCTTTCTTATCACTGAGTTGTATGAGATGATGCACTAGCAGAGGTGCACAAGAGTCCCAGCCCTTCATCCGGGGGGGGGGGGGTATGAAGCAATTCCCTGGTGTTAGGACAACAACCCAGCCCTGGCTTCGGAGTCTAATTTTGGCTCTGTAATGCATACAGTATTACAGTCTTATTGGAAACAAGGAGTAGAGTCATAATAACATAAGAAGAGCCATGATGGATCCCACCTAGCCCAGACTTCTGTTCCCATAGTATCCAAAACAATGCCTATGGAAAGCTCACAAGCGGGACATGAGCACAACTGTGCTCTCCCGCTGCTTCTCCCCAGCAACTGGTAATCAAGTGTCTCTTCTGAATCTCCTACTGTTCAACTTCATTGGATGGCCTCAGGTTCTAGCATCAGGAGGAAGAACACCTTTTCACCCATCAACTTTCTCTACATCATCTATATTTTATAAGCCTTCATCATATCCTTCTTCCCATAATTGCTTTTTCTTCTTCTACCAGTTGCGAGAAGCCAAAGGAGAGGAGAGGGCTCTTGTGCTTGAATCCTGCTTATGGGATTCTGATTGGCTACTGCGAGAACAGAATGCTGGACTAGATAGGCCATTGGCTTGACCCATGAGGCTATTTTTACATTTTCATATTCTTACCCTAAAAAACTACAAATATTATAACCTTTCATGATGGAGAGATGCATTTTATTGTTGTTTTCTGTACCTTTTCCAGATCTACAATATCCTTTTTGAGATGCAGTGACCAGAACTGTCATAGATTTTTAAAAATGATATCATTATATGACAGTTTTATTTACTACTCCTCTTCTAACAATTTCTGACATGGAATTTGCAGCAGCTTTCATTGAGCTACACAAACTCAGGTTCCCTTTCCTGGTCAGTCAATACCAGTTCAGACACCATCAGTGTTTATGTGAAGTTCGGAGTTCTTGCCCCATTGTGCATCTCTTTACACTTGCTTATGGACCATTGCATTGTGTGCCATACAAGAGCCAACATGGTCCATTGCAGAGGGATTGGGGCATTCAGCACACATCACAGAAGTGCAGAACACAGGATCTTACTCCATACTTCAAATCATTCCATGGATTGCTGAAGCTTAAGCCAAGCCATACATTACCAGATTAAACTCCTCTCCCCTCCTGGACTATGGGGAACTTTAACTGCCTGTGAATTTGCTGTATACATTACAATCTTGTAAAAACATGCCACGTAATAGCAATGTGTTAAAACATCATTATTTCTGTGGCAATAATTACAGTGCTAATCAGAAGCAATTAATCAGAGGCAATTGAAATTTGGCTTTAAAATGTTTGCTGCAACTGTAAGAACATTGCTCCTTGAAATACCGAAAATATTCCCAAGCACAAGCTAAAATTAGTAATAGAAAATAGTTATAGAGTAAGCACAAAGGTTAGCAATAGTCCCATTTGTCAAGGTTGTCATGAGACTGACAGCCATACGCAGTGACAGCACTATCAAGATGAATAAATAGTGAGGGAATTGGCGAGTGCGGCACAGAACATTACAGATGGCAGACAGATTCAAGTCTGCAATACCAATTCAGTATTGCCACCAGCTGGAATGGTTCTGTAGCTGGATATAAATCTCCACAAGATACAAAATTCTTCAGTATGTTCCCGGCATTAGAAACAAAATTAATTTTAGAAGCCTGTGGAGGATATTGCAAGATTCAGATAACTCAATATGATACCAAAACTAAACTAAAGTAGGGCAATATTTAAAAGTTGAGAGGGAGGGGAGGAGAGAGAGTAATTGGTGCTGGTGGGAACAGACACAGAATAATATCAGTCAGGAATTCCAGCTAGGAATATTATAGAATGATATGCAAGGTTGCCTAAAATCATCATCACATCGCCACTGAGATTATATACTCAGAAGGAACTGCAGCATATAAATACTTCACACAAGTTGTTCGGTCTCTAAGATTCAGCTTTTTAAATCTGGGACAAGTCCAACTGGGGCAGAAGGCAAAACACAGAAGGCAGTTTGGGAGAAGGAAGACCCCAGATATTGCAGTGAGGTTGGAAGTAGGAGGAGGAATTGTAGCCATTAGAGCATGAATGAACATTCCGCGAAATGCTTTTTTATTTTGAACATCTTCTAGATTCAGAACTGGCCAACTTTCCACGGGCCATTTTTAATAGGTGAGCATGCTGTCACGTCACCTGATGCCACATGATCACATTCCACAGGAAGCATTAGGAGAGCACTTAACTGTAGCTCTGATCCTTTCAAACCATGGCTGCAAAAGAAGAATCTGATGCAACTTTCCCCGCCAAAAGCTGGGCTGACATTCAGTGCTGAAAGCAAGCCCCACTTGCAGCAAGCATCAGCTGCACTCAAATGAAACTAACCCTGGCAGGGTTTGTATTTACAACACAATTTAAAGGGCCATTTATCGGTTGAAGATAAAAGTGTTTACATGATCCCTTCTCCTGCATATTTTCACCCTCACAACAAGCCTGTGAGGAAGGTAGGCAGATAAGGCTGAGAGACTGTAATTGGCTTAAGGCAGAGGTCGTCAAACTACGGCCCACTGGACACGTTTATCTGGCCCGCGAACCTTGCGGACCCTGCTGCCCACTCGGTCAGTCCCCATGCTAAACAGACGTGGTGCAAAGACCTCACTGCATACAGACTTACTTCCGCGACAGAAGCTCCTGCAGCCAATCAGAAGCCACAGACGTCTCTGGGCGCCACCTGTTCGTTCCTGCTGAGGCAGCCGAGCAGGAGGAAGTGGCGGAGGAAGTAGCAGTGGCACGGAGGCTGCCTAGGCCAGAGGCATCTGGGTGCTGCCCCTTCCTTACTGCTGAGGCAGCCGAGCAGGAGGAAGCAGCCGAGCGGGAAGGAAGTGGCAGCAGCGTGGAGGCTGCCTCCGCTGCCCAGGCCAGCGGTTTGGGCTCTCTGCCCCGCCGAGACAGAGGACGCTGACACTGCCGAAGATAAGGCTGTGTCGGTGGCTGCAGTGTAATTGGCATAGGCGGGGGGGGGTGTCTTTCGGGAGGCAGTGGGTCCAGCCCCCCACAAGGTCTGAGGGACAGTGGACCAGCCCCTCCTGAAAAAGTTTGCTGACCCCTGGCTTAAGGTGACCATATGAGCTCTCTGGAGAAGATGGGATTTGAACCTGATATCTAACTGTGTTACTATGTGCATGGGGTAGGCGGTTGGGAGTGGGGCAACACAGAGCTTTTTCATGATCTTGGGTATCAGAATAGGAATGCTGAAAGCCTGCATATCTTGGAAGCACTATACCTTCTCTACTTTTCTTTCTAGTTCTGTCGGTGGATATCAGGAAAAAAAGGAAATAATACTGACAGCCATGAAGTGGACTATGTAGCCACAAGGAAAAAATAATTCCCCTTTCAAGAAGCTTTCAAAATTCTGAGCTGATGACAGACTTGAGTTCACTTCTCTGGGGAAGCTTCAAGCAGAGTTTATGCACAGATAATTCTGTGCGTAAACCCAAGAGGCCTTTATGACAGTCAAGATCAAATGTAACTGGGAAATCTGATGAACTAACTTAGAGGCATACTTACATTGTGCTTTGTGAGGTTGGAAATATTCGTTGCTATTGCTTGTAGCCAGTCAATGCAGTCTTCAGCTGAGAGACACTGAATTATTCCACTACAAATGCCATCCACAGCGATTACTTGAAATGCATTTTGCCTATGGACACATCGTAATAGATTAGGTCAGGAGACAAGTGCACCTACTCCGACATTACCAACTTAATAATACTTGTCAAAAGGCTTTGAAATCACTCCCCTCTACCTACCCTTGCCCCACAATAAAAGTCAGCCATTGAACTGCTACTGATTTCCCTATTTTATGAGTCATTCTCTTCTATATTTAGCTTTTGTATATGGCACATCTCCAGATAAATCTTGGCAAAACCCACAGAACAACTGAATACAGATTGCTCACACTGGGCTATCTGCTCAGGGCGCAAAGCTTGAAAAGGTAGTAGCCTGGCAGATTGCACAAGCTGCAATTTGCAATTTGTGGCACATAGCTCTTCAGCTTTACCCCCCACATATTTTGACCACGCTGATTCTGGATCGAAGTCATTCATCTCCACCTTGGAGAATTTCATTATTTCAATATGGCATCCACTATATCCCCAAAACCAAGAACAGATGCATCATTTAGCTTCTACAGGAGCTAGGATAATAATTGGTGTGTTTTCAGAAGCAAAGAATTCATTTTGGCAACCTCCCACCATATGGAATTGCTCATTAGACAAGAATGATATATAGTTGGTAAGGAGCTTATCCGTATCTTGCTACATTTTTAATTGTATTTTTATATAAACTGCCCTAGGAACATAATTGAAGGGTGATTGACTGATTGATTTATTGATTGACTGACTGATTAAATAAATGTAAACATTATTCTTAATGGGGAACCTGCATTATACATTGGGGAACCTGCGTCCCTCCCAGTATTGTTGAACTACAGCTTCCATCATCCCATGCTATTTGAGGCTGATGGGTTTTGGACTTCAACAACATTTGGAGTGCCATAGGTTCTCCTTCCCTGATTTAATGCACTAAAAGAATGGAGGCACTGGCAAATTCACACCATTGGTGCAACAAAGCATTCCTAAGCATCTACTCAAATGCAAACCCCATTGAGTTCAAATAGATTTACGCCCCAGGTATGTGTGAATAGAACGGCAGCCTAAGTGCATTATGAAGGACAATTATTGTGGAAGAAGACAACAGTGGCTTCACATCTGCAATTCCAAAAGCAATGGGTGACTTATTGGAAGGAATCTGTGCAAAAAAACAAAGAAAGGTTCTACAGATCTGGACGCAGCATATACATCCTCCCTAATTGTGGAATAGATCACTAGTAACCCAGGTTTATAACTACAGAAGCTACATCAACACTAAATTTGCAGAGCTAGAATAAATAAAAGGGAAAATACTTTCAATGAGAAGACTAAAAAGATATTTTGGAACTTTTAAAATAATAAAATAAAGAACAAGACTTTGTAATAAAATCTATCATAACTTTCTTAAGAGTCCCCCCTCCTCATATTCTATAAAAGCACTAAAGCAGAATATTCTATATTGGCATGCTCCACTAAATTATAGATTTTTAATGAAAATTCAAATATGATCTGCTTCAAAAACTAATTAGGTGAAGGGTTGAGAACTCAGAATTGATCCACATAACTTTAATGATTTTCACATTGCACTTTCCCAACATATGGACATAACCTAAACACAATGAATGTGTGCAATGTATTTATCAATATGAGCGGAGGGCATCCAAGCATTCTGTGTCTGCTATTCTGCACAGCTGACTTATCTGCCGTAATGCTCTGTGGACTGATTTACTACATCCAAATGACAGATAATTATCAAGCCTATAAAAACCTTTGAAATGCTGAAGCAGTAAGGGCCCAATTTCCTCCAGAAAGTACATGGGTCTGAGTGGCTTTAGAAACACGGGAGCACGATGATATTTCATGCCCTAAAACCATCTCCTGACTGTGGACTGGAAATTGTACAACAGGTCTATTTATTCATGATGAATATATGACTGAGATTAGACATGAGAAATGTGGGAATTGTAGCTGCAGTTCGTTCGAAATCAATCTTCTATCCATTACATCTGGGTCACTTAAAGACAGAAAAAATTTGATAGAAGGTTGATCTGATTTATTTTTTTTAAAGAAAAATTTCAGCACAGGGAATATTATTCTCTGGTTCAGGTTGGTCCAGTGCGTTTTGCATTAGCTGTAACAATCCTTCCACTTTAACACTGTGGGGTAGAGGGTGGACCACACAGATTTTTTCATAGGGATTTGCAGGTTGAGAAAAAGAGATCAGCATATTGATTTCTGATTTCCTTGTCCATTAGAAGCCTGCAAATAAACACATACCTTTACCAATATGAATTTGGCCCATCCCACCCTACCTTCCTTTGTCTAACCAGAGTCAACTAAAAACATTTTCCAGCCTAGCGACATAGAACAAAGCAGGAAGGGCAGTGTCACACACCTGGCAGGAGGATTGGTGCTGGGCAGGTGCCCTGCTGGGACCACAGGTTTGGATACATAGGGGTGCTTTTATCATGTCAACCTCCACACAGCCTTGTCCTTCCCTGTCTCATTAAGTGGCAGAGATACCACCTCCAGGAAGCTAGGTACACAGTGCCACTACTCCTAATAAAGTATTCCTGGGTTAGAGCACAGGAAAACACTGAATAGTTTGTCATGGAGACTCTAGTCCTAGTGTCGAGTCTAGCTTTTGAGGAAAAGATCATGGCTGACTGATACTAGGCATTTTAACTGATTGTTAGCTTCTCTAGGCATGGAGATTTGGATGTGAAATTCCTTCAAGCAATCAGTGCCTCTACATGCCTTATAAGGGTTTTGTAGTCATGCAAAAAGTCTCTTAGTTATATTCTTTGCCTTATGCACAACTTGAGAAAGAGCTACATTTCCAGCTAGAAGTAATCAACATGCTCCGCCTGAGTACCAACAGGTTTTAATTTACTTAGCTAAAATTGGATTTTGACCAACTAAGTCATACTCAATAGCTCTACTCTATGACTTAGGAAAAAAATCCCATTCTGCTTAATATTGCTGAGGGGTTTTTTTATTTTTCCTTTTGTAAATAGTAAGACTCTCTCTCATTCTGTGATAGCTAGAACTTCGGGGAAAGTTATACCTTAGAGTATTAATCATATTAGTTTCTAGCACTAACTGTGTTTTACAGCCCCAGCTAACATAACATCTATTTTTCCTTATTAGTAAAAAAATGCCTTTCTTTCTCTAACGATGGTAAAAAAAATGATCTAGTAAGTTTGAGGGCACCTCTCCTTCTCAGACCCTTCACTTCAAAAATTACAACTAGCATTCTCCAGTATATGGAGAAAATATATCCTTTATCTACTTACCTGCACATATCTGACCCTGGGAGATACTGGGAAAACCGGGAGTGAAGCAGCGGGATTAATCGGAGATCACACCACCTCTTCTCCCACCTAAGCCCTGGAGAAGTAGGCCATGAAGAACATGAAAGTGTGTCCTGAAAAATATTTCAAACACCTTTGATGTTTTGGTGTTACCATCAGCAGCTACAATAAACAGTACCTCATTTATATATTACATTACACTTCTCTGCCATCTTTCCACCACAGAGCTTGAGGTGGTTTCATGGTCCTCTTTCTCCCCATTTTATCATGAAAACAACCCTGTGAGATAGGCTGAGAGTCTGTGGTTGGTCCAAGATCACTCAGTGAAAATCTTCTGAACTAGCTAGTTGCAAAATGCTCATCACTACAACAAGTGGGATATGTATAGCAGGAAAGGTTTTATTTTGTAAGGTTCTCTGGGAAGGGTAACATTAATCTCTACCTTCTATACAAAGAGAGAACTATATAGTATACCACATCCTGCAGGATGCTTGTAAGTGAAGCCATCAAATATAAGGAAGAGAGGGCTGGTTTTATTCAATGGGCACCATATACTCAAAAAGGAGAAAGTGAAGGGGTGTTTCTAGAGACACCAGTGTAATGAGCATTATATCTATATCCTTCCTAAGGACTTCAGTTGTTGAGGATAGACCTATCCTAGAATCTGCAATGAATAGAAGAAGCCTTCACCATTGTTATTGCCAATGGAAGTAAAGAAAAACAAACCATTCATGCAACAGAGCTCTGGCTCACATCACCGATAAAGGGAATAACTCTCATGCCCCTCTATCCAGAAGGTGCTTTTACCTTTCTTCATGTGTTCATTTCTATGGATATTATAGTGGCAAAAGAGGCAAACTTGTGGTAAGAAAAACAAGCACCCCAACAGGATATGCTGACATTTAAAACAACATTTTCTTTCAAACATTTTGAGGTCATGCAGACATGAAAGGGGGGAAATATTACAAGGGTTGTAAGAAACACTAATAGTGAAGTATTTGTAGCCTCCGCAGAAGCAAGAAGTGTCAAAATGTTCTTGATGGAATCTTTCTAGCTGGTTCCAGAGACAGGAGACTACAGAATAATGCTGCAACATTTCAGGTGTTTATTTGAGCCTCTGGGTCTGTCAGCACCTATGATGTATTGCTAAGTGATGTTCAAACAAAGAACAAAAAAGCTTCTTCCATGAGAGTCGGTGCTGATACCTTTTTTTACAACACACAAACTTACCTTTGTTTCCAATTTGTTTGGCAGTTTTTTGAAATCAGACCTTGTTCCGGTTTGGATGTAGTAGTAAAATTGAATTGTCCAGGGGAAAACATAATTAAAATTTAGTGTGGGTTCACTAAGATAATTTGAATTGCAAGCCAAAATAGCGATGAGCGAACACTCCTCCAACCCACATCCAATTTAGAATTAATTCTGAGGGGGGAAAGAAAGCCAAATAAATGCTGTATGTCCAAAATAAATTATTAGGTCCTGGCATTCTCGTAGTGACATAACAGAGAACACACTGGATGGGACCCCCACCATCATTTCACTCTGCGTTACTTTCTTTAAGAAAGTGACTGTACTCAGCATCCTATCCAGGTTGTGATGGGGCACAGGTAGGTAGCAATGCCAGTTATAGTTCCCTAGAAGTTCAGATGCTTCAGAAGCACAGCTCAGCGATGTGGTCAGTCCTTACTGAACCCACCACCACTGAGGGAACATGGACATTGGGGAAAACGTACTTAATGCCAAGAGGTTTGTGGCAGGTTCCAAGCTCTCTAGGTTTCCAGGTAATTTATGACAAAATCATACTGGGATCCATAGGTTCTTTATAGAATTTTTATTCCATTTTAATAAGACTTAAAGGAAGCAAAAATAATGGAGTATCTAAATCCACTTGTCAGTTGTGGTCTTTGTCTGATTTCATTCCATTACTAAACCAGGAGTTAGCATAAAGTTCCCCCACCTATAGCTGCATAATGAGAAAAGGGTTTTTACAGTACACTTTGCTTCTATGGAGTCTACCTAACATTGAAACTGGCATATTCCCAGCATGCTCATAGATTGTGTAAACTTCTCAGTTAACAGTCATGTGTGGTAAATTTTCATATTTTTGGCAGCAAGGTAAAAAAAACATTTCTTACCGTATTATTGGGATGGTAGTTAAGATGTAAACCACTATCACACAGAGGCGATGAAGTACCACTGCTTTGATCACTAGGAATGCCTAATAAAAACATAAATACATACAAAAGTGTATCACAGCTTACTGAACTACGCACACTTCATAATCAAAACTGACATTGGTTTTGTCATACAGTAGTTACAATTCAGCCACACATAGGGCACAGCTGTTGCCTCTGCTACAGAGGGTGTTTTAATGTGTATTACAGGGATACTAAATGCATCAGCTCTCAAAAACCACCATGCATATGAAGATCATCAAAGATGACTGAAGGGATGGGGAGTTCTTTGCCATGCAAAGTAATCTTACAGACTTGTGATAACCAGATGTTTTCCCTATTTGAAAAAAAAATCTGCATTGCCATCAGGGTACAGATTTATAAATGTCAACACTGTTTTATGATCTGCATTATCTTTTACATTCTATTTCGATACACCACCCAGGTATTCTATGAAAGTAGAGCGATTTATAAATTCTGAAGCAAATAACTGTGGTGATCCTACATTACTTCACCACCCCCAAATAGTCTTCTGCCTGTAAAAAATAAAGTAGGTGTGCGAATTCTACTGTGTAGAATATAAAATATCTTCATTAGTATGAATAAAGGAGAAACTGGTATAATGATAGAAATGAGAACACTTTCAACAAGTTAATCAACATTTGAAAATAAATGAATATAATGCAATGGGAATTATTTAATGGGTAGGAGGCTATTTGAATTCATTTCAGAAGTTTTTTTAAAACAATATTTTCCTTTTCTTAATTAAAAGGCTGAGGGAAACCCTGGTAATAATCTTCACAGGGCAACTACAGACAGAGCCATCTCAGACTATGCACTAGTCCTTACAATTTATTAAAATTATAGAAGGAAGACAGCTGTCTCTCCATTTCTGCTATTTCCCAATAAGACTAATCAGTTTAAATGGTTGAACAAAAACAAAATACTGATCACTATGGACTCCATTAATCTTCACTTAAGCAGAGCAATCTGTTCAAGCCCATGACTGCAATTTAAAATGAAAAGTCCTCAAGACAGATATATTCACTCTCAATTGCCAAGTTCGGGGGGAAATGCCAACCCTTCTCCAAATCTCTGCCATTATGTATTAATCTAGAAATGAAATGCAAATACTCTGGACAAATTATCGTTAAGTCAAAGAACTTTAATAGCACTCAAAGCAAGTTGTAATCAGTTGAGAGCATAACATCATCTCTAAAGCAAAGGTTTAAAATGGAACACTCAAAATCAGCTCTAGGGAGAAACTCATACAATTCTCAGCAAAAATAAGCAAACAAAAACCAAACTATGATTTGTAACTTAACAAAGGCAGGGCAATTCACAGAAGCAGGCTTTAAAAGTAGTAATGTGAAGTGGCTCTGGGGCTCCTATGATAGATTCAAGGTTTCTTTGGGTTGTTGTTATTGTTGTTTTTATAAAAAAAACAGTTAATACTTACATGCACAGTCTTCGTTGAGGGGCAGTTTGAGAAACGCAGGTGCTCTTTTGAGAAAGGATACAGTTAGGGTCACCTCTTCTCCAGCATTCCGAAGAACCTGGACCTGAGGATTAAAGATGTAGATGTAACACACACATACAAGCCAAAATTACATTCCACCCTTCACACACAATTGCACAGTTGCTTACTGTACAACATAAAAAGAAATGAACAATAAAGGCAAATGTGAATTTTTAAGCTTTAAGGTTATATTCTGGTTTCCTTAAAATTCTTCACAGATTTTCCAATCCCTTCTCTTGTTTTACAAAAGGATTTCAGTGCACAGAGGTCTGAGGTAAGCATTCTGGTAAAAGTTGGGACTGAATCAGACATCTAGCAAAAGCTGAGCCTTATATTGCAAGGGACTGTGAAACCTGCAGGTGGCCAGATGTTGGAACTATCACCAAGCAGAACACATAAGCCTCCCACCTGTGAGCAGAACTGCCTCTCTTATGAGAAAGTTGACTTTGGTGCAAAATCCAGCGAGAGGAGGGAATTCTGTGGATACCAAAACGGATGAACCCACAGCTGTACACTCAATCACCCTTCAACCAGTAGACTCACAAGGTTGTGAAAAGTGCCTGCCTGGTCAGGCTAAACCTTGCACAGTTGTGATTAGCATTCTAAAACATGATTATTTCCAGGAGGAAGGAATGACGTTCCATTGAAATTGTGCAAGAGGGGCTTGGATAATATCATTTCCCCTCTGATCTGCACACCATGAGCAGTCTTCTTCTCCCTTTCTACCTAGAACAAGGCAGCCTCATGGGATAATTCAGTATGAAGACATCCCATGTAAAAAATATAGTGCATGGGTAGCTAAACCTTTCTAGTCTCACAGAAAAAAACTCTAGTAAATAAAATTCTCTAGTAAATAAATGCATATTGGTGGAATCTGTCTGTTTTGCCTCTCACTTTGGACTAAAAAAACAACCCCTGAATTTTTCCTTGGTGATTTAAAAGAAATGTGTGCTTCCCCTTCTCTTCTGTTACATGAATTACCCAGAGTCACTTCATCCAGATTATCAAAACTGTTCTCACTAGTGTAACAGCCAGACCATCTATCAAGAACTGAATTGTCTGTCCCTGTGCTGCTCTCACAGATATGAGCAAATGTTTCACAGTAATTTGACACAGTGGAAGTCATGTAAACTTTGCTGAGCATCCCTTTCTGAAAGTGGGACACACTTGATCACAGAAAATATCAAAGATGATGCTACTTAGAAGGTTGTAGCGAGCAATGCACAACTGAAAGAAAAAGGTAGGAAAAAAGGTATCACCAGCAACATGCAGAAATTTAAGAGAAGACACCTATCTCACAAATATAAGATGTAAGGAAATGTTAAAATAGGTATACAAAACTGAACTTCAATTTGTACTGTTAATAATCTTGCTATCTCAGGTCCATTGAAAATGATCACCGAGTCCTTCAGTTTACAATATTAAAACTGTCCTATTCTAACCCAACACTTTAAACGCTTTTGCTGCTGAATATATACATTCACATTCTACTTCATACATCTGCTAAAGCATACAGTTGCCAGCAAAAGCTCATTGCTCACTAACTGGATAGTCTCTTTAAAAAGTATACCACAGTAATTTTTATTTTTGCTGCTACAGACCTTAAAAATACACTGCTTCACCATGTTGGTGCATATGGTGAAGAAAGGCACATTGGTGGTGTTTTTTGAAAAATCCTGGTTGATGGAATGCATACCACTTTATGTTTAAATAGTGGGTTTCAGAACACAGGAACCTTTTAGACTCCTAAGAATCATGACCCCGGAGTCTAGCAGTGACCAGAACACCAAACCAGGGACTAAAATGTCACTGGCAAAAATCAGAGTTTACTGTTGTAAAACAATGGGTTGCTAGTGGGATGGGGAGAATGTGATGTAGACAACATCCAAAAAAATCAAGGTGCACGCAAGTTTTAATCCACGTTAAGCTCCCACCATGGGAAGGAGTTATGGTGGTCCCAGGAATATCTAGGGTAAATGTCTTGGTCTATACTACTGACAGAAAGGTGCCCTTTGGCCCTGCAGAAGATCTGACCACTCCCCTTCCTCTTTATTCTCTCCATGATGCCCTCTTCTCCCTTTTGAAACAGACTTCATTTCTATCTTCTGGCTACTTGTGGTTAAGATACTAAGATACAAACTGGCATGAGATTTCTCAAATACCTTAAAACACTGGAGTCACATATTTTAAGCAGCTCTTTAATATTCTAAATGCCATGCCCTTCAAAACTGCTCCATATATTTTTAATAATTTAAATTTAAATTTTAAATCACAATCAAAGTAGACCTTTATGAGCTGATTTAAATGTGGGGTGCTTTTGTTATTGAAATTTGGTTAGAGAGACCTCAGAGAACGCACAAAAATAAGAATAAAAGCTTAATAAATAAAAGACTAGAAATGTTACTATAGCTTTTTCAATATTTCTTCTAAATAATGCTCAACATCATTAATAAATGTCAGCCAGAGATGAAGTACTCTAATCGGGCATCTTACTTTACAGTATTTGTATTCTCAGGTCATCCACTATGACTGAAAGCTCTGAATTGCTGAAGACTCTATATAGATTCCTCCATATCCCTCGGAGTTGCAATAATAGTTTATTAAAAGTATTTTCAGACATGGCAGAAGACACAAAGTACTATGAATACAGTAGTCTAATTTCACATGTGTTGTGCAAGATACATTGTGGTTCAGCTCCTTAGAACTCAGTAATCTTATTTATGCTGAGCAGTCTTTTGTCTAACTCCAACAGCAAAAAGGATGGGGATGGTTATTCAGAAACTGCTTGGGTGAACACGAAAACATGGTGGTTGAAAATTGACAGAAAGGGCTGACACATGAGCTTTGTAATGTAACATAAAAAGGGAGGCATATTTTGTCCTAATGTTGTGGCCCAGTTCATACATATCTGAGCGAATGATGGGATTTATATAGCGGAGGAATGAAGGCAACAACACTTTTGAGCAAATCAGTCACATGCAACTTCTCTCTGCATTTCTGTTGGGGAAGGGGAATTGGAATTGCATTCACAAATGCTGCACTTGAGCCATTTCTCAGCCAGATGAATTACTTTTGCCTGCTCAGAAGCATGAACCTATTTTGGGTCACCAGCCCTACTCTACACAGCCGGCTTTGTAAGAATGTCAGTAAGATGTGGAATAAGGGAGAGTGGAAGTGTCTGCGAGCTGGATTCATTATGTATTGCTAATCTAGAGAGAAGAAATTTTTCAGATGGGTATGTCAAACACAGTCCCACACTGAACAACTCTGTGTCAGCAACTAATCTGTGTCCACAATGCCAGATGTGGGGAACTTTTGGCTCTCCAGATGTTGCTAAACAACAACTCATATCTGTCCCCAAAGCATGGTCAATGGCCAGTGATGATGGGAGTTGTTATTCAGCACACCTCCTTCCTATATCCAACAGAAAAGGGTTTGTGCTGTTGTAATTTTGGCCACTGCTTCCAGATTTTATAGGAGAGATCCAAAGAATGGCTTAAGCTCTCAAACTGTTTTTCTTTTATTTCTTTCAATAGCAGACTTCCATTCTCTATCCCAAACTCCCCTCATGGAATGGGCAGGGCTGGCATGGTTGATTAGCAAACCCCTTTGGAGTAAGGAAATTGGTTTCTTTGTTCTTTGTATCTGACCTACGTGTGATCACACTTGAAAAATGAGCCTCAGTACATGTTACTGAACACACATTGATGCTGGGCACACTCTTTTTAATATAGGATTTGTTAGACAGATTTATTTCTATTACCCAGCTTTATTTATAAATCACCCTTGAAAAATAATTTTAAATTCAGTTTTGCATACTAAAAATATTATTAACAAAAGAAAGGTAACTAAATGGATAGAAGAAAATCTTTTAAAGAACTCAAATGAACTTTTGCAAGCTTTCCCCCCTACTAGCTGAGCTCTCCAGAACCTTGACAGTGGCATAAAACAAAATCCTTTGACAAATCTGTTTTTGAAGTAATGCTTTTGATCAATACTTGCAGCTCTCTCAGCTTAGTACGTAGGCTGCTCTGCCTCCAATCTCTGTTGAGAAAGATATTTTTGTACTGCAGCAAATGACAAAATTAGTCTTGTCACCTGCAAACCATGTGAAAACTTCCTTTCTTGCCTGCTTCAGCCCATCCACATAATGATAGCCTTTCATACACAGATGAATAATTGCACTGCATCTGTGAGACATAACTTGTAAAACCTCTGAAAGTAGTTTTTGCTTTCTCCCATACACATTTTTTTTGCAATCATCCATGCCACTGATTCAGCAATACAGGGAAACATATAAACACATTTTTGTCCCATCCCTATTTTGCAAAATCTGAAACCTATACTAAAATATTAAGCTCCCAACAAGAGGAATAGATAGGCAATGAAATAAAGTCCTATATAATAGTTCAGCTTCCCCGTTTCCCCTGAAATTATCTTTCATGGGAAGTGCAAACTGAAGTTAAGCCATGGGCAGGCTAGACACAACCTACAGGCCTTAATTTTTCTTCTCCATACCTTAAAAAAAACCATATACACAACAATATGTTTTTAAAAAACAGGTGTTAAGCCTGATTTAAGATTAGTATCCGGCACAGGTTACACACTCCATTGTTTCAATTGCATCTTCCCCAACCTGGTGCCCTGCAGATTATTTTTCAACTATAACATTAATCAGCTCCAGCTGGTTTGGTCATGGGCTCCAGGGTATCGAAAACTGGTTTATAGGATACCTGCAGCTACTGAATCTTCTGTCATCTAATCTGTTCTTTCTCAGAAGCTTCTTGTGTCCCTATCTTATTCTCTAGACCTGAACTGAAAATAAGAACTTGCCCTCGGGAGCTCTTTCTCATATTTGGATGACAGGAAACAGCCTTATATCAAGACAACCCATTAGTCTATCGAGATCAGTATTTTCTGCTCTGACTGGCAGTGAGTCCTCAGGTGTTCCAGGTAGGGTTTTCCTCCTCAGGCCCACCTTGGAAATACCAAAGATTGAACATGGGACCTTCTGCCTGTAAAGGTTGTGCTAGGCTATTGAGCTACAGCCCATACCACAGAGAGCTTCATAGATTTTTCTAAAAACAAAGGGCTCCCCTATTTTCTCCAAATACTTTGAGCAAGTGAGATGATTTTACATCTGTAGGTTGATAAACAACTCTAAAATGAAAAAAATGCTAGGTCAGCATTCTAGCAAAGTGCTGAAAAAAAAAGAAAGCAACTAGCTTAAATTGTTCAGGGTGTTCACTGATGAGCGTAATGGTGATGGCTTGAATGCATTGGAAACAATAATGCTTATCACAATTCATCTTTAATTTTGTCCCATTGCAGCTTTTACTTCATTTCCATTTCATATTCCTAATTAGGCAATAATCCCAGAGAAATCCATTCTTGCCAGTGGTTAATTGACATTCAGAGTACAACTTCTATTCTAGCCATGGTTTTATAGATGGAAATATCTGAATGGCTCTTTCTCCCTTGGACACGAATCTGCAATATCAACAACAAAAGAAACACTAACATGATATTTAAAGTGTCACTGGCTTCGTTCACAAGTCAAGCTATGTCAAGCAATGGCTTAGGGCAAGCAAGCAAGTGTATGACCTTTGGAAGAGGAGATCACAGCTGCTTTGATCCTCCCCAGTTGTTCTGCTGCTAGTCTGCACTGATCTAAGCATAGTTTGCCTTAGGATGTCCTCAGAACTCAGGTCCATGATTTAGCTCTCCTGGGCAAACCACCAACTGTAAACCATTCGACAAGTCTTTGTTGCTGCTCAAGTTAACCTGGAAAGAGCTAAAGATCAAGCCCAGGCTTGCCAATCTCCCTTCTGGAAGCACCAGACACTTGTTTGGAAGAGCAAAGTGAAACACAAGATCACAGTTGTGTGGCAATTCTGTTTTGAACAGGTCATAACTAAATAGTATTGAAAAACAGAATCTGTTTTATTTGCTGTTAAGAGATGAAACTAAAAAGCTGCTAAACAAGTTTATGCAGAATGAGCAGCTTACGGAAACAGAGATAAGAGGGAACACTCTCTAAAGCAACATCCAAAGAAATGTAAAAAGAGAGATTTGGAGAGGGGAGCCCTCATGCTTAGAACGAGTAGAGAGAGAGAGAGAGAGAGAGAGAGAGAGAGAGAGAGAGAGAAACTTTGGAGTCAGGAAATTAGTGGAACATAAGGAAAGTGAACAGGATAAAGGAAAAGGCCCTAGAAGCAGTCCAATGATGAGAAGGGTGTCTGTGCTCTTGCAGCAATTGTCCCACCCAATGTACTCTGAAGAAAAAGGATACAGACGTACCCTGTTTGTTGAACGGAATCCATTCTGGAAATCCGTTCGACTTCCAAAAATGTTCAATAAGCAAGGCACGGCTTCCAATTGGCTGCAGGAGCTTCCTGAACTCAATCAGAAGCTGAAGACGTGTCAGACATTCAGCTTCCGATAAACGTTTGCAAACTGAATCACTCAATTCTGGGTTTGCGTCGTTTGGGAGCCAAAACGTTCAGGTTGTAAGGCATTTGGCTTCCAAGGTACCATTGGTGCTCTTAGGAGCCTCTGAGGGTGAGAAGTGGTGAATAACAGAGGATGGTACTGAACATCAGTGGAAACTGGGTCACAAGGAAAACAGATTGTTGCCTACCTTGCAAAACTACCACCTGATAATTATAGCTTTCCTTTTTCATGCTAGACTCAGAAGAGAGCAGGTCAAATATTTTTTCCAATCATAGTTGACATAAAATGATAAAACTGTGATAAAACAAAATTGCCAAGTATCTATTTGCACTCTTCCACACTATTACAATTTGACCCTTCCTTTCAAAAGCCCCCCCCCCCCACAATCTTTTGAGAAAATAGGTACTTAGCAATACAGTTCAGAAAAACCATTATTAAAGTACATCTTGTTTACAATACACCACTAGGTCAATCATAATTTGGTCATTTAGTTGCTGGTAATTATAATTTGCTTATTGACATGAATTAGTGGGTGGAAAACTGCAGTTAGTACCAATCTTGCAACAATCACACAATACTGGCATTATCTTTGCTCAGATAATAGCCTACCCCCGCTACTTTTGGAATTATGCTCAAGGTGAAATCAGAAGTTGACCTCAGACTTAGGCGCTCTGTTGACACACACACCTATGGCTGTGAAAAAATGATAGGCTGAATAAGGAGACTGAGTGCACATTTGAAAACAGGAGCTTTCTGCTGCTCACTGCAATGCCTGCAGGGTGCAACAGCCCATAGAGTACATTCAGGAAGATCTGGGGCTTCGCAAGACTTTACCGGGCCTTGCAATTGCTGAGGCAGCCCAAAATCTAGAGCTACATGTGGAAGGGAGCATATTCCTATGTTGTCTAGGTAACACATTCTCTCTTCCAGTGCTCAAAGGTAACGACAGACAATGAATCTTCTACAGCACAGGACAAAGGAGAATGTGCTTCTGGCTAAGGAGTGTACTTCCTTTCTTAGCACACTTGAACAGTGACAGTTTTAATGTCGACCCACAAAGTACATTGCCAGAACAGAAGTGTTCCACTTAGTTGCCTGAAAATCTTGGTAATTTTCACCCTCTTCACTGCATGGTCACAGAGTGGCATGATACTTCCATGGCTACATGATCACTGGCTAGTTAGGATCAGGCAGCAAGGGAGATGATAACATGATGCCTGAGGAGAAGGAAAATGATAGTCATAAAAGAAGGTGACATGACTTGGGGCAGGGGGAGTGCATTTTGCCCCAAAAGTTTTTGCTAGTGATCATTTGGCTTAGCCGTCATCTTGGCAGTCTATCAACAACCTCTGCTAAACAGTGAGTCTTAATTGTTTGTTTATTATTGTTTGTTTAATATGTCTATTTTTAGTCTGCCCTTCATTCATTTTTTGATCCCAGAGTGTTCTGCAGCATAATGGGTTGCATCCAACTAAGTTTTACTCAAATAGACTTATGCAAATTAACAGACCCAAGTTAGCTGTGTTCATTAATTTCAATGGGTCTACTCTGAGTAGCAGTATTGGCTACAAATCAGTTATGACAAGTACAGACAGGTAAAAACACAGTATTGAGAAGTTCAGTTTTCAGTGAAAATAGGAACGTCCCGTTCCATAATGATAATTTTACTATTTATACCCCACACATCTGAGTGAATTGCCCCAGCTCTCTGGGCAGATTCCAACATATATAAAAACATAATAAAGCATTAAACATTTTTTAAAAAACCTTCCATATACAGGATTGCCTTCAGATGGCTCGGGAGTCTGATAACGCCATACCCTCCAACATTTCTCCAATGAAAATAGGGACATTCGAAGGGAAAGTGGGACATTCCAGGATCAAATCAGAAACTGAGATGGCTTCTCTTAATCAGGGACATCCCCGGAAAATAGGGACAATCAGAGGGTCTGCGATTTTATCATTATCCACATAATACAAATATAAAATGTATATATTTATCTATGCTGGTGGTTAGTGTGTGGATATGTTAAATTTCCAATATGTTATCTAAGTCTGGCACACACAGCAGATGGTGTTTGTACAAACATAGATATTCACTTATTACTTATCAGGGGTGTGTGATTCAGCTCGTTCATGACTTGCCGAGATGCAGCTGAAACTTTGAAAATGTGTGATCCTTTTGGTTTGAGAGTAAAGTGGACCAGTAGTACCCTCCATCCCTCTCACCTTCTCTCTCTCCCCACCTCTCTCTGGGCTGGCTCTGCCTTATAGCTTTACAAGAGACACATGCTCCAGAAATATGAAATACCGTCTTTTTTGCTCTATAAGATTCACTTTTCCCCTCCTAAAAAGTAAGGGGAAAATGTGTGTGTGTGTTATGGAGCTAATGCAGGCTGCGCAGCTATCCCAGAAGCCAGAACAGCAAGAGGGATCACTGCTTTCACTGCGCAGCGATCCCTCTTGCTGTTCTGGCCTCTGAGATTCAGAATATTTTTTTTCTTGTTTTCCTCCTCCAAAAACTAGGTGCGTCCTGTGCATCTTATAGAGCTAAAAATACAGTAATTCATGCCTCTGAATACCAATTGCTGGGAATCCCAAGTCAGTAAGAGTGCTATTCTGCTCAGGTCCAGTTTTGTGCTTCTCATAGGCATCTAGTTGGCCACTGTGAGAACAGGGTGCTGGACTAGATGGGCCACTGGTCTGATCCAACAGGCTCTGACCCAAGCAGCCCTCCAGTACTGATAAGTGGCCCAAACAAAGGGCTTTTGGAAACAGAACTTAGCCAATGGGTGAAGAAAGGCCAAACTTGTCCAAACCTATTTATTTTGCTCTTCTTATGCTATTTCTGCCTGCTTTTTCTGTCTAATAGGAAGTCTCTCTGTGGGTATCAGTTTTTCACTCATATTTTACAAAAGAGACTAGCTAAAGTGGTTGGTTAAATGCTTCCTTGAAAAAGGCCTATTTTAGGACTCGGTATCCAAGATTGCTTGTCTCAAAAATAGGCCAGTGACAGCAATTAAAGGCCAAACTAGGCACAATGATTTTCATTTTAGTACTTAGCAGCTCCTAAAGGACTGCCTTGCTGAGTGGGGGGAGCGATGCTCTGAGAGATGATCTTAACCATTTCCTTCCATGCTCCTTCTGCAATCTGAATCCACTTCGCCCAAAAACCAAACCCTGTTGTTATCTCCACAGGGAGAGGAAAAACCTTTACCCAAGTCTGTTAAATTGATGGCAGGGTAAAACTACATTGCACAATTTACAGGGGACAAGTCTTTTTTTTAAAAAAAAAAAATTAAAGATTTGTTTCACTGGGTGAACATACCCTCCACATTTCTCCGATGAAAATAAGGACGTCCCATTCTATAATAATAATGTTACTATTTATACTCCACGCATCCGATTGGATTGATCCAGCCTTCTGGGCAGATTTCAATATATATAAAACATAATTAAACATTGAACATTTTAAAAACCCTTCCTTATACAGGATTTCCTTCAGATAGCTTTGGGGTTAGGTAACTCCATAGCCTCCAACATTTCTCCAGTGAAAACAGGGACATCCTAAGAACGTGGGAAATTCCGAGATCGAATCAAAAACCAGGAAAGCTTCTCTAAACCAGGGACATCCCTGGAAAATAGGGACAATTGGAGGATCTGGGTGAAGGCAGCAGATTCAGCCTCATGGGGCTTGAGACCAGTTAACTTAGTGTGTTACCTTGCCCTACAGAAGCCTATTTGAAGGCTTCCATTTGTGTGACTTGCACTTTTACAAGTGCCACACCGTGTCTGTTCCACATTTGCCAGAGGTTGCAAAGTGCAGCGCCTGCACTTTGGAATGCGCTGCCTATTGATGTTAGGCAGACACCCTCACAATTCTGTTTTAGACACCTGCTAATAACTTATTTCAGCAGGACCACCCAGATATATAATTTCGTTACCTATACCTGTTTTAAAAGTTTTAATAATTTTATCTTTGTATATTTTTTGTGTGTGAGTGCATGTTTATATACAGATATACATACACACACTTGCTTTTAATTGTGATGGTTTTATGTATATTTGTTTTTAATTGGACACTGGATTTCAGCTGCGTTTTATCTCCAGTTTCATTTGTGCACCACTTTCTTCTTGTTGTTTTCTCAAAAGGTTTATAAATCTTCTAAATAAATGGTAAAGCAAAAGAAACCCCAACAAAATCCTAACAACAACAACACAATTAGCTGACATCAACTCTGATTTGGCCCTAAGAAACAGTCCTTGCCTGTAAGCAGTGCTCTTTTTCTAAAAAAAAAATGTTTAGGGGTACTCTTATTTTCCTACTCATATTGAAAGACTGCCCCTCAATGAGGCCAAACTTAGATTCACAAAATGTTTAGGGGTATGCATGCCCCTGCATACCCCCAGAAAAAAGCACTGCCTATAAGTAAATACAGTGGTGCCCCGCAAGACGAATGCCTCGCAAGACGGAAAACCCGCTAGACGAAAGGGTTTTCCGTTTTGGAGGTGCCTCGCAAATGTCTTGCGAGTTCCTGCGGGTTTTTTTTCCTTCCCCCCCCCTTTTTCCCAAGCCACTAAGCCGCTTATCAGCTGATCCGCTAAGCCGCTTATCAGCTGATCCGCTAAGCCCGCTAAGCCGCTAATAGCGCTAATTCGCTAAGCCGCTAATGGGCTTGCTTCTCAAGACGAAAAAACCGCAAGACGAAGAGACTCGCAGAACGGATTCTTTTCGTCTTGCGAGGCACCACTGTATACTGTGTAGATGTGGACTGAGGGTCCTATCTAAATGTGACAAGAAGTTTCAAGGCATTAGAAGGTTTTTTGAAAAAATAAAAAAGAAGTCCACAAAACTTTGCATTTGATACTAATACAGCACATTAAAACACAGCATATTTTTGCATTGCCATCCATTTAACATACTTGGGGAAAGTTCATATTCTGTGAAGAACTGAAAACAACAGCTTGTGAAGCACTCCAAACAACAGCACTTTCCATTTTAACATACACTCATTAGATATGGGCCAAAGCTCTCTTGGACAGGGAAATTAAGACAGAGAGGCAGTGAGATGACCTGCCTTTGCACGCATCAAATATCTGTTTGCACCAGATTTATAATTAGGTTTTTGTTTATTTTTCTTTCATGCACTTTTCTTTGAACTCACAAATAGCAGAGCTCCGGGATAATACATGAAAGGGAGAAAAATGTGTTTGTTTCCCAGGAAGGAGGTGGCTATGGCCACAGGCCAGCCTGTCTGTTGAGTCGCATGGTGCCTGTCTCAGGCACCAAGGAAGGTGGGAGTCAAGAAGTGACATGAACTCATTGTGGGAGGAAAAACATTTGTGGATTTGTATAGCTTAAGAAATATTTAAAACATTGGCGTGTGTGTGTGTGTGTGTGTGTGTGTGTGTAATTCTATCCCTTCATGATTGAGCCACACAGCAAGATCTATCACAGCCTCTTTCAGCCCAAATACCTGAGATCTTTCTAAGAATTGATGCTTTTGAATTATGGTGCTGGAGGAGACTCTTGAGAGTCCCATGGACTGCAAGAAGATCAAACACATCCATTCTTAAGGAAATCAGCCCTGGGTGCTCACTGGAAGGACAGATCGTGAAGCTGAGGCTCCAATACTTTGGGCACCTCATGAGAAGAGAAGACTCCCTGGAAAAGACCCTGATGTTGGGAAAGATGGAGGGCACAAGGAGAAGGGGACGACAGAGGACAAGATGGTTGGACAGTGTTCTTGAAGCGACAAACATGAGTCTGACCAAGCTGCGGGAGGCAGTGGAAGACAGGGGTGCCTGGCGTGCTCTGGTTCATGGGGTCATGAAGAGTTGGACACGACTAAACGACTAAACAACAACAATAACAAATGAATATGGGCCTTCTACAAAGAAATAATGGTTCTGTCACCACATCTTCTCCTTCCACCACCACTTTTAAAATTCCCAGCTTTAATATATAAATATAAATGACTAACTAGGGAAATGTCTTGCAACAATATTAGGGCAGTAGCTAGAAACAACTTGTCTCCACACTCCCCCAAGGCCAGGCCAGCCTGAGGAACCAGGTGCACAAGAAAGACAGACGGCCTGCTTCTATAGGAGGGTAAGGTGTGATGGTCAGGCAACAGGAAAGGGACCATAGGCAGTGACTCATCAAGAAATGCCAAAGCAAGGTTTCCCCATTGGGAACATGAGATGGGAAATGGAGAAATCCAGCCCATTCAGTGCCTGGCCTAAACATACACCCAATCCCCCACAATTCACGGGACAGTTTATTCCATTTTCCCATTGTTTTCCTAACTGTTATTTTCTGCATTATATTTAAGCTTTGACAAGACTTAGATCAAGTTTAGTGCTCATTTCTGTGTTCTTTGCAAATGGTGTTTTTTCCCCCCCTTGAAGCCAATAACACTGAAATGAGCACTAAAATATATTCTGCTATACTTCCAAAAGTGTTTTTTTGTGTTGCATGAAAGCTCAGTTTAACAGTTAAGGATATGTCGTGAGAATTGAATAAACTGTCGTGAATGCAGCCAGTGAAGAGCAAATGGGTCACTCAATGGATCCCAATTGATTTTGGGGTGAGCCTCTTTCTACTCACCTCTAAGCAGGCTGCTGCAATGTATACATACCAGATGTGAAACACTTGTGGCAAGCCAGAAGCAGCAAGTGATGGGAATCTGGGACCAGGCACAGAGGTGAACAATTTGATGCCCACAGATTAGAGATGCCAGATGGGGGAGTGGGCATTTGGGCTGTGTAGGACATGAGCTCTGTAGCTCTGTAAGATAGAACAGGAATAGCTGCCTAGTTGAAGGCAGAAGAGAGAAGAAGAATAGCTCTGGGATCTGATAAGCACCACAGTGGAGGAGTGAAGGGCTCAATCATAATATTCTGCTTAGGATGTCCTGTTCCTTGAATATTGCCACAGTCCTTTTACTGAAGTGCCCCTCTCAATTTTCTAAAGACGTTTCTCAGTCCAGTCATTACTGATTCATTTATATCTGCTTTGTTTTGATTGTTGCAGGAGAAGAGTCATCTATAAAAGTATCCAGTCATGTATTACAGAGGGTTGGACTAGATGATCCTCAGGGTCCCTTCCAACTCTACCATTCTATGATTCTATGGCTGAAGGTTTGCAAACAAGTACCCACTTTACATCTCTGCCTAAGGTTTTGGTTAAGCATGCCAGGTGCTAAAATATAAGCATGGCTGGCTGTGCAAATTATAACTGAAAAGAAATATTAATCTTAGAAAGCATAATCAGGTTAACAAGGGTGCCGGCATAATTTCACAAACATTTCATATCTTGCTTCATTGACTCTGAACACAAAACAATGACTTACTAGCATAGCTGTATGGCACTGCACTCAAAAATACAACCAAACCTTTTCCTGAAGCCCCAATATCTCATTTTGCTCCCACAGAGAGATTTTCTGCATTAGCTTAACTACTGACTAAAGTAATCTGATCACTGCTGGAACACCAAGGCTCGAAGACACAGTAAATAAAAATCTCAGTTTTAGTATACAGAAGCCTAGCAAAGGATTAAGCTGCTTTTGCAAACAAATCAGACTCTGAAAGTTGATGAGCCATATATGAAATAAGCACAAAACTAAAAAGGAAGTACAGCTCCAAGAAATGGGATTAGGAAAATAACTTAATTCGTTATTGAACCTCATATAATGCAACATACAATTAAAAAGAAAAGAGTTTCTTTAGGAAATCAGTAGCTCCTTTACTGTTTGATGCACAATTTTGTAAGAGTCAATAACTCTTCTTTTTAAAAGAGCTATAATTCCCTTGAATTTACATCTTCAAAGCATTCTTAAATCACTCAACTATGCAAGACATCTTATCTTTTAGAGCAGAGCTGGGGAACCTGTAGCCCTCCAAATGTGGCTACACTACAACTCCTATCATCTCTGACTATTGGACATGCTGGCTGGCGCTCATGGGAGAAACATCTCAATGGCCACAGGTTCCCCAGACCAAACTGAGTGAGAAACTATTCATGCAATTAGCAATTGTGCGAACAGCTTTAAAAAAGGAAATAGGAAATGTGAGGAAGCCCAGTCTAAACTGAGACCTTGTAGGGGGGAGGATATTTAACTCCTTACTCCATGCTACAGTCCCAATCCAGATTAGCCACACCCACACACAAATATGCACTAGGGTAAGTGCTTCCACTGGCACCTCAACCATACTGAGCTGTTCACATTAAGGGGTTCCACTGTAGACATCTGTGCTCAACATGTGGGTGCATGATGTTGGGGGTGGGCCCAGTACCTTGACCCTCACTTCTCCATTTATACACGAGAGCTTTCCACACATCTGGTATGTACAGGGAGCGCTACTTAACCAGACATAATAGTATTGCTTAAAGAGGTACACACAGCACACCAGAAATAAAGGACCTACAAATCCTAAGAAAGCAGAGGCTCCCTTAGGCTGTAACACAATTGAGGTCAGTAAACCATTTCTATGGTGAAGTTACAATATTCAAAGGTTAGATCATTTAGCAATCTTGGGATCATTGATCTACTTACAGAGCATAACGATGAACACTGTGACAGAAGTGCAGCTATGCTGACTTATATTAAGAACCGCAATGGTTTTTAGGAAAGGAGTATAAGCTCACCACTTCTTCATGCCTGCATTTTCTTACATTAATTCCATTAATCTGTTGAGTTTAAAAAAAAGAAAAGACAGTTTTGAGCATTGGCTTCACTTAGGTTAGACTTCACATTATACTTGGGACTAAAAGCTGGCAAAAGTGAATGGGTTTGCCTACCTGTAGAATTGCATCTCCTATGAACAGCAAGCCTGAGAGTTCCGCTAAAAAGAAAGAGAAAATAAAGGAAAGGTGTGCTTTTCATTTCAACCTTTCCTCTATATTTTTCCATTAGCTGCATCAATGGAGCAGGATGTGAGCAGGACAATCAGAAATAGGTGACAAAAGAAAACAAATCCATGACAGGTTTCATATTTCACATTTACATAGATAATTAAAATTTTCTGAAAGTATTATTGAGGAAATTTATTTCCCCTTTTGCATCTAGGACATGTTTCTAGTCTTGAACCCTGAAAATGTAAAGAACAGCTGCAGCTCTTGTTTCTAAATACAGTTATCAGGCTTCAAGGCTGAAGTGGATCTTGTGATCTGAGTGACATTTTGTAGGGATATGTGTCTATTTCTTGTCCCGGTCACTTTCCATCCAGTTTCTGTGCTTTAAAAAATCTGCCCAAAATACATTTAAATATAAATCTCTGATCTCAAACTAAACATTTTAAATGGATTTTTTGTTTTGTTTTTTGAGCTAAGAAGAGCATCACAACTCTCACAGAAGTACAAACTCAGATGGACAGTTAGGTTCCAATCTGCACATTAGTCTGTGATGTGCATGCAACCAGTCTTCTACCTGATAACTACAGCCAAAGAAGGGAACCGCTATGGAATTTGCTCTTGCTGGCCACAGTCCACCTCCTCCTCAACCTTATGCACAACTTGACTGAAACCTAATTGGATACATATTAGTGCACCCTAGGCTTCTGGGGTGTTTTGTTGTGCAGATGGCGCTCCATGAAAACAGAAGCTTCTCATGCATTTTGGGAATGCTTGGCACACTGCACGCGCACCACAGCTACAATAATCTGTGCTGTACATATAAAACGGTTCAGGGACAATAATTAGGCTTGTATTGAAGAGGGTTTTAAAGCACGTGAGGCTAAAATTCACAAAGGAAATTCTATTTTACTTTAAATGTGCAAAGTGTGAGGAAGGGTTGCAGGCCAGTGTTCCCCGCATCTGCCTTGTGTCTCCAGCATTTCCACATATGGCAGGGAGAGAACCCTGTCTGAAATCCTGGATGGCCGCTTCCTGTTACAGTAAACAATCAGGGGTGGAGGAAGGGGCAGTGGGGGCGGTCTGCCCTGGGTGTCACCACTGAGGGGGGTGACAAAATGCCAGGTGGCACTCACCGCGGGGCCTGCAGCGTGCCCGAGCCACACATCTCTCCTGGGAGTGACGGTGGCTTGGGTGCCCACAGACTCCCACTGCCCCAAATGGTCCGCCTGCCACCTCCCCCTCAGCTGTAGGGCAACTGAGTGGGAGGAGGCAGGCAGACGCCTTGGAGGCCCCACGGGGCATCCTGCCCTGGCTCGCCATGCCCCAGGGCGCCGCTGCCCCAGGCACCCAATCGGCTTGCTCTGCCATTGTAATCAATACTAGATGAACCAATGGATTTTACCCAGCATGAAGCAGCTTCATATGTTCCTTAAAAATATCCTGCCATGCATATTTATGGCCCAGATTTCATTTTTTTTTTCTTAACTATTCAGTTATTCCTCCCCAGTCTGAAATGTATAAACCTGGTGATGCTTTGCTGAATCCCCTGAGCAAATAGCCTGGCACAGATACTTACCTCGTTGTTCTTTTGAAATTTTGGAAACAACCACTGGAATATTATGCTCCGCTCCGCCCTATGAGATGAAAATAACCACATTTTACTGAGCCTGTTGTCAGTTTATAAATATTATTACATTTCTTTGAAGTTTTTACTTCATTTTAAGTTTGTTTTATTCAAAGGGGTAAAGATTTTCTGTTTCACAATTCTGTTTGATAATAGGCATATGAATGCAATCAGCTCCATTGTTAGGGAGGGAAAAAATGTTTGTTGGAAGCATCAGCAGACCGGGGTGTGAATGGAACAATGTGGAACTGTTGACAAAAGAAAGCAAACTCACTGCAGGTTCCCCCAGATTCTCCAGAGATTACCATATGGAGCCCACTTTATAATAAGAAAAATAGGCCCAGTTCTGAAACAGTAGCCATGCTGTGATCATTTTGTCGTGCTGACAAGGAACAGATAAACAAAGCCATACAATAGAAAGCAAGAATATTGGACATTTGATTAAAATGAATGTGAAGGTTTTCTTTGCTGCTTTCCATTTTCTTTTTCTCATTGTAACACAGCACAAAAAGTCAGTAGGAAAATGAATAAGAAATAAGAGATGAAAAGGAGAATTCTAAGAAAAGTAACAGGTTGTCCTTAAAAGCGGGGGAGAAATGGAAGTGGAAATCAAAATAAGCTGCTCAATTTCTGTGCTGGGTTTTTTATATAGAAAAATAAACAGAATAAAAAAACTCACAAACTCTTCAACTAAATATGATTAAGCATAGTTTTAGTCCTTATGCTTTCTTATCCTAGAAGCAATTCTGAAACGTTAATGTTAATGTCATATCTCATATTCTTCAAACAATGCCTTTATATTTTTAGCCTTTCCAGACTTTGAAAGTATAAATCGGATTACTGCAGAAAGATTCAAATCTCTAGCCTTGTTCACCTTTTTCAAACCAAGGTTGCACTGTTCAATTCACACAATGACTTCATCAAGCAACTCTTACAACCCCAAGTGACATCAAGTGCAGCAAATGATAGTTGGTTCATATTGGCACACCAATACACATCACCAACATTCATAAGGCAAGAGATACTGTTTTGGCAATAATCTTTGGTTGCAGACTCTGTTGGACAGAAAGTTAACTATCCCTGAACTAGTTTTCACCTGACTGGTAGAGCATTGTTAACTTTATGTTTGGGGTGAGAAGGGTAGGGTGCAGATACTCTCCCTTCACAGAGCAAAGGTTAGTGGTTAGGACTTCATGCACACAGAGAAAGGAGAACACAGATTAGTGGGAAGTCCAAAGCAATGGCCAGTCAGCAACTTCGGGAGGAGAAATACAAGGAATGCTAGGAACTGACAGTAGCATAGTGGGAACTACAGTGGTGCCCCGCAAGACGAATGCCTCGCAAGACGGAAAACTCGCTAGACGAAAGGGTTTTCCGTTTTGGAGGTGCTTCGCAAAACGAATTTCCTATGTGCTTGCTTCGCAAGACGAAAATGTCTTGCGAGTTCCTGCGGGGTTTTTTTCCTTTTCCCCTTTTTCCCAAGCCGCTAAACCGCTTATCAGCTGATGGCTAAGCCGCTTAACAGCTGATCGTTAAGCCGCTTATCAGCTTATCGTTAAGCCGCTTATCAGCTGATCCACTAAGCCCGCTAAGCCGCTAATACTGTAGCACTAATCCGCTAATGGGCTTGCTTCACAAGACGAAAAAACCCGCAAGACGAAGAGACTCGCGGAACGGATTCTTTTCGTCTTGCGAGGCACCACTGTATTGTGGTGATTTTGAAGCTGGTCAGGAAGTCAGAGTTAGTTGTTGGACTCAGTGGGTATTTAAGCAGGGGTGAATCTGGGCTTTATTTCACCCAGGTCAAAGACCCGATTTAGCACACACACCCCATGTGTATTTGCGCATATATACACACAGGTGGGGAGCCTCAATAGAGCCCCTCTGGAGGCTTCACCCAGGGCAAAAAACCTGGCAAGTCTCTCCCCCTTCCTTAGCTGCGGTTCTGATCTATGGAAAGGTTTGGAGTCCCATAAATGAGTTAGCCTGATCCAAGCCCACCCCTCTATCCCTTATGTTTGGGATTGGGACAGATGTTGCTGAACTACAACTCCCATAATCCTTGATCAGGTGGAAGGGAGTTCAACAGCATCTGGAGGTCCATCCTGATCCTGTGAGTGAGGAGACCATGAGGAATTGGGCAAAAGCATAAAAATGAAATGCAGATATTGAGAGGTTTGTGGGGATTTTCCTACAGCATGAGGGATGCAACTTGTAAATGCTTAGTTGATATGGGAAAATGAACAAGGAGAGAAAGAGAAATGCTAATGAAACAGAAGGGCATCAGAAAAATATCAGGACTCGCAGGGCTCTTAACTTCTATTTCCGCTTTGACTAGCTACTAAGAACACAGGAAAGGGTCAAAAAGTAGGTCTCTGGAAGCTAAGAGCGTAGTAATGACAATCCCTGCCCCTCTTTTTAGGATATAGAGATATTTTTAGGCTTGTTGAGTATTAGTACCAGGTTATGCGTTTGGTTTTTTTATAAACACAGTCAACATCTTTTGAAGTGCATGAATGTACCAACATAGATTTTGAGAAAGTAGAAGTTGACCCTAAATTCCTACTGTCATTTCATGTGAATTCCTTCTGTTCTCCTATATCTGGTATTGTATGTCATTACGTCTGTTGTTAGCTCTTTTTAAAATACAGCCAAGGATTTTGTTTCAGAACCCCAATTAAAAGCATGAACAGTAATTTGAGGCAATTAATATCATGATGGTAGACTGAGCAAGCTATCTGAAATTAACTGAATGTATGAAAGGTGAATATAATTTTTGGATTTTGTCCAGAGTAATAATTTTCTTATGCAATAAACCAGCCGAAATCTGTGTTGCAAAAAAGAAGTTAATTGTATTCCAGTCCCTAGCATTCTGAACTTTCTTCAGCATCATCATAAATTATATAGTAGCTTTAAAAAAGAAAAGAAAAATCTACCAGTGTTCCAATGTTTAAATTCTTAGTTCAGGCACGCTTACACAACTTACTCTCTTTTGTGTTTCTAGACATGAAAAAAATAACAGCATGTAATGACTTTAAACAACAACAAAAAATCTTGTTCCCATTTTCATTCTTATGGGATTGTAGCCATAGTGCACTAATTAGCATTTGGTTTAATTAGGTAGTTCTGCTAAAATAAACACACCAGACTCATTTTAAGAACTGGAAAGTTTTGTTTTTTTCAAGTTCCTACTCAATGAGAATGCAAGAGAACTACATTTTATTTTCCCCTCAAATCATATTTCATAAGTTCATTTTTGGGAAACATATACCAATGTTGTTTTGCATTCATAGATAACAGCTAAGATTTCTGTACTAAAGAGATTTTTTTAAAAGCTCTGTTCAAAAGAGATTTGTTGCTTTATATGGTGTTTCAGAGCTATGATGTACCATTTAAAATTATCTCCCTTTTTATGTTTCCTAAGCTTTTCTAAGGTAGATATGGGGGGGGGGGGGGAGAGAGAAACCAATCCTCATGTGGATTAATCATTCCATCTGTAATACAATGAATACAGTGGAGAAATAGGACTATTTTCAATCTTATTAGCAAGCAACTATGAAATTAATAAATAGTTTATGGGAACTCACTGGCTATTTAGAGAGCCTGCCATTGTGTTCATTAACAAGTAATTAAAATTAAAGGACCACTGAACAAAAGACAAGACTACACAGATGAAATATACTTTTTAAATATATACCAAACCTTATAAGCACAAATGAAAATTAATTGGATATTGCCTCTATTGTTCCTCCATTAAATATGGGGAAAATTTTTTCAACTGATTATCTATTGTAAAGATCAGCCAATACAGACCTTTCATTGGAACTGCAGGTTACAATCAAGCACCTTTTGATCTCATTAAATGCATTATTCACAAGCCAAATGGCATTTCTGATTGAACGTAGGAAACAGTTGGGGAAATGCAACCTACCTTTATACTTAATCCAAATCCTCCTACGGCTTGTCTTCTAATTGTTACAGTCCTTTCCTGAAAGAGTAAGCCAAGTTCAGTTCTATTCAGATGTAATATTTCTTCTAAAAATAGGCTTGCACACTATATCTTCATTTTGGAGTTTTGAATTTCAACATTAAAAAAGAAGGAACTGCTCTTTTGGGTTTTTTCTAATTGTAAAGTGACAAATTAGTTACATAAAACAAATGCCAATGAGTTGCCACATGCAAACAGTTACTGCTAGGCAATTCTTCTAAAATATGTGTCCAGGTATCTAATATAACACAGCGATAAACCTGCAGTCACTTTTCAATAGCATATAGGAGTATTTTCAGAAATGAGCCCCTCATATGTTCCCATGAAGTGGGGGTGAAAATCCATCCTTATTTATCTAGTGGTACCTGCTATTATACACCTAAGGGGGTCACAATAATAACCGGACCATTTGCATGCAGAAAAAATACACAATACAATACTAATACCTCACCTGTATCACCAGAACACTAAAACAATCCTGACACATATACAGTGGGGGCTGATCCACTGGAGCTGCTGGATCACAGCCCTCCCACTGAAAATAGGAACAGATGTGTAGCTGAAAACAACACATGGATTCAAAAAGTATAGCTAAATTTCTAAACAAGAAAATCATACTTTGATCCTCTTACATGGAAGTTCTTTCCCTGTTCACTGATGATTAATATCTTTTGGGGTGTGTGGTTTTTTTAAGAAAGAAGGTGATAATGGCACTCTGCACACGTGAAATGGCACACTTTCCTAAATATGTGCTGTGCAAGTCCTACCGTGATGAAAACAGCAAGTTTAGAAAATGCAGCCCTACCAAGTCAAAATGTCACCAGCTGCCACTGTGTGCAGCACAAAGACTACCCACAATTACACCAAACGTTTCCTGACCTAAAATGAATATTGAGTCATGGATACAGTGACAAACGGCAGTGGGTTAACTCCATCTCAAAATCATCCCTGAGTGGACCATTTTACTCTCTCCATATGTGTGGATGGTTGTCATTTATTCCCATGAAAGGAACAGAAAATACTACATCTGGAGATGCTGTATGGTTAGGATAATTGTGTTAGATATAGTGTCAACAAAAAGTCTCTGATCAGACTCGTGTAGAAAGAAACCATCTTCACCACAAGAAATAAGTTTTAAAGCTTTACTTCTGGTGAAGAGGGTTTCTTTCTACACGAGTCTGATCAGATACTTTTCACTGACACTATACCTAACACTTGGTTTTTAAACATTTAGTTACAAAACAGTAACTCTTGCAGAACAACAAAATGCTACATTGCGTATTAGTAATGAGTTCCCATCTTTTAAAGTCCAGTAAGTTCCTTCCCCGGATCCCACAGTAAGTCCATGCTGCTTAAAAGCAAAGGTTGTGTCTCTCTCTGCTGTAACACAGAGAGAGACACCACTCAAAAAACAACAGCGCAGACTGTTTCCCTGCACATAGCACCAAACACAAAGAAGCTCAGGGTATGAGTTAGGAAAAATACCTCATAAACCAGTCGCAAGACTCAGCCTGCCCACCCTAGAGTGGAAAACCACCAGTCCTCTGCAACAGGCAGTCCAACATATTCAAACACATGTAACATTTTATCTACATTAAACTCATAACTTCAACAAATTGCTCCCAGTACCGTGTGGTCTGACCTTCAGTGAAATTGATCCTTCAAGAGCAAGGGCTCACAATACATGTCTGGGAGGCAGTTATCCAATAAATGTGGGAGAAGCAAAGTTCAGCTATAAGGGTAGAAATGTGTAGTGCTAGAACAATTGATCCATCAGTGCAAGCATTTCTGCTCGCCAAATGGGCTCCCCTCTTCTGCCATCATGGACTGTTCTGGGGGTTCTTTCAACCCCATGTTAGATGTGGGGAGGCACAGAAAGTGCAGAGGAGGAGGAGGAGGAGGAGGAGGAAGGCCCCATTGCAGTAGCAGGAGTCCTTGCACCGGCTTCCTCTAGCACACACCAGGTTGGTTGAATCAGACCCTCCATATCTACTGTAATCACTAGACAATTATTTAAATAGCATACAGCAGAAATAGACAATACTTTGAACAAAGAGTCTTTTGGGATGAACCTAGTCATTTATAATCTCATCTCAGTTCCTGAGGAAATAAAGGAAAGGGCTCAGAAGTGTCAACTGTGACAATTGTTCTAGCAGGAAAAGTAAATCCCATCTTCACATTGATATGTTATCTAATGGGTTGTGCATTTAATCTTCAGATAACATGCAGCCAGGCTAACCAAGCGGAGCACATCATTCGTTACCTTCTAAAACAATATTCTGGAAATGTAGGCTGTAACACTACGGGAAATTAAAAATATCATGCATTTATGCCAAGGCATTATTTAAATGTCATCTAGATATAAGTAATATGTGTTCTGACATACTAAGGAAATGCAAATGGGAATGATAAATCCATGTTAAAAAACACAAAAACTGGATATGATCTGGTAGAATTGCAGGGATATGGTTTGATGATCTTAAGCAACTCTTAAATTCTCTTTGGGTAGAGCCAATGGGTAACTCAGCATCAACATAAAGTTAGATACTGGATCAGAAAGAACAGGCTCTGAATACCAGTGACTAGGGAACAACAGTGGGAAAAGGCTATTCTCTCATGTCTAGCTTGTGGACTTCCAACGGGCATGTGGTTGGCCCCTGTAGGAAACAGGATGCTAGATTAGACAAGTCTTTGGTCAGATCAAGCAAAGCTCTTTTTATATCTCCATAACACTCTGCTCTTGGCTTCAGAGTTCTTAAGCAACCTTAATACTTGATTATTGCAATGCGCTCTACATAGGGATATCTTTGAGCCTGGTGCAGAGGCTCCAGCATGAGCAAAATGTTGTGACTAGACTGTTGATGAGGACAGAACTATTATCAGCACATAACTCCAGAGCTCAAAAGCTTGCACTGAGTGCCTGGACACTACCAGCCCAGGTCCAAGGTTGTTGTATTAATTTACAAGGTCCCTAAGAACTTGGATCCTTTATATCCCTGCCCAATCATGGACTTTTAGGGGAGACTTATGGCCACTGTGAGGTTTTGGTTTTGGTTTTGTCTCAGGAGTCCTGGGTTTAATCTGAGACCAACATAGAACCTAGTAAAGTTAAATCCCATTAAGTAAGCTATCTCATCCCACTTGAATCATGACTGTGAATTATATTAATTGAATGCTTCTTAGGACCATTCACTGCAGTGATCTCCAGAACGCTGCTCATATTATTTACACTGTACTAAAACAACACCAAGAAGTACCATACCATAGCATTTCATGACTTCTATCTAGATTTGATTGCATCATTTAAAAAAATTGCAACTTTTCTTCATTTCAACACCCTCCAATGGAAGGCAAATGTGAGTGGGGAATGCTCAACATACACAATGATTTCATTTTGAAAACTGCTGAAGAAAATGATACTTACACCAGAATAGAAAGGTTCGCCAGACACACAGATCACGTCTTGCTCTTGAATCGTCAAAATATCTTTGGCTAAGTGCAGCCGCACTTTGAAAGGCTCCTGGTTACCATCCTGCAGCAAACAAATCCCTGTCTTTGTCTTCAAAGGATGAACAGAGAAAAAGGTTTCCTTAGTTTCCAAGCTGCACGCTGATTGTTCATGTTAGAGGATCAAAAGGATACTTTTTCTCTGATAGTCTTTTGGAAAAGCTTTAACAAAGGCCAGCATATTCCAAAATATCTCTGGAAATGTCTATGGTTATTAGTTGCAAATAGATATATTGAGACAATGACATTACAAAACTGATTACTAGCAACATGTCTGGATTGTGGAGATTGATCCACTTAATAACACATATTTGCATATCTGTGCTCAGTATGGATATGTCAACAAATGCTGCAAGCAAAAATCCCCCTTCACAGTATCAAGACACTTATTTCATTATCTAGTGTCACAACGCATATGGGACTGAACCTTACACATTGCTTAATGGAAGGTGTCACCCCGGCAAGCCTATGTGAAGCTTACAGCCTCTGATTAATCCTAATTAGGATTACTCATGAGCCAGGAGCTTAACTAGGATCACAGTAGAGCACTGAAACACCATGAAGGATTCCAATCATCCTGCTTTATGGTTATAATCCAATAGCTCCTCTATGCAGAAAAGCAAATCCATTCCAAGTGCTTTTGAGATCATGGCTTGTGTCTGCAGATTGGTTAACTAAAGGATGTCTAAATCCAGCTGGTCAGCTTGAACTAAAAAAATGGCAAGAGGTGTACTGTGACAATCTGAAATGGATGATGTCTAATGTCCCTAAAGACTACCTTTTAATGTCCAGACATTATGTCCCTTCTGTTCATATCTTTTTCCTGTTTGAGAAGAGTAATGGGTAATTATTACATGGGCACATTTCTTCCTTGTGTGGCAGTTCATATGCAGTTTAGACAGTGGTAGCGTATCCATTTGATACCCTGCAAAGATCTCTGGTTTCAGTTATTTTCCTTCTCAGTATATCTTTGCCTCTAATATCCATTCATACTTTCCAAACCCAGGGGCATAGCTAAGGTTGGCCAGGATGCAGGCTGAGGGGGAGGCACAAACATTGCATCTCTCTTGGCACTGCTTCCCCTGATTGCCCTGAAAGCGGCCTTTCAGCTGATGTGGTGACTGAGAAATGTCAGGGAAGACTCTTAATTTACCACAAACAAGTTGCTTTTCCCTGGTTCCTTTCCAGCCTTGACCAATTACATTTGAATGTGCTGCCTCTGTGAATCCTGTCACCTGAGGCAGTCACCTCATTGTGCCTCATGGGTGTACCAGCCCTGCTAATAATAATAATAATAATTTATTTCTACTCCGCCCATCCGGCTGGGTCTCCCCAGTCACTCTGGGCAGCTAGGTGAATTTCCATCGTTCGAACAGACCCTTTGCTCTGTTAATGGAGCTCAAGCAGAAAAACTGGGCAGCAGACAAAATCCAAATGAGTTATCCTAAAAAAGTTGTTTCTTTGCATTTTGGCTTCCTGACTTGTGGAATAAGAACATCTTCACTGCTTAAAATCACAGGCGTGGGCAAGTAGGGAATAAAGGGGAAGGTGGGAGAACCATGCTAATAACCACATTTTAATTCTATTGTTATAACTTCTTTCAGCCAAGCAAGGTTGGAGAGTGAGCATTAACACACCTATTGATTCATACCTAGGAGTGTCCCAATAGCTCCCAATTAATTTGAGGGCTGCCTGAGATTTTTATTTTTTTAAAGAAATGCTGAATTGTTTATACAGTCATTTTGCTTTACTTGACTGCACACTTCTGACTTGGCTGATTACTCTATAAAATCTCTTGAGAAATTTTATAAAGAGAGCTTAGGGCAAGAATTAAGCGGCATGTAACTATACAGTAGACATAATTAAACATCACAACGAAATTAAAATAGAAGCCGGCATTGTAATGCACATGGGCAGAGTTTATTCACAGTTTGAACAAAGAAGTCAAGCATGAAAAAAGCAAACCATTTACGGCAATGGACTGACTGATAGCACATGAGCAGAATAACCTAATTTACATGGAAAACTTTTAAAATGTAATAGTCTTTGCCTTTTAGAAGCCACAGTTGTACAATACATCTTGAGATGATATCTTCATTTAAATACCATCCTTTCTTATGCCAGTGCAGCACTGATACACAAAAATAGGGCATTCTTTAGCACCAGAAGAAGGTTAAATTATTTCAGATTTCATAAAGCCAAGCAAATATATGCTGGCCTGAAATACACTCTGCGTAATGTTTTGATGTTGTATTTTATTTTCACAGATCAAGGTTTACTTCTCCCCCCATCTTCTGAGGTTGCAGGCTAATTCAAATCAATTTGAAACCTCTGTTTTCACACACACCTCCCTACCTGCCACTTGGCCTTATTGCCCCTCTAAGAACTGCATGGAAGGGAGAACTTAAACAACCACACATTGTTCTCGTCATAGCACTGCAATGATGGGGAAAGCTGCATTTCCCTTGCCCAGTACTTTTCTGCCAACAGAGGAAAACAACTTATTCTGCTCCTGTGCTATGTATCCCCAGTTTTATACACTCAAGAATTGTGCTCCATTTTCTTCTGCTCCCTGAGCAGCACTATCATAGAATTGTAAGGATGGAAGGGAGGTTCAACTAATCCAATTCCTTTCAATGCAAGAATAAGTGTACTTATTGTATTATTGTGTAATTTCCTTTGAGATAAGTCCACTCAAATTGCAGTGGGTTAGTTATAACTATTTCATTGTTTATGTGGGGTTTTGGGGGTGTTAGGGGAGGGTAGGACTTCTGGTGGGGAACACGTTGTGTTCATTCTGGAGTGCTTTGCACACCTTTGGTTCCCCGCCTGCCCCCCTGCACAGCACTCAGCTCTTAGAAGCTATCAGCAGCCACAACTCAGGAATGGCTTTCACTGGCCAGCTAAACCAGGTGAGGTTAGCCAATGGGCCTCAAACCCTCAGTGAGTTAGGGTCTTCCACTGCATGAGAAGACAGGCTCTGGCAGATTGAGTGGATGAAACCAATAGTGGGTCCAATGGCCAAGAAGATGGTTTCTGCACAGGATGTAGAGGTAAGGGAGGGGCAGATGGAGCTTGTCAACCTGGGAAGGTAGCCCATGTAGGAGAAGGGAAACTCTTATCCTAAATCTCTGCTGCCTTTTCTTCAGGAGAAGAAAAGTATAGGGAGTAAATTCTACTCAAATCCGGAGTGGAGTCCCTAAAATGGTTGGAATAACTCCCTCTGCCCTGTGAGACTTACTGGAAAATACAGTTTAACCTTCCTTGTAACAGCTCATATCACATTTATCATCAAAATAAAACACAATAATTGTGTCTGTATTTGGCATTACCTCTTCACATGTAGTCCTGAAATCCATGTGCTATGGCACCAAGAGATATTTGTCTAAAAACAGGGGGAAAGATTTTATTAAAACTAAGACTTATTGGCCAGTAAACATTAAAACAAATTGTATAAATTAAGCAGACACACTGGATTACAGAGATGCTGTCAAGAGGAGGAATTATAAATTCTTAGAACAGTATCAGTTAGTTGAGGCAGGAGTGGAGAATCCATGGCCCTCTGGATATTTCTGCACATCATCTTTCATCACCCACCCACTCTGCCAGCTTGCCAAAAGTCAGAGAGAGTTGCAGAGCTTTGAAGAAATAAGCAAGACAGTTTCATTATATATGATTGAAGGTAAATTTGTTTCCATGTATCTCTCAACACACCAGTCATTTAAAATTACTTTTCACTAGCAGAGACACTGTAGTTCATAATTCCTTGGTTCTGAATACGATCCTCACTGACTCATACAGCTTGCCTTCAAAAACTTGAGTGTTTGGATATGTGAATGAAAGAGAGAGGAATTTCCCCCCCCTTAGGGTTTTTTTGTGGGGGGCGGGGAGGGTAGGTTCTTTATTTTTTCCCAGTGGAAAAATTGGAAATTGTGGAGAAATTGTGGGAGGCGGGAAATATTGCCCACTATTTTATATTTTAGAAAAGTAAGAAAAGGCATAATTTTAAAATATTTGCATTAGCTACACTTTACTTCCTCAATGGAGTTTATAATAAGTAATAGTATGTAAAATAATCTACAGGTTGTAATAATCACCCTGTACCTTAGACTAGTAGTACTCAAATACTATTTTGTAAGATTAAAGGTGAGCATTTTGTGTTTTTTAAGATTTGAAACAATTTGATGAGTCTCTGGGACCCTCCAGGTGCCCTTTTTATTTCACATTCGTGATAAACGGTCTCATGATACTGGTGCGCAGTCACATGTGACCCTACTTTCATTACTTTTTGTACCTGCCAAAGTTGTGGGGAGGTACACTGCTTCACACAGGCACCAGGTTCCACCCAACTTGTGGGGAGCAGTGCTTGCGTGCGATGCCATGTGGTAGAAGGAGGCCACAGAGTGGTCCAGGGTGCTTTCCATATAGTGAAATCATCTTTAAGTTACTTTTAGGATTGAGATAAAGGGTTCTATGAATATAGCTTGATTCCAACCTGATTTCAGTTTGAGGTACAGTGGTACCTTGGTACTCGAACAGCTTGCCTCCCGAACAAATCAGCTCCTGAACGCTGCAAACACAGAAGTAAGTGTTCCGGTTTGCGAACATTTTGAGGAAGCCGAATGTCCGACGCAGCTTCCGCAGCTTCTGATTGAGTGCAGAAAGCTCCTGCAGCCAATCAGAAGCTGCGCCTTGGTTTTCAAATGGTTTGGGGAGTCCAACGGACTCCCAGAATGGATGAAGTTAGAAAGCCAAGGTACCCCTGTAGTTCAGGACGATGTTCACAGCAGCTAGTGGAGCAGGAAAGTATAATTTGTTTTGGAAAGGGGTTAGCAGTTCCAAACCAAGACTTAATTAACTAATCTCACTCTCTTCCTACTGACAAGAACTCAAAAGTTCAAAAGTAGCAAGCTCATTTAGCTTATCTCAGATGGCATATGCAAACAAAACAACACATGATGGGCAGCTTGGCAATAAAACCTGAAATCCCCTTGGTACAGCAAGCATTTATTCACTACTGCAAAAATATTTTTGAATGCATGATTAAAGTGTTCTTGTTCTACAGGGAAATCAATAACTACACTCTAATAGAAGGGCAACAGGAGCTCTTAGAGACAAAGCTATTCTACTTCATTTAAAGTAACACAGAGATCAGATCAGCTGCCTTCTGTGTTTCTATAAGGCCATTTCCCTATGGCTTAGAAACTACATATTTAAAAAAAAAAATCATTGAAAATACTTTTATTATATTTATAAGACAATGAACAACAGGAAAGAGGAAATGGCTATTACATATAATTTAGTTATGCACAATTGTTTTCAAATTCTACTCCTTTTATTGGTGCATTACTACAAATAATAACTTACAAGATATTTTGATTAAGTGGTTTATAAAAATAAATTTCATGTTTTAATAAGTCATGTGAAGTGGTAAAATGTGCACATTATGTTGCCATGCTATATGCACATTTTATATCTACAGAAGGTAATGTGCAATATAACAGCTTAAAAGCTCTATACCAGGCATGCCCAAACTTGGCCCTCCAGCTGTTTTGAGACTACATCTCCCATCATCCCTAGCTAACAGGACCAGTGGTCAGGGATGGTGGGAATTGTAGTCCCAAAACAGCTGGAGGGCCAAGTTTGGCCATGCCTGTTCTATACTGTCATCCATATGTACTTTCCCAGGTGTGGCTGTAGTTGCTGAAGTTAAGAGACAGATCTACAATCTGAAGCTCCCAGTCCAAATCTCCTCTGAACTCAGCAAGTGGCCTTTGGCAAGTTACGCTCTCTCAGCACTCTACCTACTCCAGCTCAGGCTTCCACTGGGTTGCACTTTATCTGCTTCTGCTTTTATGCTGGTGTGTGGTATTTTAACTCACAACTGGTTCTGAAATTATTTGAAATGAAAAACAAAGTAGAAATCCTTGTAGCAATAATCAAAAGTGGTAATACTGAACTACTGAATAAAGTTGTTGTAAAGATGACCAATTCATATATGTCAGGGGTTGGCCAGCAGCCATGGGTACAATGACACACCTGAGCTCTTCCCTCGCTGCTCACCAAGCCTCTGAGCCAGTCTCCACCCTCCATTTACTGCCTCATGGATCATGAAGTGGTAAATGTGTGTGGTTGCCTTTTCTGCCTTTGACAAATGCATATAGCTGGAGTAGGAAACGGGTAGAGTTCTTTCCCACTTTCTCTTTAAGTCAATATGCCTTCGAAGGCTCAGATTAAGTCTGCTGAATCCAACTTTTACTCAGATCACACAATCTTTTGTGGAATGCTCTCTTTAGGGAGGCTTACCTGGCAGCGGCGGACGGAGCAAGACAAACGGGCACCTGGGGCGGCATGCATGCCCTGCGCCCAGGGGGCCAGCCCCCCATGGGGCGGGCGGGGCGAGCCAGGGCAGAACGCTCCACGGGGCCTCTGAGGAGTCTGCCTGCCTCCTCCCACTCAGCTGCCCTACAGCTGAGGGGGAGGCAGTGGGCGGACCGTTTGGGGCAGTGCGGAGTTTGCGGGCACCCAAGCCACCACGTCACTCCCAGGAGAGACACATGGTTTGGGTGTACAGCAGGCCCCGTGGTGAGTGCCTCCCGGCATTTTGTCACCCCCCCAGTGGTGACAACCAGGGCGACCCGTCCCCATCGCATCCCCCTTTCTCCACCCCTGTTAACCTGGTGTCCTCACTGTATATCTTTAAGCGCCAGGCAAAAACATTCCTCTTCAACCAGGCCTTTGACTGATTAAGCAATCTATGGCTTTTTAAATGTCGTGTTTAGTTTTGTTCTAGTTTGTTATGTTATGCATTTTAAAACCAAAACTACCTATTTATTCTCACTGTGCACTATGATGGAATTTCACAAAATCAGTTATGTTATTCTATTCATTTCAATGAGAAAGCTCATCATTTCATATCAAAGGAAGCAATGCAAATAGGATGAGTAATCAAGTGCATATCACAGAAAATTTTTACTCTAGCTTTACATTTCTGTATAACAACAACAACAACAACAATTTATTATTTATACCCTGCCCATCTGGCTGGCTGGGTTTCCCCAGCCACTTTGGGCGGCTTCCAACAAAAGATTACAAATACATTAAAACATCAGTCATTAAAAACTTCCCTAAACAGGGCTGCCTTCTGATGTCTTCTAAACGTCAGATAGTTGTTTATTTCTTTGATAATAGAAGGGGAGTGTGTTGTATTTAAATGAACACTGCACACCTGCCCTTTGAAACAAGAATGAAAGAAAACATATCACACCATTCATTAAGGCTTCCCCCAAACACAGAAGTGGCAGAAACTGCCCGACATTAAAATGAAGCTAGCATAATTCTTATCGTATTCAAAGACCAAAGGCCAACCCACAAGCTGTTCTTGGGAAAAATGTAACATACCACTTGAAGACTTGATATAGCAATGCTGAAAGGAAAACTGGTAGCCATCCACAGAGTTTTTCAGTCATGATTCTTCTTGATCCTTTATGGCCAAGTTGAAAAGAAGAAACAGGATGCATCTGTGAAACATACAGGGTGGGGGAGAAAGATCACAGCTGAAGCCTTGGATGCTTTGCATTTTAAAATATAATACTTAAATAACTTTCAGCGTTTGTATGGTAGGGATAGGAAAGGTTATACGAGTAGGATTTGATTCCACCTACAGTCATAACACAGTAATAAAGAACAAGTCTACACTGAGTACGAGGTATGAATTTCATTTAAAAATGTAGTTATAGAAAGCAAATAGAGTTTTTTAAACTACTAGAATCACATTATGATTATCCTAGAAAAGTACTAAGCACTATGTCAAAAAGAAGAGGTCAAATGGAATGAACAGCAGGGCGACCCAGATATACATTTGTATTTTCACCCATGCAAGGAAATTTTATGGTGCTCTTCTCTTTGATTTTCCTAGTGAGTTCAGTTTCAAAACAAAGTTTAAGATGCAATGAAATGTCTTCTTATAAGCAGATGCCCAGCCAGCCACACGCTACACTGCGGTAGCCAATGCAGTGCCCTTATCCCTGACTCTTGACCATGCTGGCTGGGGCTGATGGGAGTTGAACTCCATGGGCACCACGTTGGTGATATATGTTCTATATAGTACCCATTTCTCAGAACCCCCCTGCCAGAAACACAGAAGGGTAAACAGCTGACAGATGATTGGCAGGAGATTCGAGATTCACCCTCGTCCCCCATAAGTAGATCCTGGCTTGTGTGGCATATTGCAAAAAATGAACTCCCGTATCTTACCGTGAAGCATAGAAATGTATGTATCCCTAGCTGTGTCTATGCAGCGTCTATGCAGTGTCTTTGCAGCGGCGATACCAGGGTTCCCCGTTAAAGGGGTTTCTGA